GAATTGAACTACTTGAAACCCAAGATGCGGGAGATTACTCAATTTTTCTCTCCTTATAAGGAATCAGCTTGTGCTCTTAGCCTTGTTGCTTTTCTTATGTTCAGTGGCTATACAATTCCGAACGAACCTCATTCCCCTGTTGTTGAATCTCTTTTGAGTCTTCAACTTTACATGGCCTATTGGCAAAAAATAGAGGAAAAATGTAAAGAGCTGAACGATGGAATCCATTATGGAAACTGTGTTAAAACTGTTAACAATAGTGAAGTTTCCTACCTGTTCTCAATCTACGCTAAAAATGTAGATGAAGGTCGAGCCTCGTGGCCTCAGAATTGGTACTACTATGGTATTGAAGGAAGCCGAGATGCCCCTCGATTCAATGATCGATGCTGCACCCCAAGTACTTCGGACATCGCCATCAACTCTAGTGATTACGAAATTGAGCTATTGCCACTTGAAGAGGATCCACTTCCAATGCCTCAAAGATTCAATGCAATTGTCCCTTTCAGTTCCTCTAATGACCCCCAGCTAACGCTAATCCTAATCCTCGAATCCCAAACCAAGTTTTAAAAAGGGTTCTTGATCAAAATCCAGGGCAGTGTTAGGTATTAATCCGCACTTCCTAAAACCCTATTGGTAATCGATGATTGGTAACAATTTACCTTTGGATTAACTTTAGTTTTTCTTCTTTTATTATCATTTTGATTTTAATCATTTTTCTTTATTTTAATCTTATAAGAAATGACAATTAGACTCATCAACCTTAATAATGGGTTAATTCTAAATTTCTGTTTTAATCATTTAATCATCTAAAGATAACTCATTGTTTTCTTTATTAACAATCCTTATCTTGGTTAACCTTATAAGGAAAGTATCTTCTGTTTAGCTTGATTAAGCTAACGTATTTATGTTTCTTTTTGATTTACTTTGTAAGCCTAAAGGCGCCATTTCTTATCTTAAATTTTGTTCTTTTCTAAATGCTTTCCCCCATTTAGAATCTATTGATACATTGATTTAACCATAGTGTTAATCAGTTAGAGTTTTACTTTGAAACTGTTCGTTTCATATTCTAATTCAATTAATAAAAAACCATTTCATTGATTAATCTGTGCGCTTAATTACGGTCCTAAAAGTACTTGTAAGATTAGATTGTGAAGGACTAATCGCTCTTCTGTGTTCGATAATTAATCAGTAGATTAATTGTGAAACTCTAGCGAGACTCAGTAAAATTCAACCTATTGGTAAATGAATTTCCCTGTTTCAATAGAAACACCAAGTTACTCAGTCAATCCCCAAAATCTTCCCTTCATAATTTACTATAACTCGATTATATTGTGGAGCCTAATGAACCGAATCTATGAGCTAATTTCCTGGTCTTGCTAATTAATTTCACCTATTATTTATATTTATGCATTTAATATAAAACAAAAGATGAAACTCCAGGAGACAAGATAGATTGGTAAATAAAAATATGAAGACGATTTCTTTCAATCTTAATTATAATCTGATTTGAGAGAAACTGAATAAAAGAAAATGACAAATTGAGCTTAACAAGCAAATAAATCACTGGTTAACTGATTAAGAGGTAATCTCTCATTGAAATCAATTCCAATTGTAGCTGATTAAATTAGATTATACCGAACGATAATAGATAATAAAATCAAATGAGAGTATTCAACATTCAGCTTGGTCAATAAGACTTAGTTAAATGAAGCACATCGCTTTTTTCTTGGACTGAAAAAATGTCTTAATATAACGTTTATTACTATCTTTATGATCATCAAGCTAAGGAAATAAACGAAATGATTTGATCGAGCCAACAATGAGTAAATATCACCAACTATCATGATGAAAACTTAATGCCCCTGCAAGTTCAATAATGTATCATGAATTTCAAGTTTACTCCAAATTGATAACAATGGTTCTAATGATAATATCAAGCTACTTTGAATGGCGAGTATTTTACATAAAATCTATTCTGATGGTGACAATTACTTTTATTATAATGTTGATGAAATATCGTAAAAACTGTATTATTGGACACACTCACTGACCATTAAAATGTTTACAATGATATTATAACATCATGGCCTCTTTTTTGTCGGTTTACTGTTATCAGTTTTTATTTTGACTTGTTACATTTACCATTGGACTTTTATTGATGTCAATTCAGACACTTTCATGTCAAAAAAGTCTAATTCAAGTAACACCCTAAACCAGAAAACCCCACAGACAATAACATGATGATGATTATATCATGAAGATGACAACAGTTTCCTTACGCTTGGTGAAGTCCCTTTTTCTTGTAAATTTTGTAGTTTATAATTTACTTGTTAGTCTTTGATTCTTATTTTTTTTTCTCGACTCATCTTCATCTTCATCTTCATCTCCATCATGTTTATGTTTCCAATCGTCATTTTCCTCTTGATTTTTCTTCTTCTTTCTCTTCTCTTTTGTTCCCGTGAAAGTTATCCTCTGATTTATAATTCTAAAAGGAGAAGGATGAACAAGACAAAAAGGACAATAAAATCAAAGAAAACGGAAGTGAATTGTCTCCATAGACTCTGAAAGTTACGGATTTAAGCTCATTCTCAATCTTTAATCTTTATGTTTAAGAGAAAAAGATAGACAATAACTAATAGTGTAACAATCCATCAGCAAGATGAGAGTTGATCCATAGAAACAATTCTTTGGATCAAAAAGTATCATGTGGTCATCTCTTAGTGGATATAATTTATAAACTTGAATAATGATCGCATATCCATCATCTGATAAACGCTATTGTCTATCAACACCTTACAAAACGAGCTACAACTCAATTCTTTACAATGAACATTTATTCAGCTATTAGCTACAATTAGTGAATGTCTTTTACATCATTATGAAAACTCACATGCAGTAAACTCAAGATACCACAGAGCTGTTTCCAGTACCTGTTACTTTTAATTAGCAAGTTTTGCATTTGAGTTTTCTTTGTTTTATACCAGAATATACAGAGTGTCGTTTTCTCTTTGAATTGAATTAAAATCGTTGTTTAGTTTTTCCGTTTTTTACTCTTCATGGGTCATTCATGATTACAATACTTTATCCAAGCTTATTTTTTTAGATTCGATATTTATAAGTAGACATCATGTTATATGAACATTTATTAAGAATCAGAAAACCATGAAAGAGAAGAACGAAAACTCTGAAATTCTTAATCTGTTTAGTGAGAGAAAACAAAAGCCCTGAAAGAAAAACTCAATAACTTTTTTTGTTGTTCTTTCACCAGATGACAATATTAGATAGCATTGGATTATCATAATAAATGTCCATTGGAATACATTCTGTCGGTTAACTTTCCAATAATTTATATCATTATATTTGTATCATTCAATCAATATATTATAACATTTTTCCCTTCATCTAATACACATACAATCATATTATATCAAATTCAGATAATGATATCAAAGGAAAGGAAGAGGGCGAAAAAAAACTCAAGAAAAAGAAAAAAACAAAAAACAAAGAAGGAAAAGGAAGAGAAAAAGAATGATGACAAGGATGACGATAATGGTACAGAAGTGATCTCAAAATTCATCATAGTTAACATGATAATCGTTAAAATATCATCATGCTCATCAGATAACAAAACAATATTGATATAAATGAATATCGAGTAAGCCGAAAATTGGAATAAGAGAAAAAAATTGATTGAATTGATGTGGTTATCAAGTTATCTTCTAGTTATCATCTCGGAAGGAAATTTGAAGATGATAAGATGTCGAGAGTTGAGAATACTTGGAATGATAAAGAGATGATGCATCTCTCGAAATGAAAGAGAAAAAAATCAGATCAGAAATTGGATACGGATAAAGCTTATAATTGGACTTTCCATCATCGTCTTCATTAGTTTGCTTCTTTTTCGTTATGATGTTTAACTGACAAACGGAAACAGTTTCATGGAACGAGAGTAGGAAAAAAGAGAACCTTATTTAAGAATAATCCAGATAAGATGTTGGCTCAATACAATAGAACAAGAAGAAGAAAATTCTTAGGTTAAATTTCAATGGAATTTTTCTTCTCTTACTAATATCCCATGGAAACTTTTTTTATCTCATCTTTCCTGAGGCTTATAAATACCTCATCAGATCAATATTGTGATCAAGCTCATGAAGAAAATACTCTTTACTTTTCAATCCACAGGCTGTTGGTTCGATTTCTGGATTCCATTTCCATTCTGAGCTACATCATGATAAGTTGTACTGCATCGACTTGGATGACTGAATAAGCAGAAAAAAAGTTCTCATTTTCCTTTAGACTTTTTTCATCAACATTTTTCTTGGACTTTTAATGTATATGTTAACTTTTTCTCTTCCTATTATACATTTCTCTGTGTATATTCATGTCTCTGTATTTATCTCGTCCTTTTATCTCTCTCTTTCTCTTTCTTCATCTGTCATCTATGATAGTTTATCTCAATCAGATGCTTTTTATCTTCACTCTCAGTTGGACATTTGATTTTTCACTCCCACTTCTGTGACAAGGTCTCACAATGTGTGTCTTTTGTCAATTGTTGATATATTCATTGTGTCCTCTTGCCAACAATTTTCTCATCACCATGAGAACAGCAAATACTGCTAATAATCAAGAGAAGAAAAAACCATCGACAAGATGAAACGATTAATGAAATAAATCAACTTCCAATTCGGGAAGATCGAAATAACCATTACAGTCTCATGCTTTTACTAGATGATAATCACAATGAAGTCATGATAATCATGATAGTTGATCAGATTCATTGAATGAACCGAAATCTAACTTACCAGAATACGATTTAATCACACCCATGATTATTCAGGGTTCTTAATGTGTCTCAATGTTGAAATGTTTTTGAAATGTTCCTAAAAAAATGTTTCCATCATCAGAACATTAATCATAATGTAATAATATTTTCATTCAATTATGTTATCAAATAGATTGTTGAGTTTTGGATAGTAATAATTAATCATGAAGAGAACTGGTTTAATCAGAAATATTTAGAATGAATTTAATTTGATTAATTGTTCAGTTAAAGAGCAAAACATAATTCGTTTAATTATCAATAGCAAATAAATTGTTTGTTAATTTTGCCAACAATTATAGCTACAGAATTTACAGTATTTCTTTTATTAATATAAATACAAATTTAATCTCAATCTAAGATTTAATGATAGATTGAGACAACAAAAAGTTCATCCAGAACTGAAATGTTCATGTGATTAAAATGAGCACCTAATTACCCGCATTGGAAGAGATTCAGTAGAAAGTTCTGACCCATTTGCTTAGCTCAGTTAGAGAACACAGTTGGAACTCTGATCCAGTAGAAATGTTGAATTTTGCCCCAATTTCATGAAAAAATTATGAACGATGATAAATTTAAGAGATGGAAAATGAAGAAATTGAAAAAAAAGTTCTGAAGGTAGAGGCAAATAGGGAAAAAGGAAACAGTGAATGAAATGTTATCACAATATAATATTTATACAGATATATATATTTTATTTTCTTGTATATTTATCACAGATGCTTGTTTTTTATCATCATGATCAGAATCATCATCTTCATGTTGTTATCAAAGGCATAAGATGATCAAGATGATTTTCCATTTCCAAATCAAACTTGACTGTTAATAATCTTGGTTATCGTTTATAGTTGGTTATCATCTCGTTTCATGATTTGTCTGTTTACTTGTTCAGCTAATTCATAATATCAACTCAATCATGAACATTCATGGTGCACACACTCATGTTTACGGTGAAAAATTTCCTCTCACAATAAAACCCAGAAAAAAGTAGATATCATGAGAAAACTAATGTTATATCATCTATTTACTTCCAACTTCTTATGTTAGTTTATCCGTCTTTTCTTTCATCTTTCATCTTGTTGTTTTTTCGAGGTTTTCTTTACTTTCATCATCATCATCATCATCATCCAGCATCTTCGTCCTTATCCTCTTTTCTCTTGATTCTATGTTATCATGTTTTTTTGTTCATTGTAACTATTATCATGATAAGAATGTTCAGTTCTGTCTTTTTCTTTCTTCTCTCTTTGTGGTAAACGCATTTTCTATTGTCACTGTTTTTCCTTTTCTCTTTCAGATTCAAAGTAACTTTGTCATCCTCATCTTGTCCAGAATAATATTCATCATGATTTCTCATCAGGATATCCAGTTATTATTTATGATTCATTTTAATAGTGATGCTTGAAGGAGTTCACATTTAGCCCGGAAACCTGATATATAAGATAATAGGAAAATAAGATTAACATGTTAATTCAATAGATTTTGACGTTGATTGTGTTTACTCAAGTATTAGATTGTCATTTGATTGTTGTATTTAAATTTTACAAACAATTTGTATTCAGAATCAATTGAATAGTGAAAAAAAGAGGCTGTTGATTGTTGGGTAAATATTTACATAGACTCATTGGTTAACACTCAAAACCAGAGATAACAACAAATCTGATGATTATAATTTCAAGGTGAATGATTAACAAATAACAACAGAGAGAAATTAAATGGTAGAGATTTTTGTAAACAGAATTAAAAGTTCATTGGTTACTGATTAATTCAGATTTAATTAGTTTCTCTGTAATAAATAGTTTCTATTTCCCTAGTTGACTCTTTCTGTATCTAAATAAAATGGATTATATGATTTGGGCCAGAAAATTTCAACCTGAGTTAACTGATTCAAACCTTCTCGGTGTGTAAATTAAATTGTTAATCAAGAGATAATTAATTTGGATTTGTGATCGACCCAAAGAAAACAGTAAATGATTGTGATGACTCTCAGGATGATATATACTATTGATGATTAGCTTATGGTTTAATGATTACTGCTGACTAAGCTTTCATGGTCTTTCTTGAATTATCTCATGAGCATTATTATTATCATCACAACTAATCTGATTGTTATCGAGACCAGTTAATGTTCAGTCACAAGTCTTAACATTGTTTGTACCAAATTCTGGTTCATGATAAATCAAACATTGTTTGTCGATGATATTATCATGAGGAATCGATAATGAGGATAACTGTAAAAAACAGATTGGATAAACTCACGATCATGGAGAAAATGTCGATCATAGAAAAGTTCATGAGCTCTGAATCAGCCAGAATTAATCTGATAATCATTTTTGTTAAGATCAATTCCTTAACTATCTTCATATTTATCCTCATCATCATCAACACTTTATTATCATTATTTTGATATTTCCTAATATCTATATATTAACGGTATACACAAGATCTTATAGATTCATTTGATATTTATCTTTATCTTTAATCAAACCTCAATCCATACACTTTTTACCGGAAAAGGAAATGGGAGGATGAAGCAAAAAAGAGGAAACGAAAATATTTACCATAGGTTTGATTGAGAGGACCTGAATTTGTTGGATATAATATATGACCATAGGAAGATCCTTGGGAGCTCCATCTATTTAGATTAAATTAATAATCAACATAAATAATCATAATCAATTTCATCTCATCAAAATCAATATCTTTTCATGGGTGAGATTAATTCTCGATACTTACAGCAAGTTTGCTTGACTTTGAGCTCGTCTCTTATTCAGTGACTCTTCATCTGTAAAAACAATTAACAATTCATTCAGATTAATTAAACATCTCGATTCTAAGCTGATTGTTAACTAACCTTGTTTCATACATTCAAGGAAAGAAACTCTGAGTTCGTCCTGAAAAAAAATCGAAAGAAAAAGTTTAGATGCAAAGTTTTTCATTATCATCACTATGAGTTTTTTTTTCCTCAACTTGATTCATTTTTTTAATTGTGATCTACAATTTTCTTGACAGTGAAACAATTTGACTGTATTATCCTGATGGTAATTAACCTTGGATTTGAAATAACAATCAAGGATTAACAGTTAACTTATCAAATCCCTTTGTAGTTGGTTGATTAACTTTTGTATTTTTCTTAATCATCACAAACAATTTAAGTTAATCACTTTTGATCATCATTCAAATGTAATCTTTTCTGCTTTAACCTTTTATTACATCATTAACAAAGTGCAAAGATTAAAGGATTTAAATTTTCATGACCATTAATCCGGTCAAATGTGAATTTTTGATTAACCAACTAATTGATGATTTAGCAAATGATTTGTGTAAAATTTTACAAACGAGTTTATATAACCAACTAACAATTAACTGATTGATTGATTATTGGTGTGAGATTATCTTGACTGTTGCAATAATTAGAAGGCATCGAGTTGAAAATGTCAATAAAATTGATGAAAAGCTGAATAGATTAACATGAGAAATGAGTTGGAATTTTCATCAAGATTATCTGATTACATTGATCATCATTCAAAGGGATAAATGAACTTCATCTCTGTCAAAGGTTAACAATTTGATAGTAACAAAATTATACATGATGAGAGTTTCATCATCTTGATGAACAAGATGATACGGAAATAATAATATAAATAATTATGATAATAATCAACAGAATTGATGGTCAGTATTTAGTTTACCAATTCACTTAAATAATATCTACAAAGGTCATCATCTATTTCACCACAGGAATCCCTCGTATCTTGTATATTGGGTTAGCTGAATGGTGATTATTATCTAAACGATGACAAAGATGATAAATTCAAGTCTTATTATCATCTTATCTTTTCCTTATTCGTTTTTCATCCTCATCTTCTCATGTAGCTTTCCCTGTGCATCTTATCATCATCATCATCTTCTTCTTCCTTATCAGAATCAACTAACACGATCATCTTCATGTTAATCATATTCTCGAGACTCAACAACATGATAGTCAAGATAATATAACATTCACCTTATATCTAAGGATGAAACATTCTCGGAATAATTATCTTTAAAACAGAAACTTAATTGATTTTTTTCGAACAAAAAATAATTAACAGATTAATTAAGACAGAATTTCATCTTTTGATTAAACACTTTTCTACTTTATATTCAAATTGGACACTAAGGTTAGAGGAAATTCATTTTACTCCTTCGACCAAACTGAATGTTCATTTTTCAGAAGCATGACTCTCAACACAAATTCTGTTTCTTTCTATTGATAAATTATCTTGAAACACCAAACAACTTATAAGAAAAAGGGAGATTTGTATTCATTATCATAATGATACAAGTTGGTTACAATTCTGTCTGTGAATCGATATAATTGTGATACAATTTAAGGCATTTCGAGTCTAATGATGATATCAAGAGGCTTAAATAGTTCTTAACGTTTTCTCATCATCTTAAATCTGATAATATCGATTATTTCACCAAATTCTCTCTCTTCAGAACTGAATTCCATTCAATTAAATGAACAGTGATTATGACAAGATCTGTTAAAAATTTTCCATGTTCAAGTTGAATAAATGGGAACTTAAGGAAACGATGTTCTCATTTGATTGACATATTCAGAGGGTATTCATATAAAAATAATGTGCAAAAACAATTAACAAAAAAATGAATAATCTCCTCAGTTACTTAACCAAGCAAACAATTAGTATGGATCATGATCAACTAATCAATTGCATTCTAACACCAAGTAAAACGTTTAATATCATTGTTACTGTTCAAGAGATCGTAATAACAATCATCAACTTGAATTAGCTTTGGTTTCACAATATAACATGATTTTGGGAATCTAAATGCCTGGATAACACCAAGATATTTTTCAAAGTGCTAATGAAATTCAGCTGAAAAGATGAGCTTTTGTCAAATTAACTTATGAGCTCATTAGCTGTTTGTTGTTGTTTGTTATTATCATGGATTCACTTTTGATATCAAATCCAGTTGTTACTCATTAACACAATATTTTAATTTTCTCATGTTGGTAAGCTAACAATAATCATGGTTGGTGAATGAAATTCTGACAAAAAAAAGAGATTGAGCTTTTACATTCAATCATTAGAATCATGATGATAATTATGAGTGAAATGTTTTGTTCCTGGATAAATTCAAAGCCAAGGGAATGGTTAATGATTAAGCCGAGAGTGAAGTTATTGTTATTCATTGATTATCACCATGATTCTGATTACATTTATCTGGATTCAAGCCAGAATGTTGCAGGGGAACGAAAATGATTGACAATATTCACATTTTAATGAGTATACTCGAGGGATAAATATTTCTGTCAACATTATATTATCTGTTATTGTAATGATAACAATGATGATAAACATACAGACAAAATATTACATTGATTACAAACATTCAATTAAATGAAATGTTGAAAAAGTTTCATGAACTCAAGGCCAAAGGAAGTTAACACGATTCAATCAGAATTATTAATAAAAAAAATATTAATACTAAACGATGAGCTAAGATGCTTTTCCATGTTTCCCAATTTCCTTTTCCCCTTCACAATTAAGCTTATTTGAGTTTAATATGATTGTTTTTTACAATCATTGGATAACTATTGATTGTTGATGCTTGTGACTAACATGATAATGAGTTGAAATGGATCATGATAACTCAAGTTCCAGATGATTACTATGATTAATATCTCGCTATGTGTTAAAGGTTAATATGCCTTATTAAATTACATGCAATCTTTTTTTTTCTTGCATGAAGCTTAATTGTGATAAATCCTTTTCATCTCTCAGTTAATGTAATATGACCACATTCCCAACAGAATCACAATAAAAATAACTAAGGTAACTGAGTTGAAACATGTTATCAGATAAAATTAACGAGCTGCGATTATATTCATCTTAACCTTTTTTTAGAACTTGAATCACAATTATCATTATATTTATCACGCCGAGCCTCAGGTTTGTACGATTAAAAAGAAACCCATGAAAATCAATCAACCAACTTTCATGGAAAAGTGTTAATAGGCACAATTAACATCAACAAGAATTGAATGAGTTGAAAAAGTGGAACCAAATTAAATAATAACGAGACAGAGAAACTAAATCAAAGTTATTATTACTATAAACTAGAAGAGAGTTGAATTCCTTTGGTAAATATCATGGTTACGGAACTAAACTGGAATCTCAGAAGATCAAAATGATACAATTCGATACAATTATTAATAGAAATCAACAATCAGTTTGCATGTGTATTGGTAACCATTCAATTAAGAGATAAAATTGTAGATGATTCGATTCTCAGTTCAATGTTATATTATTATGAAATCAGCAGAAAAATACTCATCAATATGGTGACAGAGAATTATTGGTTCATCTTCATGTTGATAAATAGAGTCAAAAACAACAATAAAGATGTTACATTTTTTTATTCGGAAAAAAGTTCTATTTTTTAATACTTTTGCTGAGCAATGAGAAAAGTTCTGGTTTAAATCTGATTAAAAGCAATTGATAAATGGCTGAAAAGTTACTGCGTCCAAGATTCCAGGTCAGATGAAAAAGTTCATCAATCAGAGTTAATTGAGATATAGCTGAACTTAAACCTCAAGAGCATCATCATGCTGACTGGACATAAGAATATGATTCAAATTGAAATCATCAATGGATTGGGAATCCATTTCTCAGGGTAAAGGTTGATATTCAAACGGAAAATATTATCTCATTCCTAAAGTAAATTGTGATCCGAGAACTTTTAATATCATGATATTTAATGTTTCTAATGCTGAGATGAAGAAAATGTTGAAATACATTTAAAATCCAATCCATTAAATTTATACCGAAAATTGAATTGAAACCTTTCAAAACATTTATCATTTACTATTATTTATCTTATAATATATCGGATGAAAATCTGATCATCACCAGAGTTATTACTATGATGATTACTATTGTAATAGAATATGAAAAAAAAGAAAATCCTGATAGAGATAAATACTGATTGACCGAGGTCATTTCATGAATCCTCATGATGATGATCACCATCAAAACTATCAACATGACTCTGGAAAGAGATAAAAAATGATTGAAATACACCGTTTAAACATCTATTTCATTCATTTCGAAATCTTTTTTATTTCTTCTGTGAAAGTAACTCACACATTTTGACATCCACAAGAAGTGGAAGTAAGAGAGAGAGAGAGAGAGACGAAAATCATTGAAGAGTGAGACGATGAGGAAAACAAAAGGAAGATAAAAATGATTCACAAATATGGATTACAATGTCGACTTCAAATGGATTTATCATTTTGAGAGGAGGATAAAATATCACATCTATTTGAGGCTTTTCTTTCTTTCTCTTTCTTTCTTTTTCATTATTATCTTCATCTTTTTCTCTCCATCCCTTATCATCTTTTTCTGTCTTCATGTTGAGGTATTTTTCTATCATTTCACTTTCTCCCTCCATCTCTCTTTCTTTCTCTTTTTGCCTTAATGATTTCGAATATCGTCTCACTCATAATATTCTTCAATTCTGATCATATTCATCATTATCAATATTATCTTTTTTGTTGTTTCGTCTTTTCTTTCGTTCTGAAAAATACCTATAATTCAATATTCAGCATCATGGTTTCAGAATGAAAAATTATATTCAGATAAAAGTGACATTTTCACTTCTCTTTGTCATCCAGTTCCCATCACCTATACATAAATATTATAATACCCACGAACACACATTATATGAATATCTTCATAATGTTGATCATAAAAGAGATGATATTTAATCTAACATTTACCGGAAGGAAGCTCTTTGTCATCACTTCCGATTCCCGGATGAGCTTGTTGACCAGCATCAATTGTTTTTTATTGTTTTTTTGTTTTTTCTTCACATTTTCTTCAAATATTGAGCTACTTCATGGAGGCAATTTCAGTTTCCACCATTAGAAAAGGAAAAAGAATCTAATCTTTTGAATGGAAACTTTTGTTCTCAAAGAATGAATTTCAATACAAATTTTCAGTTCTCATATTTCACTCATCCAGTAGACTCAAGGTTTTACTTATCATTATTTTGATAGTATTTCGATAGTGAGTAAGCATCATTTGATTGATTGATAATAAATTACTCAGAGATTTGAGATAGACGATGAAAGGAATGAAAAAAAAACTAAAATCATAACTTAGATAAATCTGCATTCTGAAAGATCACATTTCATGATATGGTGATAAGATACACGATAAAAATTCTTAACTGAAATGATTAAAACCGAATTTCGATAAGCATATTGATCAATAGCTAAAAGTTCAATAACTGTCATAATATTTTCTGAATTGAGGAATAAAAAAGCTCAATAATTTGTACTATTGAAGTTACACCTCTTACTGTGCTTTTCGCTGGCAGATTCCGTTGCTGGGGAACATCATAAGTGTTACTTGATTGCAACGAGTTACGTGGAAGCAAATGTTTACTGAGACTTTGACGTTGTTGTTGTTGTGATTGTTGATGATGCTGAAGATGCGCCTCTCTTAGTTGATCTGTTGACTCTGTCATCACTGATGTCCCAAGGCGTGAAGATGCATAAGGTGAAGCTAAGTAAATAGCCTCTGGATCGGAGAGTCCATCTGATCTTGAATAACCATCCATGAAATTAGGTTTACCCAATGAAATATCATCCAAGGCAAGACATTCAGATTTAGGTTGACTTTCACCACAAGACGAAGCTCCATCTAATTCAATTTAATTTGAAACACAATCAAAAACGACACGTCAAGATTTGATAAAGGAAAATATGATAAGTTTGATTATCAATATTTAAAGTAAAAGATGAAAATAAGATGAAAATAAATTAGATGTTCAGATGATAATATTACATCATTTGATAATGAGAGATTGGTCATGATGTAAATGAGTAAAAGTTTTATAAGATAAGTGACAATAATCATGATAATTTCTACATTATGATGAAAATGAATTGAATTTTTCTTTCACTATTATAATGATTATCATGAGAATGATGAATGAATTCAACGATGGAGAAAATAATGAAAAAAGAATCCACAATATGAAAGTTAATGAGTTAATTTATATTAATTTGCCTTCGGATTACCATTAAAGTGAATCATTAATGACTTGTAATACTCACATTGGATTGACGGTGATCTCGATTTGTTATGACAATAAACAAGTGCGAAAGTTGTAATTATGAGAGCGAATAAAATGGCAAAGGAAGATATAACAGGCACTATTAACGAAATGATTTGAGCATTTGAAGAATCACCCTGTTGATGAAGGTACTCTGAAGATGAAGAGATAATTATTGGGAAAAGGAGAGAAAAAGTTATCGATATTCATTATTAGTCAAGTGACAGCTTAATAATTTGTTCTTTTCGTGATAAAATTTGAGATGAATTTCGAACTGATTGGAATCGAGAAATTTACTATCAACGAGTCGATGGATTTGGTTAATTTGAAGACGAATCTGAACTGATTTCCAGTTTTTTCTTTATTCTTTGATTAAAAGATGGAGAGTTTTTACCATGAATGAATCTATTGTATGAGTGTCACATGTTCATCTCAGCGAATCTGAGTTTCATCATGTCGAAGATTGCAGATTATTTATCTTCAGAACTTTTTTCGCCTCAATTTTCTTTTACAATATTTAATCTATTTATTTGATTATTAATAATGAGCAAACAATTGAATAATAATTGTAATAAGTGATATGCATTTTTAATCGAAGTGAGTTACATGAGGCTCACAGGGAATTGATTTTATTAATCATATTTCACTTGCTGATTTTTGCCTTTGATTGATCAATATGAAAAGTAGCTTATGAATAAAAATATTACAATAGTTATGAGAATAATAATCATGATGATTAGGGAAGGAGAAAATTTTATTCCCCGTCATCTTCATCACCATCATCCCGAGGATTCACTTTGAATATGAAGCTCTTTATTCTGTTTGATAAAATTCAGTTTTCTATTCAAATACAGAATCACAAGAATCTAATGAGCTAAATTTTCAAGCTAAACTGAGCTTCATCATCTTCATGTTGTTCAGTGGTTTTTTGCTTCCACCCAAAAGTTCAGTGTGTTCAGGATAAAATGTATTATATTATATACGACAAAATGGTTTTGCCTCATAAAGAAAGGATTTTTTTTCTCCTTCTCTTATCATAAATCAAGAAATTCTGTGTTTTTATACACAGAAACTAATGGGATAAAGAAGTACAATGAAGATGAGGATGAGAAATGTGGGTGAGGAAGATGAGGGATCAAGGATGAGAGTCTAAGACTCGAAAATTGGAAGAAGAGCAAAAGTTCTAGATTAAAGTTTGACATTAGTTTTTTTCTTCTTTTCTCTCATTTACTTTGATTTTCTCATGGAATATGATGACAATTTTCTCGTTCTCTTCATGATAATCTTTTTATAATCATTTCTATTTTCGAGATAAATAATGTAGGAACAATTTGATCTTCTTTTGAAAAGTTCTATAAATCCAATTATCCCCTATTATAATTATCATCGGTTTGATTCATTCAAATTTTTTTCTCGATACTTTATCAAAGTTTTTTTCCTAATAAATAATAGCGATTACATCATTTTTGATTTGCTCTATTCTTACCTTACCTTTTATCGTTTCAATGTTATTATGATTTACATAGTTTAGGGGGTTTCATAATCACAATAATCGTTTAATGATCAGAATAAGAAATAATTTATTCGCGTATGAATAACTTTCAGTCTGAAACCCATGAATACCTTCATGCTTGTTAACCTAATATGAATGCTAAAAATAAAACTGACTCATTATCATAAAGCAACTGCTTCCATTCAACCTCAGGTAACTACTTGAAATAGTCACACTATTCAGGAATTCTCTGTGCAAGTTTCATTTCATATTCCATGATAATTATGCTTTGATTTCTAATTGATGATCTGATAACTTTATCTTCAATGGTGATAGTTTAAAATAGAAAAAATTTCTTCGATTTGGAAAATTTCATGAGAATGAAAATCCGCGAAAAATCTTTTTGTAACTGAAGGGAATGATATTCGAGTAAAAATGAAAGGATAAACCCCATTGAAAAATAGTTGTAATATTAAATATTCTAACATTTTTCACCCTCCAAATGGACTTTCAACTGAATTGTGGTTTGAACTTTTCAAAGAACAAGAAAAAAGTAGAACAACAATTTATCATATTCACAAAGTAACCAAATAATTTATCACTTTGTTTCAACAACAGAATCCAAAATATCATTTAAATTGAAATGTCATTTAATCATAACCCTGATTATGGTGAAAACCTATTCAACTGATAAAATATCATTAAAATATCGTCAACATGAACTCACCTCCATTTTCAGTCAAAGTGGCAATCTTATATTCAGCTTCCGTGGTTCCGGCTCCATTACGTGCTGATATCCAAATATTATACCAACATGCAGGTTCTAAGCCTTTTATGTAGAGAATTTTATCCGTAATGAATGACCCTTCTTCTAATTTAGTCCATAATTCACTTTTATCCTTCTTATATTGTAACGAAAAATAATCAATCAAACAATCACTGTCAATCCAAGATGAAAGATGAATAGCGAGAAAGGTTGAATTGGATGTTATAAGTGTTTCCTTTTCCGGTGGTCTAGGAGTTGAGCCTTGAGTTTTGACAGAGACAATGTCAGACATTTTACCTCGTCCCATTGAGTTGTAGGCAAGAAGTGATACATGATAGGGTGTCCCGCAATCAAGTCCAATGATGGTATTACTGTTTACATCACCAGCAACCTGATTCTCAAGCCAAGTATGTTCATCCTGTTTCTTGTATCTCACAAAATAACCAAACACTGGATTATCATCAGTGGGTGGATCCCAAGCAATTTCAATTGTGTGAGAAGTGATTGAGATTATCTTGAGATTAGGTGCTCCTGGTTTATCATACTCAGTGGTTCCAATATAAAGTTCCTCAGATAATGGACCAGCACCTTTGTTGTTATAAGCTTGAACCACAACCGTGTATTTGGTTAGTTTATCAAGACCCGTGATCTCCTCACTGAAGTGCTGCTTATTTGGCTCCGATTTCACTGTTTTGAATATAAATGAGCCACTTCTTTTGTCCTCCATTTTCTTGTAGCCAATATAATAGCCAGTTACGGTGTTGGTGCGATGTTTGGACAAAGGTGCCTGCAGAAAATGAATAAATTTCATTCACTATTAATAATTGTGTGAAAACAAGTTGACAATAGTGGGACCGTAAAGTTGACAGAGCTTACATATCTGCTATTCTTTCTTTATGCGTATTGATAATATTCAGTTCTGCATCAAGTTCTGTCAACCATCTATGTAAATTGCGCAAAATTATCACTTAGAACTGATAATACAATAAGATTGATTTCCTCACGAATTCATGTTTATAATTCCGAGAATTGAACATTCTTTCCCCTGATTTCATATTCTACTCATTTTTTATCATAGTAATATTTTCCCTCCTATTACTATTGTTCAAAGAAAAAAATTGATGAAAACTTTCATGAAATTATCCTGAATTCATGTAAAGTTTTTCTCCCTCTCAAATTTATCTTCTCAATTAATTTTTCATTCATTCTATGAAACATTTTATTGACAATAAATTAAGATTATCTGTTGACTTATAAAAGAAATTTAGTCTTTTCCATACAAGCTTGAGTTTTTTTCTCACTGCAAGTAAACATCATAAATATTATCCAGAAATTTCGATTGGACTTATGATCTAAAGCTTAGAACTAGAAAAATTATATTAAAATTAAATTTTCATGATTTAGCAGCTTCATATCATCTAATTCTGAGTTTTTTTTTTGTCAAACAGTAAAGATAATTTGTATTTTGCGATCAAAATTTACGTAAAGTCTTGTTGCTTTTCAATCAAACAAAAAGGTCTCTCCAGTTCTGATAATCGGATGATTTTACTTGAGATTGTATCCTTTGAATTCATATTCAGCTTTAGTCATTTTCCAGGTAAACCGTCTCATGCTTACATTAATACTCTGGTCAAGCCTGAGAGGATATTCCAATTGGATGAGTTCAAACAAAAATACAAAACTTATCGTATAATATTTATCTCCATCCTCATGATTATGATTATTATCCTCATGATTATCACGATCGTAATCGTTGTAGCTTTTTATCTAATAGTTTTCAGATAACTTGTGTTTGAAAGAGCTTTAACTCAAATAAATAGCATTTATTTTGTGAATTAAATTCCAATCCAGTGAGCTCAAGATAATACCAAACAATTTACTAAAATTTGGCTCAATTTACCATGAGGATTTTAGATAATGATTGGAAAATGAATGATAAAATTTCGAGTTCTTGGTACTTTTCGATATTTCTAAGAAACATGGTCAATAGAATCTCAAATTTATCATAAGTTCTCTTTATCATCATTCGATTGAAGAAATCAAATCAGTTGGAATCAATTGATTTAGGTTACTGAAGATGCTCAAGATGATCACTTACCTGCCATGAAACTCTGATGCTTGTTGATCCAGTGGCGGAAACCTGAAGGTGACTCGGTGGGTTATCTGGAACTGATTAGATAATCAAATGAAAATAAAGTTAGTCATTTTTTGAGCGAATGAATAAATTGTTTGCTTACCACCATATAGGTAAACAAAAATGATGATCAAGATTAAGATGATAATGATGACGATGATTAGGATGAATGTTCCTAATAAAGGATTCATCTTGTTTATTTTAGGTGAAAGTGTTATAAGTCTTCAACTCTAAATATACAGTGAATTGAGCTTCTAATTGACAGTTGATTCACTGAATCCATTGAGTATAACATCAACATACATTTTTACTTCAATATTATCATGATAGTTTCTAGTTGCACCTCATCATCAGCATCTTCATCATCATCTAATGGTATTAACATTATATATAACAAGAGACCTTAAGATCAGAAGTAAAACTTAACTAATACTTAGAAATGGTTCTTCCTCCTTTTTCTTTTTCTTTCTCTTCCTCATCTTCCATCCCGAAAACTTCCCTCCCTGTGGCCAACCTTTAGATTAAAGTCCTTCCATGTTTAAGCTCATTGGTAATCAAATGATAGATCCATTCCCTACATTCACTCAAATCCTTTTCTAAGTCCAACCTTAATACCAAAGATAATATTGCCTTAAGCCTTTACTATCAATTCTAGCATTTCAATCGTTTCCTATTCTCAAAATACATAATATAATTATATAGTTTATGATAAACTTACCAATTTGAAATTGCAATCATATTTCATCATGATTCATGAGCCATTATTATCATCATTCAATTCAATGAATAAATCAACACTCATGGTAATAAGAACCGTTGAAAAATCCAAAAATGAAAATAATAAAATAATTAAATTGATTTAAACTCCGAATACGCTGAATTTTGAGTAACAGTTGAACTATTAAAATCAATGCGAGTTCAAAGTATCTTCAGGCAAGAGACTAGATAATCAATTCATTGATAACTTTGGTTATCGAGTTTGTAACCAAATTAAAGTTGAATGGACAATATGAATCAATTTTAAATAAGCAAACTTGCAAGTCTCGGTGTATATCCTCTCCCATGAGAATCTTTGTTAAAAATTATTTTTCAATATTTCCATTCAACTTGACCTTTAATCTTAATCTAGAATCTTGATTCAGCTTTAAATGAGTAAATTAATATCAGAAGTTGAGGGAAAATGGTTCGGATCATTTCAAAGTGCTGATAGTTAATACATATGATTAGATGAAACTGGTTGTTCAGTTGTTGTCATGTAATCAGACTTTACTTTCCCACCAAGAATACTGAACCTTATACTTATACCACTCAGGAAAATTTATCACAAAATCTTTTATTTTCACCTTTGAACCTCAATAAGCTTTAATTTCATTCTGACACTTTTCTTGGTACACACCTTTTCACCACACACATTATCATTTCTCTTTCTTTTATCATCAATCGTCTCTTTCTTTTTCAATTTTTACTCTTCCAATCAACTCATTCAATCAAGTTACAGCTCGAACCCATTTTTGGGTTCCATTGAAATCCAACATTCATCTACCTAATATCTGAAAAAGACACAATGTCCATTAGCTTTTACAGTTGAGGTTAGTCACCTTATTCTTTCAACTTGACCAGATGATTTAATGTTAACTAATCAATGAAAATAACTTCAAGGAAATTAAGAAATAATACCGAAAATCGTTTGCTTCACTCGATTTTTATTGTTATCGAACTTATCATTTGAATAGTGGGATTGATCTGAAACATGGAATCGTAAATAATACCAGTGTAATATGATATGTATTTATTCAGAGAAAATCTGTTTGAATATTGAGTAACGGAAATTGTTCTCGACATTGGTGAGTCGATTTTCAATTCCCAAGTAAAATAAAAATTCAATTCTTGAAATATTCAATATTCTTTGTTCAAAGTTGATATAACAACATGGAGGAAACGATTTCCGTGTCATTATCTCAGTAAAATGGTTGATTTAATGGCACAAACAGATTGACCGAAACTACTGAAAACTGTGAGACAAGTTGATAAGCTTATTGTTTGAGCCTGAGGGTTAAGACCCTTAATAGTAAATTGATCATTATGATCATCATAATCATCACCATTATCAGTTGATCATCTAACTGGTTCTATTTAAGGTGATAATGTCCCAATTTGTCAACTTACCTTCTTCATCAGTTGTAACAGGAACAATTTCACTCCAACCACTTTTACCATAATCATTTTCTGCTCGAACTCTAACATGATAACTTGTCTTCGGTGACAGACCTCGAATCATTGCCTCACTTCGAGTGGGTTCCATGATAATTTCCTTCCCATTAGTTTCCCATATTCCTATTTAACGATAATGAGATATCAAGGGAAGAAAATGCGAGACAATATTAGAGAGTATCAACGATATAAATCAGAAATTCTGTCAGGTATAGATGAAGCTCATGATATTATAGATGATTCAATTGGTGAAATTAAATGTCCAAGTGAATTCATCTTAAAAACTTTGAAACTTTTCAGAACAAATAATAATCATGATTATTTTCAGCTTTGTTCGGAACAGTTGTAAGCCCCAAATTCAAACAAAGGTGAAAAAACAACAGAATCCTTGTTTGGTTTTCGATTCGAAGAGAAAAAAGTTTATATTTCAATTTAAACTTTGTAATCTCAAGTGAAGTGAACACTTGCTTACAATTCATCTGAACTTTATCTCATCTGAGTTTCATCATGGGAGAAGAGAAAAGATCAATAAGTCAATAGCATCTGAATCCATGATAGATGATAATCATTTTAATCATGATTTTTATTTAATCTGTCATTGGATGAGAACAGGAGAATCAAAGTCATTGCCAAGTAAATTGTTGATCTTATTTAATTTCTAATTTCAACAATTTAATCTTGTTGATTCAGTAACAATAACAAAGAAAAGGATAAAAACAAAACTTTATCAAATTCGTTGGTAAATATTTTCCAAATGTTATATAAAATTGTTCTGATGATGAAACTTTTTTACCGTTCATTATATAATATTTACCGTTCTCAGGTTTATAATTGATGATATATTTTTTAATCAAATTGTTCCCATTAAAAGGCTCATTCCATTGGATTTGGAAGCTTCGACTTCCAACCTTGCTGATCTTCAGGCCATTTGGAGCATCGGGTTCATCTGAAATTGAAAAGAATAGAAAATTAGCTTTTAATTGTTAACGATGGAGAAAGAAAAAGCATCAACTGATATTCATGATAGACGATAAATTATCCAAATCAGAATGAAAATCATTTTGATCAATCATTTATCCTGACAATCTGATTATTCTGTAACTTTTAGATAAACATAATACACCAATGAACATTATCATGAATTGTTGGTGTATCATTACTATTATTATGGTTGTTGTTGAACTTGACTTTCACCAGAGAAATACATTAATCTCCAAAATTCTGAGCTGATTTTTTGTTTTTCTCTATCAGTGTGGGTGAATTCTAGAGAGAGAGAGAGAGAGAGAGAGAGAGAGAATTGTTTATCCTTCCTGGGTATAAATCTCGAACTGAGGACTTTCTTCGCTTTCCCTCAGAATTTTGTGCACAAAATTCTGACAATCGATTTCATTTTCATCGCAACATTAATCATTTATAATACAAAAGGGAAACAAAAGTAAAAGCACAAAATAATATCATTACAATTGAAATGCTCAACAAGATATTTAAGTTGATAAAAACTAAGCAATCAAATCCCACCTCCTTGTCTACAGAATCATTCCTTTTACAATATGAATATAATTTTCATTTCAAGAAAACACAATCAAAATAAATAATAAGAAAACTATTAACATGATTGGAAGATGAATTAATCAGCTGAACTTATCTTTCAATGCCTCACTTTCATCGACTCCTTTGTTCCTGATCTACATGTATGTGTGCATTTCTGGCCTTCATATTGAATCTCGATCACGATCATTTCCATGAACAATGTCATGAGCATCATCACCATCATCATCTTTATCGTCACATTGTTAACTGATCACACTAATCATCTGTTTAGTTGTAAATTATGATTGCTTTTTCCGCTTATTGTTCATTATTCTGATCTCTCATTGTTATTGTCTTTTTGGGATCTAATCAAATTGCTATCGATTCTTATATTGTTTATCATTTATCCCGTTGAAGATTAATCACATGACCAATGGATGAGAACATTATCAAAGTGATGATGATCATCATGATAATGATGATGAGGATGAAAAAATAACTTGGAAAATTATGAGAAAAGGATATGAAAAGGAAGACTATTCAGTCAACTGTATAAGATGATATACTTTCCTCATCATCTCATTCAATATTTTCATTTCTTCATCTTCATCCTCATCCTCGTTTTTTTCACTTGCCTTGTGACATTTTGTTTCTTATACAATATCCTGTGTCCTCTTTTTTTTCTCTGCATCCTCATCTTTATCATCTTCTTATGTCCTTCATCCGAGTCTCTTTCTTTTCTTTCTGGCTGACTCAATGTCCATTGAGTGGTCAATGAATGAATGAAATGAATGGCAAAAAAATGGTTTGTCCAGTTGATAGCAAAAGGATTTTTTCAAGTCCTCTATTCATGTACATTAACTGCCCATAGTTAAACAAAACTTAATGACCTTAAGTCAGACTTGATAAATTATTTCATTTCTCATCATTCGTCACCATCATCATAAACTGACCAGTACTCTAGACCCTGATGGTCATATCTTCATGTTATTCACATAAAATAAATACAGATCATTTTTATCAATTTGTTTATATTTGGTTTCCTTAATTTTGTTAAAAAAAACTTTTTTTCGATGTTCATTTCTATTAATTTAATAGCTTTTGCTACTTTGCTCAATTGGAATTCACCAAAAAAACCATCATCATTTGATTCATCATCAGTAATCATCCTTTTATTATATTAAAGCAATGATGATAATAACAATATGATATTTTTCAGGTTTAATGGTTCAATGAATTTTTATCTTCAATTCAATGTTCAATTATCATCGTTACTCACTGAATAACCATCATGCTCATGATCATTACTTCAAAACGAATCTAAATTTAGAGTCACAATTCAGCCCAATTAAGTTAATTATCTCATTCAGTTCATATCAAGAACTTTAGCTTCTGGTAAATTCTCAATTCTAGACGGACCAGAATTCCGGAAATTCAACAGGTCATTTTAAAGACAACAATCAACTTACAGAATCCCATTTTTTGTTTAAAAAAATTCTAATTTAAAAGCTCGGAAGTTTATAAAATATTATCTCATGAAATTGGATTAGATATGAAATTGAATGTTATCTAAACCTGATTAGAAACCAGGGAATGAAATTTCCATTGAATCGTGACTTGCACTGGTTCATCAATCCTATTCGGGTTAACTGTTCCGTAATAACTTTAATTCACAATTTGATAAACCAATTGTTGGTTAGAATGAGAATGAAAAAAAGAGATTCATTGGTAAAGATTAAGTTGAGAAGAAGCCAGAATGAATTCGAAGGTGACTCGAGAGAACTAGATAGAGAAACTCGAATATGTATTGAAAGAAAAAAAAAATTTTCTGCCTTCGTTTTTTTCTTCTTTCTTAGTGAATCATTCTAATCAGATTAAATTCTCCAAGGAAAAGAAAAACTGATAAAAATTCGACTTTTCTTTCGAAATCCAAGAGACAGAATCAGCTGAAGCTCGAAGAGGAAAACAGAAGAGTATAATCAGATCGACGTGAAAGATAAGAATGAAAAGTTACCTTCAACTGAACGAATAGTGAAATCATTTCATTATCGATCTAGATGAACATGGAATGAAACAGAATATCATCAGAATTTTTATCACACTGAGAGAGAAGGTGAGAATATTCCTGTTCCAGTCCTTTAAAAGTATTAAAACTTGTGAAAGGAAAAATAATCAATATCATAATGTAAAAATCTCAAGTAATTTAAAGGTGAAACAATCCAACCCACCATGATAATATTGAATCCAGAATAATCTCAATATCGAGTGAGTAAAATGAAAAAAAAAGATATTTTCATGTATTATTATTATTATATTAATATTCAACTTTCTCCAAATATTCACTTCCACAAATCACTTTGACTAAACATACTCATGTTGATTATTATTTACTGTTAGTATTAAATCAAGGCAACATTGAACAAGAAACAAATTCAACACCAAAGAAACAACACAGAAACAATATAACATGAATTCTGTCAGAACTTTTATCTAAGCAAAATGTTATCACATTGACATAATGTTTTCTATTGGGGAAAAATAGAAAACATGATAATATATCAAAACGATATTTTATAAGACTGGAAAAAGTTCTTTATTCGATAGTTTTCCTGCCTCTCAGTTCTACGGAAGTACAAATATGATTATGTTCAGTGAATGAACTTTTAGCCGCATAGAATTAGTAGTTGGGAAATTTTCTTCTCATATTTTCACATTATCATGAAAACCACTACAAGGAAGATATTGAGTCAAGAACTTTTGAGATGATAAGCATCTTTTGGCACTTGCATCGTGTAACTATCATGATGTTTGCTTGGATGCTCAGTTACATATACAATTGATGAATAAAAAACTAGAATCTCCTCGAAAGAAACAATATTTATCTCCCTTTTTTCATCATTTCTTGTTTCCCATTCTTACAGGATATCATGAAAAAAATAAATTCAATGATTCAGCAGAAACGGATAAAGTAAAAGTATCTCAACGTATTCATATATGTTACTCAATATCTCATCTTCCTGATCAACTTGAAACAAGATATACTTTTATTAATATCATAGAAATACATTGAATCCCCTGATGTGTCTCAACAGGAGGCTCCAACTTCATGGGTAATCTTTGATTCTACTCCTGCATCTCAACCAGAATGAATCTTATCAAATCCTTCAATTCTCTAGAACTTTTTTTCGCAAAATTTTGAATAGAATCTATTTTTTTTCCATTCTCTTCTTTTCCTGTCTCATACACTACCATCAACCGACTACTAACTATCAACTTTACACAAATGAATAGATACACAAAACAATGATAATGATTCCCAAGATAACTATAAATCATTTGGTATCAAAAGTTGATCAGAAACAATAACACTCAATGAAGATGCTACATTTATATAAAACCACCAACATTCAGGTCAACCAATGTTACAGAACTGAGACTTCACATGGAAAGTATTAGATTCAATGGACTGAAAGTTTCAAGAATCGGGAAAAAGGCTTGAGTTGTTATTCAATTTCAACCATAAACTCAAGGCACAACGACGAGCTTCACTTTTTACAAGAGTCCGTGAGAATCATGTTCATCAATTAAACAGTCAATAAGATTAGATTATATTACTTGAGACATTTTTATATTAAATATGAATGCTGAATGAAACTTCTGAATAATCACATTATCATGAAATGTTTGAACAGAAAACTGTTATCATGGTGGATAAAAATAGTATCAGTTATTATGTTTTTTTCCTCTTTCCCGCTCTGAGTAATATTCAGGGTAACTTTCAGAACTTTTCTCTTTTCTTTTTCTTCTATCGATTCTCTTGTTCAGCTTATATCCTGAAATTTATTGCATGTTATCATAATGATATGAATATTATCAGTCAGGGTAAGAACCAAAACAACAACAATAACCATTCAAGTTTCATGTATTTTTTATTATCATCATGATGCTTATCAGTAATTTATGATTACACTTCAATAGCTTAATATCACAATTGATTGATAGATTAATTGAAATATAAGATTAATATTATCAACAAAAATGGACAAAAGTCAAAGCCTGATTGTTTTATGTCATAAGAAATTTTCTCATCAACTTAATCATTTGATTACATTAAATTCTATCTAATTATCTTCAATTTATCTTATTTTAATGTATGATTTCAATTAATTTAAATCTAATTACTAATTACTCAGCACTAATGTGCATTAACATGATGATAATGGAGATAGTTCAAGTTCGTAAAACTTTTCAAAAGTTATAATCTTATTTTCTTATAACTTTTTGACTTTGAATTAGACGAAAAATTTTCACATCGATCCTTATATTTAACATGATTGTGTCTCAATTATCGTCAAGATGAATGTGATTAAATTAAATTAAATTAGTTATGATTAACATTATCTTTCCACTTTTCTAAAATTTTGGAATAAAATTTGACAGAATGTTAAGAATTTCCCCATGAAAAAATGTTCTATCCCATCTGAATGTCATTTCAAATTTTTTTAGCCTTTTCATTGCTTTGCTTTCGAGTCTTCAGTTAATATTATTCATATTCTTCGATAGATAAATTTCACTTCTTTTGCGATATTATTAGAATCTTGAGAATTTTTCACATTCTCATTCGATAGAAAACAAGTTCTCAGCTCTAATCATCAAGGGATATATTCAAATTCATTGGTTGGAATTCCAAGAGCATGATAGTAGGATAACATAACCTAAAGTATATTTACCTTTCTCCAGGAAAATATAATATTTTTCTCGTTATTCTTGAGATTCTATCACATCTATTTCTTGTACAATACTCAGAACAGCTCAGAACAATTTATACTGAATTCCAAAGAAAACAGTGATAGCAGATATTTATCTATTCGAGATAAATATTAAATCTCACTGATTAATTCAAGTAATTATTCAAGTATGAATATCGTCAGGATGATAATTATACTGTTAATTTATCTAATCGTTTGATATGATTCATAATATTGAGCTGTGATGATCAATTGATTGATTCAACTCTTACCTTGAATAATAAGCTCGATCCTACGTTCATCTGTTCCGTATAAATTTGATCCTGTACATGAATAGAGACCAGAATCTGATCTTGAACTTGAGCGAATTAAGAATTTGGAAATATATTCAGAAGTCAAGGCTTGATTTTCCTCAAAAATTTGCTGCATCGCGAGGTTAGTTAAACTCTTAGAATCTTTTGTCCAGGTAATTTTAATGGGCATCTCACCATGAGAGACACAACTTATTTCAATTGAATCTCCTTTTTGAGCTTTGATTGATTGAAATCTCTCAGTAAATCGAGCAGGAACTGTGATTCAAATGATAAACACGATTAGTTCAATTGTTCAAATCGATTAAATTTGTTTCTCAAGTTACTTACTGTGGACATTTACTTTGACCACAGCACTTAATGGTGTCCCGATCCCATTACTGGCTTCGCACATGTAACTACCAGAATCATGTGAAGAAATTTCAATAAAATAAAGTGACCCATTGACCAGAGTTTGAACTTGAGAGCCGCTGATAATTGTCTTATAATTGTTAACTGACCACTGGTCAGATGATTTTTTCCACAATACTCTGGGTTCTGGTTTACCAAAGGCTTGACAGTCTATTGTCAAACTCTGACCTTCGATAACCGATTTATCTTCAGGTTCAATCTTCCATTGGGGTGGAGCTAGTAGAAAATGATTAAGATGAATAGTTAATTATTAGAAGGAGATTTGTTTTTGTAATCAATTAATTTGGATGATTGAGAAATAAATAAATAAAATTGAGAGAGACAAAGAAGTGGAAGGAGGCGGAAGAAGAGGAAAAGGGATGAACAACAGAGAAGGAGGATAAATAGAAGATGATGGAAGATGAGGACAATGAAGAGCAAAGAAAAGAATGTTGTTAAGATGATAAGGATGATAAAGAATAAGATAAATGTACAAGATGAGGTAAAACTAAATATTTTTCTACGAATAGAAACTTTTCCCTGGCATGGAACTTACGATTTATGGTCAAATATTTAGACTTTGATCTGAATCATCATGGTAAACATTTTCATCTACTGAGGCGATATTATACTTTGAATAAACTGATTGTGCCAAAGAGTATCAAATGCCTGAGGGCGATTTCAGTTCTCATTTTCCACTGCTAAAGGTATGAATGAAATGCTTACTTGAGAAAAGAAAAAAATCTTCTTTCATCATCTATTCACTTTCAATTCTCATGTTTACCAACCATTGCATCTTAATATGATAGAAAACAAATTCTCAACTGACCATTAGTTTCCTCTTTTCTTGTTCCTCCTTGACCATTACCATTCATTCATACATGATATTTACCAACCAGAGGAAATAATCTAATAAATGTTATGAAATTTTCTGATCTAAATCTTTGAAAGGAAATAGTTCGAGGATATTGAGAGATTCGATTCGTGAATATAAAACATGATAATCATCATGGATCTGAGGATGATAATAAATCGAAATCAGGAAATCATGGAAATGATAAATTCTTTAAAATCTTAATTACTCATTTTTCCTTAGTAAAAAAAGAGCAAAACAAAGTTCAATTTGTTTACAGGAAATTCAGAGTGAGTTCTTGGAACAATATCAAAATTGTCTAAACAAAGGGATAATCAAAACTGATGAAAATAAGAAATTTTCAGGAAATTATTTAATATACCAAATAAACTCAATTCAAAGTTGAGGATTTAATGAAAAATGTTCATTTTTTATCTTTGGGCATCAACTGATTGAGCTTGGGATTCAGGAGAACTGTTGAGAAACAATTGATTAATGATGTTACTGATTATTTCGTTAGACGTTAAATGTAATAATACTTTTTGGTTATAACAATATAACGATGATCCTTTTTTGCTTTAAGGATCATGATGATGATGTGGAAGAGATTTTGCCTATTTAAGGTGAGAAATGATAAATTAGTTGACAGAAAATCATCAATTGTTACCATGAAAATTAATCATATCAATAGAAACATTTCTTACTCTTCATTAATCAAAAAATTAACTCAACCACCATTAGAGATGAGTCGAGGGAAATGCGAAAGGATTAACTTAAGGTAAATGGATTCATCAAAATCCATAATCATGATTATGATTACCATTATCATGATATTAATGGTTATCAGGAGTTGAAAAGTTTTCAATAAAATTCATGAGGAAATTGAGTTATCAAACTTTTTCAAACTTCTTCAAAATAATCACAATTATTTCAAATGATTTATGTCTCATCTGATTATCTAAATTATCATGTTGCTATCTGGTTGTTTTACTGGGAAACATTTACCTTTTTTATCTGTGTGTTAATCAGATTAATTGGTGAAATCAAATCAACTCTACTAATTGGATTAATTAAGATTAACTTGGTTTATCTTGTAAACTAATCTGGGTGACTTACTTATTTTCATTTCAATCAATTAATTAATTGAAGGAAAAAAAATTGGACAACAATAGGAAAATCTAATCAAGATTAAAGGGAAAGAAATAATTGATTTCTAATTAAAGTTGAATTGTTAGTTTGGATTATTGATTTACTTTCAACTCCAAGTTAATTATAATTGGATCAGTTCAATAGTAAACTGAATATCCTTTGGTGGCAAAGAATTAAAAATATTTAAATTAGAGATTAAAATATAAACACCTTCATGATAGAAATTTGAATTATTAAAGTTCTGATTCCTTTGTGAGCCTCACCTTTAATTCAATATCATTCATCTGGAAATGAATTGTCATTCGGTCTCCACCTAGAGAATCATGTTAATCATCATTATCTTCAAATTATTGGCCTTTCAATTCATTTCATTGAGAAAAGCACAAAAAATTCTGATTCTGATGACAAAACTATTCTGATCTATCCAATTATCACAATATAATAATTGAATTATATCCAAAAATTTTCACCGTTTCAGATTTTTACATAATCAGTTCATCTGATTATCTTCATCGTTATCGGTTAAAACACTGCTTGAATCAGATACTAAATATAATAATAATTTTCTCCTTCGTAATATATTAATGAAATTATATCTACATGAAAGGAAGACCCTGTAATCTCAGTTTCATTGTAAAAATGGATAATAAGGAAAATATAATTACGATTTCCCTTTTCTCTATCCACTTTACCCTTCAATTTATTATTATATTTGGATTGTTGTTTAAAGCAATAATCTGAAAACTAATTGAATCTTATTGTCTAGCAAAGTTAATTGAAAAGATTAGTGAGATCAGAATGAAATAATATCTTTATTAGCTTTCATGATTATCATCATGAAACTCTAGGCCCTGAATCCAATCAGGAGACAACTTTTAAAAACAGATAATATGTATTATGTATCATATTCAATGTTATTAGATATTTTTTGTTTGACCCAAAAATAGTCCAAAGGGATTGAGAGGATAATCTTTATCGTGAGATCGTAATGAGAGGATGAAAGATGCTGCAAGAAAAGTTAATGGAAAATCAGAGAAGCCGAAGAAGTTCAAGTGGCCCAAAGAAGATGAACAAAAAAAAGAGAGAAAGAAAATGAAGAAGATAAGAGAGGATGATAAGGAAGAAGAAGAAGACGAAAGAGTTGCCAATGACATGGAATAGAATGAGAATAAAGTTCTGGTAGATGAGGAAGATGGAAGTAATTTATGGAAGAGAAAAGAGAAAGTGACAAAGAAAATGATGCTGAGAGAGGAAAAGGATGATGATGATGATAACTGTAATTTGTTTGTGAAATTAGGTAAACTTGATCATCTTATTCAGGTTATTTTTATATTCTTATCTTCATTCATCAGTATCAGCATTTGATTACCTGAGGAAGCTGAATGATGAAGATGAATGTGAATCATGATCATCAATTGATATTATCATCTTCATCATCATCTACAATTGATTTAACTTGAGGGGTTTTCATATACTCTCAATCGTAATTGATTCTTTCAAGATAAAACTACAATTATCCTGAAAACGATAATGAAGATACATGAAGATGTAATAATAATAATAAAAGAAAAAGCAAAAATATTGATTCAAATTACATAATAATAATGAAACTCAATTGAAACAGATGATCAACTTTTTTACTTCATGGTAATTTTATCATCTCAATGAGAAAATATTGAAATCTGAACAAAATTTGAATTTCAGATAACGAAAAATATTCATATAATTTCAACTCATTCCATGTTGTTCATTATAAATCCTGGAAATTACTGATGCTTCCCATGAACTTTTCCAGATTAAAATGATAAAATACCTTCACTCCGACTCCATCTTAATATCATTATCATGATTGAATAATAATTGAAATGAAATATATCTTATCTTTTGTGTAGATTAGCTAAGAAAAGAAATCATTATATTAAATTAATCATTATTATCGTTCATGAGAATATCTTGTGAGAAAAGAAAAAGATTTCACTTGGAATTTTTTTCTTTCAAGTCGAACTCAATTCTTGAAAAATTTTATTCTCAATTCAAGAATATTCTGAGCTTCATTTCACAGAAATATATTCACAATCAGTGTTGGAATTAAGTCTAAATTATGTAAATCATTTTAACTTCACCTTAAATTATGGTAATGTTCATCATCTTAACAGAGTTTCACCAAAAGAGAAAAAAATTATTCTTTCGAATTAAATGAAGGCTAAAGAAACCACAGAACATGATGATCATGATGATGAAGAAGAAGATATTGTGGAAATGCTCAAGATGTAATAGCAAGTGTCTTAAGCGTAGATGAGATGAAATGTTGAGAATACCGGTGACTAGAACAGAATGTTAATCAGAGAAAGTTCTGAGTTTAACTGAGGATAAAAAAATTGGAACAAAAGTTTGCAGAATTTCATACTGAACGCATTCAGAGTTTCATCAGCTGGATGAATGAGTAACCATCAAATTCATCATCTTACCTCAGAAATTCATCAACATCATTATACAAAATGTACGAAAATATTTTGATACTTTATTTCTCAACCTTGAGCCTAGAAAATATCATGAGCTCTTCCATGTAAAAGTAAAACTTATTCACAATTATTTGATGAGATTATCAAATTCGAAACTCAAACATTACCATGGAAAAGATGTCAGGATAGTGGAGAGAGACGAAAGTTAAGCTCTTTCATGAAATTCACAATAACCATTTCTTCACAATACTAATCATTTTCAGGCCAATAACCATCATGATTATTGTGTTAATTTACTAATTCACTTTATTGAATTACTATTTAGATCTCATCTCACTTTCACACTCATCTACCATCGCCAATTTGAATAAAAGATATAAAAAGACTCGATTCCGAGATTCATATAGTTATCAGAATGTTGAATTCAACTGCATTTATTTCAAGTGTCATTTTAAAATTCAGACCAAGTAATATAAAATTCTGACTATTCACATGGCTACTAATAGACTTGAATTAAACGCGAATGCATTTAAACAAATTAAGAATCTGCAATCATTTCAAAATCTCTTGCTAACAGAGTATCTCCTTTTGTGAATCATGTTAATATTTCTCATGAACTTCATCATTTTGTTAATCAGTGAAATTGACTTAACATTACAATCATTTTCATCATAAAGTCTCTGAATTTTTCTCAAACTTTTTCTCTCATTCAAGAAAATGAAACTCGAATGAAACTTTTTTTTCTAATGTTATTATCATAAACTTTTATTTCCTAATAACTTTTTATATCTCCATCACTTTCCCCATCCACTCACATGGAACTTTCATCTTCTTTGGCATTTTTTTCTTCTACGGTTAATTCTCATAATTTTAACCAATCCTTTGAACTTTCAGTAGAGAAAAAAGATTCCATATATTAAACTAATAACATTTAAGACAATTTATCGAATACAGAATAAGAATTATTATTTTTACTTCGTCATTTCTATCAGATAATAAAAAATCATCATGATTCTCAATCGTTCCAATTGAATATACATCTAATATATTCAATGAGGAACAAAAAGATTAAATTTCCAAAACTTATTCATTATTATTTCTGCTTTTAGGAAATTCAACAAAAAAAAACTTTCCTGATTTCATGGAGATAATCAAATCTAATGATACATCTGATTGTCAAAACTTTTTTTTCTCCCTCAGCATTAACTTAATTGTGACTCAATATTCGTGCTGATTAATTAACTTAATCAACATGAATTGTTGATACTAATAATTTGTATATTGTTTATAATTAGTGATATTTACTCAATTAATGATACGAGAGAATGAAAAAATCTCTTCCTATTCAATATAAATATTATTCCTTTTCTTCCCCTGGAGCTAATTCTGATTAAGAGAATAATGAATAATCATGTTAATAATGATGATAAGATCATCATGAAAATGCTGGAAACACCTTAAAGATATTAAACAACTTTTTTTGTTCATGTTAATGCAAAGGATTTAATGAGAAATGTTAATCATGTGGAGGAAAAAAATATAATCATGATAATTTATTAAGATTCTGATTCCTGGTGGAGAATTGACAGAATGGAAATGTGAATGAATTTCGGATAGGAAATCACAGAATTTACTTAGTCTATAATTTATATCGTTTCTTTTCTTCCTCATGTAGTAATAATTCAGATGATAATAGGTTGTGATATGTTTGCCCTCAGGGCGAAAATATTTGGTCCCCATTATTTTGACTAATGTCATTATTCACACTAAATCGTAGCTTATCATCATTATCATCATTGGAAATTATTACTACCCGACAGAATTTACAGAATATTCTTAACAATATTATCATGATTATCATGAGATCAACTGAGAGAATGAGAGAGATAAATAAGAAGAAAGATTCTGAGCCTTCGAATCAATGAGAAAACTATTTTCTAAGTTATTATTTTTGTTCTTTATTGAGACAGAATATATTAATTCACCTGATGAGACAGCAATTGTATCGTCAAATCACCTCAGGCCCTCAAATATCATCATCAATTCTCATCTCAGTTGCCTCATTCTCTTTCACCTCCCATTGATCTCTGTGAGTTCTGTGAGCTCACAAAATTCAGCAAATTTTTTCTTCCCTTTCAGTTTCTCATAAATTAATCAAATCTCATCATCTTAATATGAATTATCAATAAGATTTGATTGGATTAATTCACTTCAAATTGTAATCACTCGATAGTCTCCAGAAGATTAACTCTAGTTAGTCATTTTCATTGGAATCAACGACTGGACTGGATTTCAATTCGATTTGATTAATTAATTAAAGAATTCAAATAAAAAGTCATCTTTTCGATAAATTTTAAAGTTGAATTTTCCTCTATTACTTGTAAATCTCTTGAGTATTTCATGTTCATTTCAACATTGAATTAAATCTGATTACTTCCTGATAATTTGTAACTTTGTTATAATTCAAATGAAATTAACATATGATTGTGATAATAGTTTCATTCAGTGGAAACCATTTATTACGTGCAAAGATGTACTAACATAAAGTCTAAGTAATTTAGTGAATAAGAAATGTTAACAATGATTAAGATGATTATAATATTATACATGATGAATGATGAGATTAGTTTATTGCTACTCAGGCAAGAATCTGAATTGAGAATAATTAAAGTGAAAGTTATCACCATTATTAGTAGATATTAGATATGAAACATCTAATTCATTAAAATACTGATTAGATTGGAATAATTAATCTGTTATCTTGTGTTCATAATTCATGATTAAAGTTAATTGTGGTTATCATGGTGACTCTGTTAATGCTCAAGTCATTATTATACTAAAATAAGTCGGGAAAGATTGAGTTTTTCAAGGGAAAAGTAAATTATGATTTGTGAGGATTGGTTATATTATTTGGATGATGGTTATGATGATGGTTACACCGAGAAAAGATGAGAAAGAGAATGAGATGAAAGATGAAGATGATAATATGAATGGAGGAAGAGATGATGAGAAATGTTGGATAAAATGGTGAATGGATTGATGGTTATTTCTTGACACTCAACTGATGATCAATAATGGATAAGGTGTGAGAATGTGAATCAACTTTTTACCGATGGTTGACTGAGTATAAAAGACAAAAATGAATGAAAATGGAACTAGAAGATGAGGATGAGAAGATGAGGATGAGAAAAAGGAGGAAGATGAGAAACAAGAATCTTCTACTTGGAATTTACAGGTTAAATCGATAAAAAGGACGTGTTCGAGATTCGAACATGAAAAGTTTACCTTCTTTTCCCACAAATAATATGGAATAAATTCTGAGTCTCTTTCCCATTCTTCGCATGTGATGATGTAATAGGAACAAAACTTTGAGATTGAGTTAAATTATCTGATGATGATGAAGATGCAACTGTCAACAATCGTGATTTCAGTTCAAATTTCTGATTATCATCATGATGATCATGTTGTCAAAATGAACACCAACTCTCAATGACAAATGATAAAAGTGTAAGAAGTAAAAAATAACTATTGACTTGGAAGGTTGAGAGAAGGATATTTAATAAGTTATAACTAATCAGGGAATTAATGAGATAACTGTTAATATCTTAGACAAAGTGACTTGAGAATTATCATGTCAAAGAATCGTAGCCTCATGATATCTAAAAATAGCTTCACTGATGTAGGGATGAATACATGATAATACTAACATCAAACATGAACCAAAGTTCAGATGAATCATCAAATGGATAAGAGAAAAATTTGAAATCGAGTTATGGCTTTTTTGCTTTTTCTCAAAATAGTAAATCAAAATGATAATTCATGACTTTTGACCCTTGGAACAGCAAAAGTTTCATGTCCATGTGATGATATAATCATGAAATAAGTTCAACACTTGGTCAATGGAAAAACTCAACTTGGAAATAAATTCTGGTCAATATTTATCTATCTTGGAATTGGATATTATTATCACTCCCAAGGGTCAACATCATAGCAGATGAGAGTTATGTAAATTTCATGTTGATCTGAATGACTTGCAATTGAATTGTTTTGCAGGGTGAATTCAGGGAAATAAACTTGAGTAGTTTTCATTTCTTTTCCCGAGTTTATTTATTTTCACTTGAAAAGTTTAATCATCATTATCTTCATCTTAACTGGACATTTATTAGTTGAAAATGTTTATCATGATAAAACTCAATCAAGATGAAAAACAAATAGTGGATATTTAATTGCTAAGCAAAAGCAATTAAATCCAATTTCATCATGAAAACTCAATTGTAATTCATTTTATTCACACAAATAAAATGCCTGAATTACAAGAAAACAATATTATCCTTATTATTATTAAATGTTCAGAGGAAAATGGTTCCAATGAGAAAAGATGATAATCAAGATGATGATGAAAAGATTATCTTCATCTTCATCATCATCATCAATGGAAAATAGTAACTGAATAATCTTGTGATCTTTTTCTGTTCAAGTATTTTTACTTTCAACTTAATTCGTTGTTCATGTTACTTCAATTTCCTTGTTCCAAGTCAATCAATCAATATAAATATAAGACGATGACTTATCTTCCCATGTGAAAACAAAAGGTATGAGGCAAAAGGGATGATAAGATGAGAGGGATAAGGTGTTGGGATGAAGGATGAAGATGATGATACTCACAGTCAACTGAAAGATGAATTGTGTGGTTGTTTGTTGATGCTTCATTTGATGCTACACAAGAATATATCCCAGAATGATCTTGTCGCAATGGCTTGAAAATCAACGTCGATATGAAATCGTCCACTTTTTCGAGGTGAATGTCACTGGTCAGTATTAAGGGTTGACCATTTTTCAACCATTGAATGTCAATCGGTACATCGCCCGTTGTGATCGTACACGTTACCGAGGCTCTCATACCTTCCTGTAAATTGCTTCCAAAACTGAATGGCATAATTGTTGGGGCAACTGAATAGAAAACAATTAACAATAAATCATCATTAACGATCACCATTATTATATTAATCATCTCTTTAATCATTATTATAACAAACAAAAAATTTGATTCACTTATTAGCCTAATCATAATGCTGCTCCTATTCAGCTTATTATTATTGTATCATCATCGTTATTGGAGCTTGAGTTTTATTTTTCATTGTTCATGATTAAGCTAATAAACTTGATTAGGTTGATTTGATTACGATACATAAATCAGTTATTTTCATTTTCATTTGAGTTAATTGTCGCATGATAACATTTAGGCTTTAATTGTCTGACTCAATTAATTGTCTATGAGATTAGATTGCTTGAGATAATGTAATCCGTTTAATGTATTTCAACCTAATTGTTAGTTAATCTGGTTCCAATCTGAACATAGTTTTTTTGTTATTATTATCTAACAACAATCAGTTTAATCATGTTTTCACAATGTAATTATCTGTTGGCTGTTTACTAAATTGTTTAATGATTATAATGGTTAACGGTTATTGTGATGATCATGTTGATTCTGATCATTGTTAAAGTTAATTTTTATTAAACTTTTAATGGTGTAGTGATTAATGTTTAAAAAAAGCTCTTCCTTTACCAACAATGTACAAGATCAATGAGTTTAATCAAATCAATTAGTAAATATAAATGGTTAATGATTAAAGCAGTTGCTTTTGATTACTGAATTATTAGACAATCAAACTGGTTAATGATTTAAAATAATCTCAATTGTCAGGATTTTAATCTACTATCAGTTAATCAAAATGGTAAATATTTTTTGACTGATTAACAAATTGAATCATTAACTTAATTAGAATCAGCACCTTAATCATGAATCTCCTGGGATTTGAATAATGAAGCAAAATCTTACTTTTTTTTCACAACAATTAACTACACAATCCCCAGTTGATTTAGCCTGTTAATTAGTAGATTAATTGATCAACAGTAGCCATGAAATAAGGTAACAATTTAATTAATCAGATTAACACTTAAAGTTATCTATATAAGTAAAAATTAATCAACTCAATTAATAAATTGTTCAAATGTGAAAACAATGATTGTGTTATTACAAAATAAGATTATCGTCTAACGTAATCATCATCTAATCAATTAAGTTAATTGTTTAAATCAATTAGATAACGATAATAACAAGACCCATTTGATGGTAAAAAAATTCTCAATCAAATTACAGGTTAGAACTTTTTTTTCAATTCGATATTGTTATTGAATTATTATCATTATTTAGGTTAAACCGTAATTGAATTTACCTGTTCTGAGTTTGTTATTAAATTTAATTTTATGGATTAACTGATTTTCAGATCTCATTATAGTCGATAAGTATTGCTTTCAAAGTTCATACATGATATTTCATTATTCCAGTTGAATAGATTTTTTTTCTGGATTCATCATGATGAGCTCAATTTCCTTAATGAACTGACCAACTCTTGCTATTGGATAATATCATCATGCTAATTGAATGCGATTCTTGGTGATAGAGAAAATCGAGTTTTCATTTTTTACTTTTTACTTTCCAATGTTAATTAAATGAGACTTTTTTTCTCATCTAATATTGAGAATTTGTTTAAACTTTTTCTCTTCTCAGTTTTGATTCATTCAACTTTTGGAACTTTTCTGAATCAAGTGTAGGGATAGTTTCATTGGCTATTGTTTCATGGTTGGAAAATTTTCTCAGTCTAAAATGCTCAGAATTTTGTCATTCTTTTCTCAATTAAAATTGAATAATGACATTCGGTTTGAACAGTTGGAAGCTGTGACCTCAACCACCTTAATCATCGTTTTGCCTTCGTAATAATAGACTTTGTCAACCATCATCTCCATCATGATCATCATCAAGATTTACTCAGAATGGAGGTTTTTACAAGAGACAGAACAAATAAAATGAACACCATGAAAGAAGATAATGATAATAGAGTGAATGAAAAGAAGATGAAGAGAAAGCTAAAGGAAGAGTATGTTTTCTTGCCCTTTTCCTTTTCTTCCTCATCAATAGAGATCAAACTGAGCCTATTCTTAATCACAAGGTATTTTCATAAGAAATGAATAGTTTTCATCTTCCTCCTTTCTTTTCACCTCCACCCCGATTCCCATGTAATAATAATACTACATGGGAATAAGGGTTTTCTACAAGAGTCTATGAATAATGCAACAATAACATGAGATACATTTATTGCTCGATATGCTTCCAATGTAAAGGTAACCAATTCTCTCACATTTACCATAAGAATAAAATCTTGTGATGGATTAATTTGTTTTCCTATTGATAATATTTAGCAGATTTATATTCATCATGAGAAATTAGAAGATTAACTTACCAAGAACACGAACACCAATTCGTCTTTCAGCTGATCGTCCATCTTTGTCTTCAACCAGGCACTTATATTCACCTTCATCTTCTTGTCTAAATACATTATGAACAACCAAAGTACCGTTAGGATAAACTGTTTGTCGTCGATTAATAGGAAGTTGTCGATCACCTGGGAAGAAAATAATAGCAATTAGAATTTATCAATAATCAACATTCACTCGAAAGGAATTGTCATTTATTCAGATTTAATATTCGGCTGTTGAATTTACATCATAAACTTCAAATATTAACTTGGTTTCACTCGATATCCTATTTCCTTCAACTCGGCGTAAAAGTCATGGAAAATATCATGATGGTATTTTGACTAACAGTTCTTGATATAAGATAATCATTACGTGTTAAAATGGTAACAATTTTCTTATTCCATCATTTCCGTTTCAATTTAAATGAACTTTTCTCACTTCATGTAAAAACTCAGCTTCCTCCAAGATATGATTAATGATCATCTCTCCGTTATTTTGACCAAAATCATGGTGATTTTATGAAATATTCATTAATGATCATAATGAATTCTAAGATGAATCTATTGTCAACGAAAATCAACTGATATAATTAAAATAGAGGCAAATGGTGGATATTTTTTCATCAGTTCTTATGGACATTAGTAAGATAGAAATAGAATGACCGAAACTATCAGATTCTTGGATTGATATTTATTGATTATCATTATTATTGATAAATAGTGAATCATAAATCAAGAAGGAGGAATTATTAATTTAGATGGAAAAGTTTAGAAGGATGGGAATGAAAATTCAGTGAGCTTTTCATGAGGAGATTCCAAAGGAAATGTTTGAAAACTGTTCAGGAAATTGATATAAGAAATGACCCTTTCTTATCAATGGATTTTTGCTATCAATATTTTCTTCCAATTCAGTGAACTTTTAAATGATGATTCAGTTCAATCTTCATATTGATTATCATGTTGATCATTGTTGTTGCTCTCTAAGTGTATAAAACAGGAAATTACAATTGAATTGAAATTTTAAAGAATCATTAACTAATGGCTAATATCATTAAACAATTATCCATTTAAGTTATTGCTTTTTTCCAATGGAATCAATTGTAAACTAACAACCTTCAAAAGGGAAACTTCAATCCCTTACAAATGGATTGAATCTGAAATTCAGTTCAAGATTAATCTGATAGAACTCATTTGATATCATCTGTTTCATGTAATCTTTTTGGTTTATTTCCTTTCAATAATCAGGTAGTTGACAGTGTTTACTTTATAATTGAATTAAATCACTTTGATTAGACACAGTTAGATTAGTGTGGTTAAGAAAAGAAAATAATTAAATCTACTTTTTATATATAACAATTACTATTATTTTAGATTAGTAGATAAACATTGATTCCCATTGAGACAAATTCATGGTTGAAATTGGATAAACAATAGACTAACGGTAAATTGAAATAGAAAATAACGAAAAAAGGCAATCATGCAATTGAAAGACAATCAAACAATTAAGGTGAATTAAAGTCAACTAATTGAAATCAATTATCAGAAAATTTCACGATTTTGATTAACTTTCTGATAGACATTACTGACCAATAGATGACCCATCAAGATTTGCTCAGAAGATATTAAAATACAAGAGTATTAGATGAACAGTTATGATCTGATTATTATATGAATACGATTCATGATGTTGATGAGAAGTAAAAGTTTCAACCTATTGTTGATAAATATCATGATAATCATGTAAAAGGAAGGAAATTTATTAACAGCGAAATAAATTTTCAAATGTATTATCATTTTGTATCTATTTTATTGCAAAATTTTTTTATCAACCGGAAGAAAATGTTTCATTGAGCCTGAAAACATTTTGTTTCATTATCATGAATGATGTTTTGTGCAGATCAAACAATCAGACAAATTGTTTGGGCAATAAATTATAACAATTTAAAGTGTGTATTTGAATGGTATCAGTGAAACGGAAACTATTTAACTTGCTCAATTTATGACCATGTAATTGTTGTGGTAATACAATCAAACAATTCAACTGAAATCTGAATAATTTATTTCATCAAACAAATCGGATGCAGTTCACTTTTTTACATGATATCGTTTCTGAGATTCAGTTGTAAATATAATAAAATTTTCAAAATCAGTAAAGTTCTGAGACTGATTACTTTTTACATGAAATTATGTTTCTTTTTTTTATCTTCATGATAACAAGTTCCTACTGATGGGAGTGTTTACACTTGGGAGTTTTGTAGCATTCATTTGGATTCTGATTCGCAATTGAATTTCCTGAGATTTGGATTCAGTATTTTCTTTCACTATTTTCCTCATCTTCTCATTATGAATCAATTTCTTACTGATACTCTGTGATATCAACGTTCAAGTTTCCTGGATGAAATTTTTTCTCTCAATGATTGTTTCCGAAATCGGTTAACACTGACCAGATCAACTGACCATTGGGTATCTTTTGAGTGGGAAAGGAGATTAAGATACATCTAAACAAAGAAACGAAACTTTTTGTTTCCCTGTAGTGAATTCAATTCTCAATTCATGGGGGTGGGATAACATGAGATGAGTTTCATTGACCACCTCCTGAGAAATGAATCATGTGAATGAAATGAAGACTTTTTTTCAAACTCAACTGATCAGGATGATGGAAAGAAAGACAATGAAAGATTCCCTTTGATTATTAATAAAAAAGGGAAGACAAAGATGAGGATGATGATGATGATGATGATGAGAAGATCTTTGTGAAAGAGAAAGTGTTTTTTTCTATTCCTTATTCATCTCGTCCCAAATAATATCTTGGACTTGCCTTTTTTTATACGGTTCAACTATTCCAAGGGACAACTCCCAGTGAATAACTGAATCTCATGCTCATGAAGTTTCATCATGACTTTTGCTCAACGGTCTGTAAGATGTTGTCTAACTTATCCAACTTTTAATACAAATAAAATATATCCTTAAAGAGACTGATTTTGATACAATGAACAGAATGGTCGAGATTATTACCAAGTGACAAGCGAAAAGCTCAATGGTTATTTTAGTACTTGACAGAATATTCAACAAATAAATATATCATTTTCATGTGGAATAATATGAAACCAAGTCAACTACATCATAAGATCATTAGCATTCATTGTCTTTGAGTTTCCACAAGAATATTGGAAATACATTTACTCTTTTAGAAAGAGAAAAAGTTATTCTCAATTATCTTTCGGTCTAATGATCTGAATGATCTTAAATATCTGAATCAACTTTTTCTTGGGTAATTTGAGTCTAAAATTATTGATTAAATTGCTCACCTTTGAACCAGGACAATGATGATAGACGATAAATTGAATACGGACAATTTATGTACATGGGCCGACCTGCGACTACGGTCAAGTTTCTCATTAGTTTTATAAAAGGTGGACCAATAACATGGATCCAAGACTGAGCTGTTTCAGACCCAAGGTCATTAATCGCTGTGCACTCGTACCGTCCTCCCTCTTCAACACTAACACGAGATATATTGATAAATGATATCACTGAACCATCAGATGAAACATAATCACCAATTCTGAGTCTCGATGAGTCTGTAACTGAGTAACCATGAGTCGTCCACATGATCTGAGGTAAAGGGTTGCCCTTGGCAGAGCAACGCAACGAAACCATTGAATCGGGTGAAACAGTTACATTGGACGGTCGCTTCAATAACAATGGTGCTTGACCTGTGGTCACGAAAAAAGAGATAAACAAATAAAACCGATCAACCAAATGGATTAACAAGACCGATTACACGATAATAAGAATCAGAAAGGAATATAAATAAATCACAAGAATCAGAAAACATGATAATGGATAACAAGAGAAAGAGAAAGAGAAAAGTAAAGAGACCGATAAAATAAATATAACAATTCTGAAAGAAGAGAATTGGAAGAAAAAAAGAATAGTAAATAGACATTAGATTCTAAATCAAGACAAATGTCTAAATTATTTTGATTCTTTTATTTTGTGCTGGTTCAACGATTTCCAATATATCGATGGATATTTTTTCCTTCCTTCATCTTCTATCATGCTGGTGAAATGAAATCATTCCAGTTCTGAGAATTTCTTTCTCAACTGTTCAGATAGAAAAGGAAGAGCAAATAAAAAAGTTTCTATTTCTCTTTTCTGCTTATAAATGTTCAATTTTTGATATAAAGTTCAATTGAACATCATTGACAAGCATCATGATGATTATCATGAAGATGAAAACTATTATCATAATGAAAGATGATCAACTTACCATAAGCTTGAGGTAAAAGCGATACAATGTAAATTGTTGCTATTGTGATACAAATGTTATGAAAAGAAAGCACTTTAACTATTGATGGAAACATCACTTTATCCTTTGATTTGATCATTACAATTAATTGTTTGATTAACTTTAATTAAAAAAGATTCGGTCTTGTTGGTAAATGGTTATCCGAGTTGTTAATTGTGTTGAACATTTTTAATCACAAGGAGACACTCACACGGCAAAAGCACAGTTAACACTGATTAAAACAACAGTTTACGTTCAATTGATTGATAATTTTTATCAAATCATCAACCTTATTGGTTTAACAGTTAATTGTTGTTGATCATTTAAAAAAAAAAACAAGTCTCATCATATCTTTGGTGTAACTTTTTGATTAATCTAATTTTTTGATAACATATTCTAACTGTTGACTGATTACTTGTAATTGATTGTTGGCTTTACAATTAGAATTCATTGGTTGTCTATTGTCTTAATTATCTTATAATCTTATAATTGCTTCTACTGATTAAATGATAATAATGATAATCATATTAAGAGGAAGGAGAAATTATAAGAAAAAAGAGGATGAATAAAGATGGAATTGGAAAATGATACAAAAAAGTTGTTACAATTCACATTATATCAACATGATAACCTTGTGGGTTCGTTGCTAACAGAATCAGTTCTGATAACAGTTTATTCAGTTCTCTTTCTAAGTTCTAATAGAACTTTCAACTCGATAGATAAAATGAACTCCATCAGAACTTTTTTCTGCCTTCGAATTCAAACCAATCTGAATGAAGCTCAAAGCTCCATCTTTTGATCACTAGAGTTAATTTACTGTTATCTTGTCGCAATTAAAAGCTTTACCTTTGATTGTCCTCTTATTTACTAAATTTAAAATCCGAACGATTTTTGATTAATTGAAATTCGATTGAAAAATATTTTTCTTTGTTGATGAAATTAACTGTTTACTTTTTTTCTACTCTCATTTTTGTTCATTTACTTTCCGTCTATTTTCAGGTTTTCCATTCTATTGTGCATAAATATTGATTTCGAAAATATTGTTTAAATTGATTGTTCTAAATAATTAATTTTCCTTCTTAATTGAGTTTCAATTTGTTTCCTTTTTCTTGTGTCGTTACGCTTTTTTCTTATTGAACGTCCCCTTCTTCAATTCGGTTGCCATGACTACGCGGGGCTATTTTGAATTTTTGTTAACCGTCTTTTTGTTTGACTCTCTTGTTGTTAATCTGATTCAATTTTATTGTTTCTTTTTCGCTTTTTAATTACAATTATTTTTTTATATTGCTGACTAATTGTTGTTAGAAATTGTTCTTTTTGTGTGTGTGTCAACTATTTAGTCTGTAATTACAATGACCCTTTTGGAAAACACTAATGAATTCAAGTTGGAATCACCGCCAACCGACTGTATACAAAACATTAAATTTGGATTAACGTCTTCACAATTTCTGTTAACCGCTTCTTGGGACACTCATGTCCGTCTGTATGATATTACTGTAAATAAATTGAAAACTCAATATAAACATAATTCACCAGTTCTCGATTGTTGTTTCCAAGTAAGTTTCAAGAGATAATTGGTTCTTCCTTCAATCTTTTCTTTTGCTAATTTTAGTTTGATTTTTATGTTGTTTCTTTAACCGTCTTTAGGATAACAATCATGCCTGGAGTGGTGGTTTCGATCAACAAGTCAAGATCTTTGACTTAGCTGCCGGTGTTGAAACTGTTGCTGGTTCTCATAATGGAGCAATTAGATGCGTTGAATATGCTCCTGATATCAATGTTGTCATTACTGGAGGTTGGGATGCTTGTGTCAAACTATGGGACGCTCGATCACCGTCACCATCAGGCTCTTTTGCTCAGCCTGACAAAATTTACACTATGGACGTTTGTGGAGAGACATTAGTGGTTGGAACTGCTGGTCGTCGAGTTCTTGTTTGGGATCTCAGGAATATGTCCTATGTTCAACAAAGGCGAGAATCTTCACTAAAATACCAAACAAGGTACATAAAATGCTTCCCAAACAAACAAGGCTACGTTTTAAGCTCAATTGAGGGTAGAGTGTCCGTTGAATATTTTGACCCAGCGCCCGAAGCTCAGAAGAAAAAATATGCCTTTAAATGTCATAGAAACAAAGATACGACCACAGGAATCGAAAACATTTACCCAGTTAATGCAATTTCGTTCCATAAAGTATATAATACATTTGCCACCGGTGGTTCAGATGGTTTCGTCAATATTTGGGATGGTTTCAATAAGAAAAGACTTTGCCAGTTCCACAAATACCCGACAAGTATCAGTTCTCTTGCGTTTTCGCCTGACAACAATTACCTTGCCATCGCTTCCTCTTACCTTTTCGAGACATCAGATGCCAAAGATATTCCAGCGGACAACATTTTCATTCGTCGTGTAACCGACCATGAAACTAAACCCAAGTAATCACATCACTAGATTTCTCTCTCTCCCTCTCTTCCTCCTCTTCCATATCAATCACTCTAATTACCTTTTTCCAATTCCTAACAAGATTTGCTCCCTCAACACTATTCACCTTTTATTCTGATTCATTGTTTTTCTTGAATCGGAAACCCAAGTACTCATTAAGGTTTTTTCATAAAAAATCTTATAATTGCACTTTAAACACAATTAATGTATCATTTTTTTACTTGTTGCACAAACTTTAATCTGATCACCTCTCAGTAATTAAGCAACTAATCATCACTTTAATAGCATTTAGCATTTTGGTTTACCCATCAAATTAACTTAATCAAATTCAATAAATGAAACTTTACATTTATTGTAATTAAAAAATGTTACACTGCTGAAAAAAAAACGTTTGAGAAAACAATATGTGATAATCAAAAGAATCTTAATTGTTCATTTCCACTTTTCAATCACTAATTGTTGTGGAATTAAAAGAAATAAGCATTCGCCGGTTGGTCCTCAGTAAATTGACTATCCCATTTAATGAGATCTTCTTGTGATTTACTTTTTCCATAATAATCAAAACAACTATAAAAAGATCCGAAGCATTTAATTGTTGCTCTTTCTTCAGCTTTCGAATCAACAATTTCCTCATGATTAACATTCTCGTCGAGCGCTTCAGTTGTTTCGCTCATTGAATCGAATTGTGAATTTTCCAGTTTGATTTCAGTTCTCGTGATCGGCGATGATGATGTGGAAGAAGATGAATCTGATTCATAATTGATTTTCTTGTTTCGTTTCAATTTTTTCAAATGAATTTTGTCTTTGGTGAAATAAGGATGTTCATACTCGTGATAATCTGTTTCACAATTGATCTTACGAAAACCATAAAGGTTTAATTGTCGAGTGAAGGAAGAAAAATTGACCGTTTTGAATCCGAGTAAATTGACCCTCAGTCCATATTGTAATTCCTTCGGATCGATGCCGATCGCTCTTCCATTTTTGGACCATTTGATTGATTCAATTTCATCAGATTCAACGAGATTCCAAAGTTTCTCAGGAAATTTTATTCTTTTTTCAGATTTACCCTTTTCTTCAGCTTTTTCTTCAAACTGTTCATCGCAATCAATTGGATAAGATGATTGGATCAATTGTGATTTAATAATCTCAGAAGATTGTTTTCTCGTCAATACCATTGCCTGATTATATCTGGATAATGAAAATACAACCAATTGGCCTAAAAACTAGTGGACAATTAAAAACAATCACATTTGTCAAGAGTAAACTGATTGAAATGAGTTTTAATCTTTTGTCTATCATATCCTGAAGAGCTTAACAATTACATTGTTGTCTTTTTAAATTCTGGGAATTACAAATTAAATATAATGACTTCTTGTATCGAATCAGTGGTGAAAATTGGATTAGACTTTTAATCTTTTCACTCTACGCGGATCGCGTTGGATAAACACAATACCCGAGAAATTAGGCAAACTGATTGGAATAAAAAATTTATATAAGGCTTTGTCACCGTAAATGAAGAAAAGATCTCCCTTTCCATACTGATAGTTGATGATAATGTGAGAAAAAAAAGATCAATGGTGAACATTGATCTTTGTGGACAGTTTTTTACACCAATTTCTTTGCTTCGAAGAAACTCTTAAGATGCTTCATTTGCCAAAAGCCCATGACGACAAGAATAACCGTTTGTCCCAATGACCACCATAAAACTCGAGAATTGGTACTTTCACTGGTTTGTCTAAATCTTTCCTCGCGATACCTTTGATAGTTCTGTTCTTTTGTAATCTGTTCCACTTGATCCAAAAGCTGTCTAACTCTTAATTGTAACTCGCTAAGTTTCTCTTTCTGCTGAACATGAGCATAATCAACAGCGTGTTCACCGACTTGAATATCCAAATGGACTCGTAATTGTGAACCAGCAAACCATCGAGTAGAGTTTGAGTAAAGACAAATTATGTGCTCGCCCGGAACATGTGATGTAAATGAAAATCGTCCTTCAGAGCTGTAAACTATAGACAGAGAAAATAAATCAACAAGAAAAAAAGAGATTAATGTAACTCAAAACATAAATAGATCTCAAGAAAAGATGACGTTCCAAATGTCATTTAGTAAACAAAACACCCGACTCGGTATAACCTCAATTCTTTCATCTTATCAACACAGGTCAACTCACCTTTAGAGAGCATTATTTTATCATCTGGATCTCTTACTTCAACATGCATCCCAATTCCTGGCGATGAAGGCATATAACCTCCAGTTTGGGGATCAAATAATTGACATTTATAATTTCCTACAACAAGAGTCTCATCTGGTATTTCCTCAATGAAACATTTCCTTTCGGTTTCCCCTATATGGAAATAAAGGCAATCAGCCAATTGAATTAAGAACACTAATAATAAAGTGAAAGAAATGCTAGATGGGAACATAATTAACTACAATGGAACAAAAGTTACAATCAATATAAATTAATAAACAATTTGATAAGAATAAACCATTGACCAAATTTTTTAAATCTCTCAAATGAGACAAATGAGACACGTTACCTGATGGAGAGAAATTCTAGCGACTGGATCGCCATCTATGGGCAATGGAAATAGTCTTGGACTTGGAATCAAATTGAAACTTGACTTGAGAAATTAATCGCAATTAAAGATGATTTAATTGTTTTGCTTATTGGGAGAATCAGGGGACAGTCCAAATCTTGAATTCAATTGGAGTATTGTAAGTGTTTAATTAAATTCGCTAGTTGCTAAATTCTCTGCGATTCTGTAAATATCGATATTTTATTTCGATACTTGATATCGATACAAATTCTTGCGTTTGTTTTGATTGGAAAAGAAATGAAAAAATGAACTGATCAACATCTTAATCATTTCTAATTTTACTTGTTTATTATTGTTCGGGTCAATTTTCGTCCAATCTAATTACTACTGTAACATCTTCCAACTGTCAATAGAACATTATGACTTCTCTATTAAGCCTACTCAATATTGGACGAACTCTTGGTGGCAGATCAACACTTACCTTCATTAAAGGTCATCAATCTGCTTGTGGCTTGTTAAATAATGTAACTGATCGTCGAACTGATAAACAACAGGCCCGTGGAGCCCGTCAATGGTTTCCAGATAGACAATGGTACGAGGAAATGCATTCACCAATCGGTATTCCTGTCGATTTACCAGAACTGGAATGGGTCCCTAAAGAACAGCCATGGATTAGGCCTAAACCCTATGAAAAAGTGATACAAAATACAAGGTTTAATTTTGGTCCTCAACATCCCGCTGCTCATGGTGTACTTCGGTTAATTTGTGAAGTCGATGGAGAACAAATTATTCGTTTAGATCCACACATTGGACTTCTCCATAGAGCAACTGAAAAACTGATTGAATACAAAACATACACTCAAGCCTTACCCTACATGGATCGTCTTGATTATGTTTCCATGATGGTTAATGAGCAATGTTATTCTCTAGCAATTGAGAAACTTTTAAACATGGAGATACCCAAAAGAGCTAAATATATTAGAGTTTTGTTCGCAGAAATTACCCGTTGTCTTAATCATATGATGAACATTGGAACACAAGCCTTGGATTTGGGAGCAATTACTCCATTTTTCTGGCTTTTTGAAGAAAGAGAAAAATTATGTGAATTCTATGAGAGAGTATCTGGAGCTCGTATGCATGCAGCTTATGTAAGACCCGGCGGAGTTTCTCAAGACATACCCATGGGGCTAATGGACGATATCTATCAGTGGGCTCAACAATTTCCAAACCGAATTGATGAAATCGAAGAGCTATTAACTGGAAGTGAAATTTTCCGAGCTCGAACCATAGATATTGGTGTAATTTCAGCAGCTGATGCATTAAATTGTGGCTTCAGTGGAGTAATGGTGAGAGGAAGTGGCATCAAATGGGATCTCAGGAAAACTCAACCATACGACGATTACCAAGACTTTGAATTCAATGTTCCTGTCGGTATAAAAGGTGATTGTTATGATCGTTATCTTTGTCGAATGAATGAAATGAGAGAATCTGTTCGAATTATCGAACAATGTTTGAATAAAATGCCCGGTGGTCCTGTTAGAGCAGAAGATAATAAAGTAGTTAATCCATCGAGATCAGAAATGAAATCATCAATGGAATCTTTAATCCACCATTTCAAACTTTTCACTGAGGGATATCAAGTTCCAGCTGGGTCAACCTACACTGCAGTCGAAGCACCAAAAGGTGAATTCGGTCTCTATCTAGTGTCCGATGGGACAAGTCGCCCTTACAGATGTAAAATTAAGGCTCCTGGTTTCGCCCATTTAGCAGCAATGGACAAGATTTGCAAAGGTTCATACCTTGCCGATGTAGTGGCCGTTATTGGTACATTAGATATCGTCTTTGGTGAAATCGATCGGTAAACATATGATCCAGAAAACAACAGAAAACTATCCCTTTAATTGTAAATCTTATCCCACCCACACTCTGGAAATTGAAATGAGTTGACAATACAAAATCTAACAGGAACTCCCAAAGGCTATAGTGAATTTCATTGTTGAGTAATAAAATAAGCTCCATATTGTACAGTCTGAATAAAAAAAAGTAATTCCATCAATATTAATTTCCAATCAAAATTGGTTCAGTGAAATAACACTTATCATATGTTATGATCAAGTTGTTGATTTGATAACAATTAATGTGAAACTTTTGAAGGTTAAATTGAAAATGTAAATGAAAATATAACAGAATAACTCACTCATTTTAATCACTCTTAATTTGAAGTAATTAACAGGAACTTCATTTCATCAGAATATCATTAGTCGCTTTAATAATAATACAAATTGTCGTGCATGAGTAAATTGATGAACAGTTTACTGATCATGATGAAGGGAGAAATAAATATTTCACTAATAATGTTCATCTCGGTTCATCATCATAATCGTAATTTTTATTATTCTGACTAATCTGAAGCTGATTAGAATGTTAAATTATATTTAATTTTGTTTTGTTTTCCTTTTAATTGTCCACCAAATACCCACGATAATCAATCTATTAGAATGAGACTCAAACTTTTTCAGTTAATCAGATAACTAAAAGATTCAATAGTTATCGTAACAATTAACAATCTAATTAATACGTTTAATTGTCAACACAATTAGAAACCAATGAAACGATTAATGATTAACAACTTGACAAGTTTACCTGATTAAACAATAATTAAGACACAGAAATGAAATAACAATTAGTTGATTGTTACTAATCAAACGATAACTGCACAAGAATTGAATCAATATCAAAACTAATTATTGGTTAACTACAGTAAAAATTGTGATTGAAAATGCGAAAAATCAATCAATTACAAGTTGATTAATTAAAGATTAAATTTCGCAATTAAAAATTAGATGATAATCATTTCAACTAACAGTTAACTCGAGAGCAACAATCAAATGCAAATGCATTAAAGGTGAATTGAGATTAACCGGTAAAGTGTTAATCTATTGATGATCATGTTAATAATGTAAAAATTATTCTAATAAATTATTACCCTGATCTTGTGAGATTATCTTGAATTGTATAGGAATCTGAATAGAGAAGAAGCAAAAAATATCTAACCTATAAAAAGTAATTCTTATATTCAGGGTAACCATGAATTCCCATGATGATCAGTTGCATGTTAACATGATTGAGAAGGTTATCAAAATGAGTTACATAAACATACAAACACTTTCTTATTTATTCATATTATTATTATCAGTTGTTGAGATGATGATGATCATGGTGATGATGATGATAAGTATGATGATAATGATAATCATGATGATAACAAATCTTTAACGGTGAAATATCATTGAGATATTGATAGAACTGAAAATGGGAACAAATAAGTTGAATTTCGAGTTGATTGTTAAATATTTATGATTCAATTGTAATCATGATGATATAAATTGTATTTCCCTGCTAATATGATTAACAATAAATGAGTCACAAACAATTAATTTTGATTGGTATTAATATTACAATTAACCAATCGAAAAGTTTTTGTAAACTTTTTGTTTACCTCAATTTAAACAGCAAAAAATTAGTTAACTTTAATTACTATGTTTCAATTGCTTAACTAATTTACAAGTTTACTAATTAAATATTTAAATTTTTTATTCACATAATAATTAGCTAATTGTAACTCCAAGTCCAATTAGCTTGATTATACAGGCCGTTCTTTTATCCACTAAGACTATTTGACTGAATATCTCAAGAATTAAAAGTCCCATGAATGTCAAACTTGACCAGAGGACTGAACAGAATTGATGTGCTTGACCTTAAGATTTTCAAGGCCATTGAGGTCATTTCCATAAGAATACGGAGAAAGATCATTTTTAGGTCACCAAGTGAAATAGCATATCAAATTACTCAATTTACTCGGCTCTGAACATCCGAGACTCGAGAAATTTGGAGACCCACTGAAGCCGTTTGTCGAGATGAAGCTAATGTGTTCTTATGGAAATGACCTCAATGGCCTTGAAAATCTGCAGGTCAAGCACATCAATTCTGTTCAGTCCTCTGGTCAAGTTTGACATTCATGGGACTTTTAATTCTTGAGATATTCAGTCAAATAGTCTTAATGGATAAAAGAACGCCCTGTATTATAATATTAGTTTAAACTTAGCAATTAAATTTAAATTATTGACTTTACCACTCAAACTATTAAAATAAAAGTTGATTTATGTTATAAGTTGATTGATTGCTGGTGGTTTTAAATTTAATTGTCAGTACAATTAAATAATGTTACTCGAGAGATTTGATCATTATTTTGTTGGGGAAAATTTTTCCATTGTAATAATTAAATAGTCCAGTGATTGTAATAAACTTGAAAAAAACAAGATTTTATTGCATTTGCTGATTACAGAGTTAATTGAAAAAGACAAACAATCAATGGTTACAGTAAATTGTAAAATTGGCAAATTTCAACACTAACAATTAAGTCTAATTGTCAATAAAAGAATGGAAATTAAAAACATCGATTGACCCATTGAAGAGGCCGAATCCTTATTTGGTTGATTATAAGTGTCGTCAGGATAAGTCGCGAATCTTATATCACTTGCAATCCGATTATTATTGTTATTGTGGTTAGTTGATTCTGTTGTTGATTGTCTGGAAGAATTCAAATCAACTCTAACCGATTCAGATTCATCTGAGTCCTCAGCAGAAATTGAATTGCTATCAACTGGCTTTTGATAGTCCTTAACTGTTAATCAAAAGACAAACCGAATTAAAGTAATTAAACTGATTCCAATGATCATTATCATTTGTTTGTATTGAGCTTCAATGTTACTTTGATTGTAATCAGTGTTAATTTTGATGAAGATAATGATAATGACGATGATTAAGTTAGACCAGGATAACAGATTGATTAATTATTAACAATTTAACTCTATAAATGATCATGATTAAGATTCTGTTGGAAGAAAAAATCTAATAGGAAATTTCAAGAAACATCAGAATCCTCAGTAAGGATAATAATAATCACGATGATAATGATAACATAATCAAGTTGATAACCTAAACCAGTTATTCATCAACAATTAATAATTAATTAACTGGTTGTTAATAAACACAATCAACAGAAAACATAAACAAACAATTTCTCTCGAGTTCAATTAACAAAATCATCTGATGAAAGAAACTGATAATTTCAATGGTTAACGGTGATTCTAAATTGTTGATCAAGTAACTGGAATTAAATTCATGAAATTCAATTGATTCATGAATACGTGTTGAGTAAATCATACAATCAACTATGAAGGAGGAGATAATGATGATAACATGGGAGTTCAATGGGAGTTACTGGGTGTGGCTGTCAACTGATTACATGACAATAATTATTATCCAATTAAGGCTCAAATTGCCAGTGATCAAGTTGATTGTTGAAAGTGTTATCGATAAGGTTTATGTTTAAAGCAATAAAGTTAAAATTAATGTTAAGGTTAATCAATTGGAAAGCGAAACTTAATCATCGTAATAATAATTGTAATGATAAAGATGATGAAGATAGATTATCATAATATTGTTAATTCCCATGGGATGATATGCAAACTGAATCAAAATTGTAATTCGTGACTCTAATTGCTGTTAAAGCAGAAGAAAAGAAAAATTTTCCTCTAATAATTAACCTTCCAACAATCAAATTAACCTTTCATCAATTATTGCTACTCTTTTAGACTTGACCATTTGGCAATTCATTTCTCATTGACTCCCAAGTTAATTGTTACCTGATAATTTTAATATAATCATGTTATCTGTATCACATTTATCATTATCATATTTATATCTAGTTAATTGTAATCTTTTGATTAGTTAGGTAGTTGATTGTATAGTCTTGGGTTAACAGTTATTATTTATTGTTAACCATTAAGCCTCAATCCTAGTCAATTGGAAAAGTTAATTGTTACATTATGACTATTTTTTCAGTTTGTTTATCATTTAAATTAACTGTTACCGTTATGGTCATTAACATTGTTTATTGGTTTATGTTTGTTGTTTTTGTATTGGTCAGTAATCAGTAATGATAATGAGCTTGGACAGTGGTGATTAACTGTTATCGATGTTAATTGTTACTTACCTTGCAAAAAGATACTTGATCGGGCTAATCCAAGAGTATTGTTGACAAAGCAAATGTATCGACCTGTATCATTATAATCTAGATCAATTATGGTTAATTGATAAGTTACCTTGAAGTGGTAAGTCTTAATCAGTTGGATTACGTATTTTGATCTGATTGTTGGTGTTGATTGTGGTGAGAGGGATGAACCAAGTAAAGAATCATTTTGATCAAGCCAAATATGATCAGCGATTGGACTTGATTCACTTGAGCATTGTAAGGTTACATTGGCTCCTTTTGTACCGGTCACACTTACTGAAGGTATTCTGATAACAGGAGCAACTGAAACATAGTAATTTAATCAATGTTGATTCATTCATCAAATCAAGTTAATTGTTCCAATAGAAAAGTACTTACATTGGACATAAATCATAATTCGTCTACTAACCGATGGCGGGATACTATTGGAAGCGATACAAAGATACGAACCCATGTTCCATCTTGTAATCGGATTGAAACTTAGTTCATCTCCGATAATCTTAGGCACACCTAAAGGTGATAATTAGTATCGATTTCTTGGTGTTAATGAGATGAGTTAATGGTAGAATAACATTCACTTCTATTGAATATCATGCATTTGGTTAATTGATTACCTGATGATTCTGGATATAATCCAGAACTTGGACTTGATTGATGAATCGCTCGGCCATCTTCACGACGCCATTCAATCGTTGGACTTGGATTACCGGAAGCACGACATGTTAAGGTCAGGTTACTATTTTCACGGACTGTTTTTTCACTTCCGCTAGTAAATGAACTTTCATCTATTCGAGGAGGTTCTGAATTTCAAATATGATATAAAACAATCAAACTGAATTCAAGTAATAAGAATGAAATTAACAACAATCAAACTTACCAACAACATTAAGATAACCAAGTTGAGATTTAGGTTCGAGCCAATTTATCCGACAAATATAAAATCCTCTGTCTTCGAGTGAAACATTTGAGATAATTAATAACCAATCATCTTTTTCCTGTCTAATCTTAATCCTCGGATTAGAAGATAATATTTGCTTGTTAATTGTTAAGTCAGAGTTTGACTCTAAATGATGCCATGATATCTGAAAAATTCAAAGATAATCGGCTACAATTAGCAACAATTTAACTTTCGATTTCCGTTGAAAATCAATAACTTACAATATTTTTCCCTAAATTTTTAACTGAACATCTCATGATCGCATCTTTACCGGTTATAATTGATAAATTGGGTACACTCTGGATGAATTCAGGTCTCCCTTGATTGTTACTGTTAATATTTGATACCAATAAGTGTTTACTTGAAGATAAATTGACCAAGTTGATTAGCATGATTAACAATAATACGATTGAATCTGTTAACAGATAAAAGCAAAAGCGACATGAGTGTTGATTGAATGAAATGCGAAATTGAAAAATTAATTGTCTCCCTTTTTCTTAATCAGACAAGTTAATCAATTTGACTTTTCAATGTTGATTCAGATAGGAAATTGCTTGTTGAGTGAATAGTTAATCATATTATCATGTTTATGAAAATAAACTTGAATAAATATGAATAAGTTTTCTTAGTAATTTAAGTTATCCAAATATTTCATGATAATATTATTCACACAATTGAAATTGATGCAACTGAATTTCAGGGTGAAATTTATCGGAAAATTGATATTCTTACTATCACAATATTGAACTTTCTTGTTTTAATCAATTATCATTAAGTGAATCATTCTTATTGATACTATCAGTTGATTGTTCTGAATTAATATCAACGTTAACAGGATTGATAACACTTATGATTATTTCTTGTTGAGGTTTTTATTGAGTAAATATTATTTTCTGATACTAATTTTGATTTGTATTCACTTTGATTTAGTTATATCAAATAGCTAAATTGTTAAAATAATCTCGATGATTATCAATCTAATCAGTGTGAATCTGCGGTTGACAGGGAAGAAAAAATCCTCTACTTGAGAATTTTCATTTCGAATGAAAGTTCTGAATATTCTGATGATTTCGATTATGTTCATGACTGATGTTAATGTTTAGAGTAAACAATTTAATCTAATTGACAAACAAACTTTTCATCACAAACTGTATCAATCCAACGAGATGATGATCAATATGAGATTGAAATTTGCCAAGAAATTGATTAGTTAACAATTACTTGTCAATCTCAACACTCATGAGATACTCATGATTCAATATCGAGCAATTAAATTAGCCAAATTAACCAATTAACTTGTTCTGATCTGATTCTGATACATGGTAACACTAAACTGAAGACATATTAGAATATGATTTCTTTGTTTCCAAATTATGACAAGATAAATGCGATTGTGAAAAAAATTCAGGACAAATTCATGAGCTAAAATCAGTTACATGTTAACTTTGTTTTGTCTTTCCTCTCTCAATCTATTGACAGATTTCATGTTGTTCAGTTCTTGATGAATGATCAGATCCATAGATCCAGATAACATCTTAATGGTTGACAAAACTAACTTGTAATACCTTATATCAAATTAACTGGAGAAACTAATAGTTGGAAGATTTTTTTGTTAAAAGTTAATTTCAATTTCTTGTTTATTATATTAATGTTTTTTTCTTATCCAGTGGTCATTGTATCGTCCACTATATACCAACAAAAACTAACCAATATTGGACAGTCTGTACTTGATGGACTCAGTTTTTTGTTGTTGTATTAGCACAAATAACACAAAGTATAACAATCTCACATGAGGTAAATAGTTTCAAGGGAATTGATTATCAACATGTCCAGTTAATATAATTTGTTAACAGTAATTTTGATAGAAAGGTAAACTAGTAAAGTAGATCTGGAAAGACTTAATTAACTGGTAATTGTGTAATTAAAATGCTAATCGCAGACAAACATAAGAACTGGAAACTGTTGGAAACTTCAATTAGATTCACAAGAAGTTTGAAAATTGTGACAAAATTTTACTTTTCTGTTTATAATTTTATTGTTATTTGTTTCTGTTGTTTGATACATAACTGTAAATGATAAAAATGAACCAAAATGATAATACTGATGATGATAAAGATGCTTGAAATAAGGAGTTGAAATAAGGTGTTGATAATCTTTATCATGTTAATGCCTCAATTTCAAAATTCTGAACATGATCTGAAATTTTCATCGGTCTTCTGAATCCTTAAGGGTTTAGGATTCAATGTTAAATTGCATCTGAAATGTGAAGATGAAACAAAACATATCTTGATATTAAATGGATTCCAAGGCCTAAAGTTTTGACTTGTTTATAAACATTAAACTATTTGTATTTATCAAATTGTGGTGATAACATATTTATATAAATTATCGTTATTATGGTTCATCATGATGAGTTTTTCCAAACAAAAAATTATTATAAAGAGTTAAAAGTTATCGAAATCATAACTTTCAATTCGAGGAAAAGTTTTTTTTTGTGCTAAAAGTTACGACCAATGGACTATTATTGCGATCAGAGGTTAATCAAGTTGATTGAAAGTGTAAATTGTTACAATTTCATTTTTCCGTTGAGATTGTTGCTTAAAATAATCAAATTGGAATCGGTTTTGTTTAAATTACTCTGAGAGTCAATTATCTTGTTTGATCAAATTGATTGTACATAATCATTGCCTATTACGTTTTTACCGATAGTGTCAATTATTGGCTCTATTAACTGGATTAAGAAGATACCGTTTGATTGATTGTGATAAATTAGATTGTCTTATTACGTGAGAGAAACTGGAAATAATTATTTATATTAAACACTAATATGATTAAGAGTATCATGGTAATCATGTTAATTCAATAATCAATCCATGATAAGAGTCTCTTGACAAATCATAATTATATTTGTAAAGAGACAATCAAGTGATACTGATGATTATTAAACCGCCAACAATTAAAATAGATTCACAGACAATTGATATGATTAAAATTTTGATTTACTTACCTCGTTGATTTACATGATTTTTAAACTTAGAAAACTTAACTAGTTCATTTAAATTGTTCCAAGTGGATTGAAAGTATTCAAATACCATTGAAGTTTTTTCGGTTCTAAACTTTTCCAATCCTTAGTTGGTTCCAATTTAATATTAACAATTAAACACAGTTAATTTTAATCACATAGCAAACAGAAGTTAGAAGTGAATAATTAGTCAGGGAACTAAATTGATTAACTTTTAGACGAGTAATTATCATTTACTTGATTAGAACAAAAAAAAAGTTCGATATTTTTTGTTACTCGAAACTTGGAGACAAACTTTTGATAAAATGAAAGTAAAAAGTGAGAGGATGATCATGGTGATCATGGTGATGATGATACTGATCATGATGTTGATCATGGTGATGATAATAATTCAGACGCAAGCGCTATCACAATCAACTATAGTTAGTTGATTGTTATTCTTGCAATTTAAACATGTGTATGATTAAACTGAACTTGAAATTGTCCATTTAAATCAAAGTAAACCAGATGATTAGGAAGCTTAATCACTAGTACAATTAGTCGTTGAAATTAAACGAACGGATTAAATTTACTAATCATCATTTAGATGACTGAATACGATGACAATCAAGTTAATTGTTTCATCCAACAGAAAATCAAGGTAATAATAAAAAGGCGAAAAAAAAGGATAAAAACCGTGAATCGAATAAATTAAATGATGAAGACTCTCATTTAATTTTAAATGGAAACAATTATCATCATTGATCTTCAACAACATTGTGACAATTTGTTGATTGTTTATAATCAAGCACGAAAAGTCCATTTAATTTGGTAACATTTTGGTTCTTCATTGATTATTGTAGATTGTATTTTGTTTGTTTCAATCTTGTCAACAAATCATCTTTGATCTCATCATGTTAATAGTGTTAATCATCATGATGATAATCATAATGGAGGTGGAAACTTATCAAGTGTATTCCTGATTTAAGGCGATACACGTTCACCTTTAACCCAAAAAGTTTTCCAATATATTTGACAATCTATTTTTTACCTCGAAAATATAAAAAATAACAATGGTGATGATCGTGTGGGTGGTGGAAGTGATTATGATCCAGTGTCCAGTTAGAGAGAGAGAGAGAGAGGGTCAGTTTTCATTCATCTTTATCATCATGAAAATACTGGTCTCATAATATCAGAGGAAAGTATGAACTGGCCACTGAGAGAAGGTGGAAATTGGTGGAGGTGGAAGAGGAAGAGGAAGATGAAAGTTATTCCATAGAAAATATCATCTTCATTTAGTATCATGTTCATCAATTCAATTCACGTTCATTCAAAACCAACTTTTTACTCATAATTTCATCTTCCTCCTTCTCTCTCATCCCTCATCTTCCTCTTCATCTCTTTATCAATAATAAAGTATAACAGTAAAATTATTGTCTCTTTTTATTATTACTGTTCAGCTGATTGTTGTCTTTTGTTATCATCAATCATCAAGTAGATTTGACAATTACACGTTGATTAGTTTACCTGTTTCATTTAAATGTTTCCATTGTTTTACTTCATGTTTCAACCTGAAGATGAATGATTAAACCGATGATTAGTATCATGAATATCCAGCGTTTCGTTTCATGCCCTATTAATTGTTACAATTGTTAATATTTTCTTTCTCCCAATTAATTAATTTGATTTATAATTTGTTTTTACTGTCCATTGATAACAAATGACTATAAAAAGAATGTTAATCAAACCTTAGATAAGTTTAATTAGTTGATTGTTGTGTAGGGATGATCAAGTGGTCCAGTCGTTTAGAAATGAATAATTGTTAATTAAAAAGTAACTTAATTGTTCAATTTACCTGAACAATTGATTTAAGAATTGAGAAAATCGTTGAGATATCATTTCTTTGAAGACTTTGAAAGTTTTTAGCTTGTTTTGAACCTTTTTATCCATCTATTAGTTTACGAACTGAAGTTAATTGTTAATTGCAAGACTTTGATTCTTAAGTTGATTGACAATTTGAAACGAAAGAAAAAGCGCGATTTTTGAAGGCATTTTGTTTGCAGTTTTAATTGTAAATGAATTTATTGTTGTAACAATAATACGTTTTGGTACATGAATAGTCAATACAACTGATAAAAGACTTGATTGAAGTGAAAATATTTAATTGGTGATTACATTATAACAAATATAATGGAAATGGTTTATTTTGTCTCAAGAATCAAGGATTTTGTTAATTTTTCAATTTCTGCACAAAAGTTTGATGGTTGAGTTAATGAGTGACGTTTCCTTGGATTTAATTAAGAGGCAGGAATCCTGGGTAAGCCAAACTCGTCGACCAAATCATCCTGATGAACAATAAAGATGATAGATTGTTAATTACGAGTTATTTTACAACGGAATAGAAAAACTTACAGTGGTCGATTCTGTTCCGGGTTCTTTGGTTGGGGCTGATGGGACACCGATTCCTTCGAGATACGAGGTATCAGCGTCAGAGACTAATTCATCACCAAGAGCTTCTAATTCTGTTTTGAAAGAGAATTATAAATGATACAGATTAGTAATAATTCCTTTAAGTTATTCGTTGATTAACTCACCCGCTTCCAATTCAGCTTCATCGACATCAGGGACTCCGTAACTTCTGCCTAATGCCTCTTGAACTTCATTGGCTTGATCAAGCATATCCTCCAATTCATCTTGAAGATCCTGGAGATTCAATTGAAAAACACAATAGATGAATTCCAATAACACAGAGAGAAAAAAAATCTTATATTTACCTCGATATCATCGATGTTTACTTTCTTATATTCCTTTTTCATTTGAGTGACTCCGATCTTCATGGCATCCATCTGAAGGAGATTAGTGAAAGATGTGATCAGTTCGCATATAATTAGAGAAAGTAATTAAGTAATGAGATGGATTTACCGTCACTTTAGTGTCTTTTAACATTTGAGTAGCAAAATTTGCTTGTTCCATGTTGAATGATTGAGCCATTAAATTTTCTCGTTGTTGTTCATACATCTTTTTTTGCTTTAAAACTCTCATGGCCTTTTGCATTAAGGATTGCTGATTATTGGAAATGAGAATAAAATTGATTAAGATGACAAATTGATAGAAATTCGATTAATTGTTTCCTACCTTTGCAGCTCCAGGTCTCATCTTCTTCATTTGATCTTTGTATTTCACAAGTTCCGCATCGAGCTTTGCAATTTTCTTGTCAATGGAATCAGCTCTACTATCAACCTGTAGGAAAAACACAAAGAGTAACGACAATCAGTTAATTGAACAATTTGCAGGTTAATTACTCACATTGGCAATACAATCCGATATGTTTGGAGGAGCTTCTTTGGGTTTACCTCGACCGAAAAGACGATTCATTTTGGCGATGATAGAAAACCTGGAAGGCATTAGGAAAGAAAATATAACAACAGAATTACATAGATACTCGATACTCAGGTGGTTTGATGAATTGTCAAAACGGTTAAAGGTCTGAATTAACTAATGAATTCATGAGAAGGAGGGTAATCAGAGGTGGAGCTTAATTCATCCTTTTTCTTTGTGATGAATTTCATTGAAGAAACTGCTCTTTCTTCATAAGCTGCCAATGAACTTTCATAACCAATGAGATTAGTTAGGCAACCATCATGTAGATATCACTTCTTTCGAGTAACTTTGTTGATTACATCTAAATTATTTTCTATTTAATATGGTTTTCATGGCGAATGTGTAGTTTCCAGAGAACAGGTTCTCTATTATCATCAACAGGGCTCAGTGGTGTTCACCTTGAGGTAAACAAGGGCTACTTCAACCAGAACAATTCAGAGATTAAATTCATTTCTACTTTAAAGATTCAAGGGGAAACATGAAACAACCATTTCAAAATTGAAGTTTCATGAATATTGGAACAAATCAAATTACTTTAGTGTGAATCGGGAAAAATCATTTCAACTGTGTGAACTGAATCAATTGTCACTCGATATGTTTGTTCAATAGGTTTACAATAAGAAGTGTTGACATTTTCATGAGTAATTGTTTCTAGGAGTCTGTGAATCATTTAGGTGGTGTAACCACACCAAAGATATCAATCGAAAGCTTCGAAAATTCAATTGATTATGAATATTCTTGTGCTTCCTCAATTGATTCAGCCATTGAAATGATTAAAACAATACAGTAAAAATTTTTAAATATTAAAGAAAGTGAAAAATGTAAACAAAGGAAATGAGATAATCACTCGATAACCATTTCTCAGAATTGAACAACAATCTTACCTGGTCTAGGGTCTGGAGAGATGAGAGATGATCCGATTTAAGTAAAATAGAAGATTAAAAGGTGGCCTGATTAAACAAAGGAAATTAAATAAACCAAGACAACTAATTAGCAAATTGTTTTCTTTTCATAATTTGAGTCATAATGTTGAGTCAAATCACGCGTCATGCGCATGCGCAGTTGACTTGATGATCGATCAGCTGGTTTGACCTTGTTCACCAGGCGAAGGATCAAAATTGTTATTACATTTGATTAAATTGTTGGATTAATTTTGTTTATTTTTTGTTCTTCCAATTGGATTTATTAAATTATTCATTTAGAAAATGGCTCTATTCATAAGATCATCTTTATCTCAATTGAGAAGTTTAACCCGATTAAGTAATCAAATGGTTTTGCCTTCTCGGTCTTATTCTGCCATGAGTTTCACCTTCGCATCTCCTTATGAGGTAAGTGTTGATCTTTATTTATTTCCATTGTAATTTAATTCTATTTTTTTTTGTCTTAATCATGTTTCAGGTCCACTATAAGGATGCTGATGTAAAGCAAATCGATGTACCATCTTTCAGTGGTACCTTTGGTATTCTCCCTCAACATGTTCCCACTTTGGCTGTATTGAAACCCGGTGTTGTTACTGTCTTTGAAAATGATGGAAACTCTAAAAAATATTTCGGTAATTAAACCCATTTAGATTAATCTGCATCTCAATGCTTGTCTCTCTTCAATTGTTTAATTGCTCACATTTGATACTGACTATTATTGTTTATTATTCTTGAACAGTGAGCAGTGGTACTGTTACCATCAATGAGGATTCATCCGTTCAGATACTTGCCGAAGAAGCTGTGCCATTGGATTTATTAGATGCGAATGCAGCTCGTGACGCTTTGAAAGACGCTCAGCTCGAGGAATCGAAAGCAACAAGTCCCGAGGATAAAGCTGCTGCTCAAGTAGCTATAGAAGTCAGTGAAGCTATCATTAAAGCAGTGGAATAAATCTCTAATTAGCTCAGACTAAATTGTTCATTATGTTAGATAAAATTGAAGAATAATAATAAATCCACTACAATAATTAAATGAGATGTTTTTTTAATAACAATAACATTAATTATTCAACGGATCAGTTTCGAGTGTTAACACATTAAGAAACATTAGAATTGTAAATGAAAAAATGAATTGCGAATTTAAATTGGATAAGGTTCATCCAACATCTCATTGTCCTCGATTGGTTTTTGCTTCTCTTGGATCATCGCATCGATTTGGGAATTGGCCTTAACTATCATCATTGCACAAGTTAATCTCTGTCGCATCTCTTCAATGATGTTATCACGATTCGGATAAGTGGGCATCATTGTCAATACTTTGACAGCATCTCGGATAAAGGTCACCGAATCATTAGCACATTTGATGATCATTGATCGTTCCTCTTGTTTATCCAACAAAATCCATGAAGTATTAGCTCTGGAAATGAGCTGATCAACAGTATTATTATGTTTAAGTCCAAACAATTTGATTGCCAAATTGATCGCTTCGTTTCGTCTGTCCAATGAACTCTCCAAATAGTCCATTGTGTTCAGTAGATCGGCCAAAGTGACCAAAACCTCGAACAGATTTTCGGATTGATTATCCGCCATTGGCTTCAGTTCGTTGACTAATTTCTCGAGTTTATCTTGAGCACTAAGTCTTCGTTTCGCTTTCAACATAACTCGAGCCATTTGTAGTTCGTTCTTGAAATTGTCCATAACTCGGTTGAGTAATAGAAACGAATGAAGAGGAAATTATTCAAATGGTTAGTTGAGAGATTGGACAACAATTGGCTTAAAAAATTCATAATTAGAACAGTTAACCAATCAAGATAATAAAATCAAGTTAATTGTTGGGAAGTATTAACTTTTAATTAGAGGGAAACTGTACAGGAGAAATTTGCATCTCGAATACTAAAAATGTATAACGGATTCGAATTTTATAAACTCCTTTAGAAGATTAGAAAAATAATAGTTAGAAACAAATCGAACAATTTTAACCAACCATATCCCGTTTTCTTCCTCGCGCTCGAACCTCATCCAATTTAGAAACGATCGCGTTAGCTACTGAAATACCAATCGATTCCATTTCTTTTTTGTATTTGTCGAGAAGAAAATTCGAGAAAAGATCCGAATCATCACGTCCACTAGTTAAAAGTGACCTTTCTAGAACATACAAATCGACTGCTCGATCTTCAGGAGTTGTGCTGAATGACGATAAGCCAAAATCAATCGGAACAATTGCACTAACGTCATTCTTGACCATGAAATTAGTCGTAGTTAAATCGCCATGAACCAAACCACATTTATGTACTTCAGCGATTACCATTCCAACTCGTTGAAATAAGTCTTGCAAACTGAAAAATTCTGAAATTGAGGTGAGTAGATGACAAATGAACAACATGAAAAACAGAAAGTGATGTTAATGTAATCAAAAGATTTACCTGATGAAATGGCTTCGTGAAATGTTGCAGCATTTTCAATCCGGGTCATGATAATGCTACTGTCTGATACACCGAGAATGGTTGGCATTGATTTTGAAAGAAAAGCTGATTTATTTTTAAGGTGATTGATCGCCTTAACCTCAGCCTTCATTCGTGATTTGGTCAATCTTTCATCTAATTGTGGATGACGATAAGTTTTGACAAACCTTTCTTTCCAAACAGCAGGGAAACCAATATAATCCAGAAAATAAATCCGAGCCTCAGCTCCTTGTTGGATCAATTCACCTGTCAACCACCGAATAGTGTCCAACAAGATAACAAAAGAAAAGAAAAGAAAAACCGGAAAAATTAAGCAATCAAAGTGATTAAATAAGTGATTAAAAGTGTAAGTTGAAACCAAACAAACAACCAGATTACAGAGTAAACACCGAATCAGATAATTTGAGCTGAGAGCCCTAAAAGGAGTTCAAACAAAACACTAATTCAACTTGCAAATACCAAGAAAATCCAACAATTGAATAGATGATCAGCTAAATTAAAAATCAATCAATTCTTAATTCGAAAATCAACTAAATTGATTGTACAGAAATCAACATGATCAACAAAATCAAAAGATTCCAAGAGAGACCAACATAGAAAAGTTGATCGTTAAAAGGTAACTTGAATCAATTCGACTTTATACTTACAATTAACCTTCATGAGCTATTGGAATACCAATTGACTAATTAGAACAATTAAATAGCAATTAACTGAAAAAAACACAATTTGAAAAAAGAAAACAATTAACTTCACATTTAATGGAAAAGTAGAAAATGTTTACCCACCTGATTGGAATTAACGATCTTTCTCCCGGCAGATGGAGTGAGAAGAAGAAGAAATTGAGTCAACATGAGAAAAGATGAAAAGTGAGAAGAGGTTAAAGTAAGAGAGATGCGAAGATGAAGCAAATGGATAAACTTTAGTTTAGAGTTTGAATGTTGATTGAATGTTGGCCAAACGAAGGCTAATGTTACGAGTTAATTGTTAATAGTGATGAATTTTAATCATAATATTGTGTGGATAACACTAATTGTGGTGATCACCAATGGAATATCGGTAACTTTGAACAAAATCGCCAATCGGTAAGTCGCTAATTCTCGTCGCCATTTTCACTTTTGTTTCTCGCTCTTTCTTTTCCTTTGTCCTTACATAACCCTTTTCATTTGTTCTATTCTCTTTTCCCTCTAATTTCTCGTGTCAACAATTGACAACATTAATTTAATTCTCAAAATGTTGTCATATTCTCAATTGTCTCTCTCTCTCTCTTTCCCTTTTAAAACATTAATTAATTTGCTCAACAAAACATTTAATGAAGATGAGTCGTTGATTCAACATTTTCAATTAGATCGTAAATATTAGTGCATGACAGTCTAAATTATTCTAAAGAGAAGAAGCTTATTTTTTCTGTTAATATATTCTTTTTTTCTGTTTTCTTTTCTCGAAGAAAATGATTTATAAAAAGACATCTTTTGGTTTTATGAATTACTTTTGCTCAATGACAGGAAATGTACATGTAGATCTACCATTAATAGTTGAACTGAAAAACATTTTCAATGTATTGGCTCCTCCTTTACACCCACTCGTATGATCCATTCCCATACACATGATGTAAAAAAGGGTAAGGAATCACAGTAGTAATCATATTGTGTAACAAGTGTGTTGTCTCATCCTTTCTGCTGAACAAATTGTTGTATAATCAGCGTAATTTTCACCCAAACCTTTTCACCTTCAACACCCAAAATCAAAAGCAATAACAAGCAGAAAGAGAGTACAACCTAATCCAATTATCATTAACAGGTTAACATCCATGTAATCATTTGGTAAATAGTAAATCATCACCGAGATTAGTAGAGTTAATCAGCGAGAAGATGGAGAGGAAAGAGAAAGAGAAAGAGAAAGAGAGAGAATGAGTGAGTTAGAGGGAAAAGAAAACGAAACCAGAGTAACATTTTCATCAATGGAAAAAATAGTAAAATACCGGAAAAGAAAATCTCATATTTACTATACGCCCACCTTCATATCAACTGTCATTTAATAAATTCAATGGAAAAGTAAACAGGGAGTGAACAATTTACTCTTCTCGGTGTAAATTTGATTTAATTAAATTGAGTTCATTGGTGGTGAAAACTTGATTCAAATATAATGTATAATTGATTAACAAATTGAATCTGGTCATTGATCGTTATATTAAAAAATGTTTATTCAATGTCACACATTTGGTGTAACAATATTTTTCTCAATGAGAAATTGATTCAATTTAAATCTAATTCATTATCAATAATAGTGAAATAAGATAAATGATTTTTTTTAAATTATTGATTCTCATTGGAAAGAAAGAAACAATTTGATTACTTTTACCATTATTTTCAATAGATATTGTTATTATTTTCCATGGTAAAAATATCCATTCCTAAGCGAAAGTGATCAATTGATTCACTTTCACCTAAGTCATTAATCCTTTTTTATCCTCATCTTATTTTCGTAATGGCTGTTGAGTGTTGATATAATAGTAATAATGATTCAGTGATGGTCATCCTCTTTTTCCTCATCTTCCTCCTCCACAATCACCTTAACCATCCTCTCTCTCTCTCTCTCTCTCTCATCCTCATACTCATCTTGATGATGATAACTTTTTTATTTGATAAAAATCTTCCTCTCTCAAGATGATGATTATCATCACAGTGATGATGATAAAGTTATTCCATCTTTCAATTCAATCAAGTATATAAATTGATGTGCTGACTAGACAGAGTCACAGCATAAGTTTTGTATTGAATAAAAAAAGATCAACCATTATTCAGAATGAATATTTTACTGAGCACCCATGAGATGCTAAAATCTACTAAACAATATTGTTTGAATAATACACTTATTTTTCACTGCGAATTAATAAAATTGATATTAATTCAATTTTCCATTGTTTATTTCCTCTTTCTCCCTTTAGAGTGACTAAAAATGATGAAATTAGAGCTGAAGAAATTGGTAAATACTCATTTAATTGTAACAATTATAATCACCAATCTATTGAAATCAAAGGGAGCCCAATGAAAACTCTGAATACCTCAAGTCTATCCAATTGTACTTCACTTCATAAACTGTAAGTCCTCATCTCATTTCTTAATCAACTTAATTATCGTTTTCTTTTTCATCTTTCTTTTCCTCATCAATCAATTACCAGAACTATTTCTGACTGTCAAAATTTATCTCTTTGGCCTGAACTTAATGAAACAGTTTCTTTAGAACATATTTCCTTCGATCGAACTTCAATTCAAACCATTTCTCCAACATTATGTATCTCATCAGCCAATCTTAAAACTCTGTAAGTATTTAACCTGTTCCATATCAAATCGAGTTACTTCTTACCCATGATAATAATCACCACGAGCATTAAAAATATTGAAGTATTATTATCATATTTTCAGGCCATTTACTTTTTGCTACTCAACTTTTTACAGTTCAATTTACATGTTAAATGTAAAAAAAGTATGATGGTTATTATCATCATTTATATTATTACCATTATCATGATAGATCAGAATTACGTTTGATTTGTCTTTCGTTCATTTCAGAATAATCTTATCTGCTCTCAGTTTCAGTTTCTACAACATCAACGCCATCATAACGATAACAATAATATAACTAATATGATATAATACATAATATTTTTCCATTACTTTGAATCCATTCCCATGATGATAGGCACTGAAATTGGATAACAATATAACAACTCACCTTATTATCTGATTAATATTTTACAGAGTTGTCAAATCAAGTCGATTAAAGTACATGCCAACATTAACTAATTGTACCAGACTGGAATTACTGTGAGTATTTCGTTTGAGTAACATGCTGATAATCATTTGTTGATTACCTTTTCAACCTAATAAGTTAAAGTTATTTAACTGTTTCACTTGTATATTAATATCTATTTGAATGAATGAATGAATGAGCTGGTTGTAAAATTGATCTCATCTCGAATATTGTAAAACCAGTCACTTTTGTGTTCAGCTCGGAATGATGATAACTATAATATATTATCATCATAATATTATATTGACTCTCATTGTGTAAAGATTGCATGGTTATGTTGATGGTTCAATGAATTCTGTCAAAGTTGAAATGATATTAGTTCCATTAGAATTGAATTTTTTGCGTATTCGTTTCCCTCTCTCTCTCTCTAAAGTCTTCTCTGATTATTTCTTGAGATGTGTTTACCATTGGCAGAATTGATAATATCTCACCATAGAGATACATGTTCAGGTTTATATTCTCAGTATTTTATTTTTACTATTATTCTCTTTTACGAAACTTTCTTTCTCTTCTTTGGTGAAAAGGAAAAGGTTCAGAAGATCTTAACCAGAATATTTGAACATCTCAGGATATTTGAATAATCTGAAAATAATAGAATAGTCAAAATAGATATTTCCATGGATTCTGCCCATCAGCATTATCCATGATTCCTCATGATTGGTTTAGGATAAAATTATTATCCAAATTGTACCAATTCAATTGATTTCCTATTCGTTGGATCGATGACCCTTTAGTTTCTGACCATTTTTCGGTCCAACCAAACAAATCAAACGGTCCGTTGATTCCCAATTAACTTAACCAAAGGTAACGATCGTTGATAATTCATTAATCATGATTTAAATTATGACCAGTGGTCAATTCCCAGTGGTCAATAGTCAATTGTCAACAAAATGACTTTACTAGATAATCATAACTATGGAGATTAATTTCTGTTTAGATAAGCAAATTAATCTCTTTTAATAATCAATTTTAAATTATCTATCATTGTGTTGTCTTTTATATCACAATCATGATTAAATTATCATTTTCATGTTAACAAAACAAAGTGATAAAGACCATGATTACTAATTATCTGATCAAATCGCCAATTAATCAATAATCAAATGCTGACAACATGAAATTATCTAATCATTTATACCCTTGGTATACATGATACCATTTTTAGATTTACAATCAATCTAATTATGTTTCCTGAAGCTTAAACAGGGGATGCTGATTGTTTCAATCTAAACAGAGATTAAATTAAATCACTTTTTAATCACACCCTATGGCTTGAAGCCCAAATATTATTTCCCATAGACAAACAATTGAAACATACAAAAAGTTGAGTTTCCAGTGACATTATAACAAAGACTCATATTATTTCATATGCATGTAAAGCAATTATCCCGATTCTTGAAACTCTTCATGATGAGTTAACGATTAGTTCCAAATCCTTGGATAACAATCAATCTCTTCTACTCCATATACATAAAACATTCAACTTTTTTAATTCCAATTTAGTTGATCTAAAATTTCAGAATTGATTCTAGGTTAGTTTAATCTTAGAACTTTTTTCCTCTGTTAATCTAATGTTATTCGAGACTTTGAAACCTAAACATCTAATCTTCAGGTAATTGCAATTTACATCTACTATTAACTTACTAACTATGATTATCTCTTGAATTTGAAATTTTTTGTCTGCAAACAATTTAAATTGAAATATTTTCTCATGATTAATTGTTTCTCATGAAAATTTAATGCCAAATATTACAACAATATCTCAGAATCATTAATCATGCAGTGTTAACTCACCTTTACTATTTGTCTGTATTGATGATTATTACTTAATTAATTCATGATTAACTGATCAGTTTACGCAACAGCAGATAGTGTATCTAAATTATATATTATGATGATGATAATTTGATTAGATATAATTAATCAAACGTTGACCTTTCAACTCTTATTGTTATTGTAATGTTTTGATGTAATCACAATCTAACTAATTGTCCACTTGAAAATTAATCAATTGATATTGTTGATAATGTTTCAACTACATAATAATAATTGAAATGACTTGATGTTAAATTATTAATTACTTACTTTCTGTTTGATTCTAAATCAATTCTGTTTGACTGATTCAATTTCATTTCTAATCAAATTAAATTAACAATCAGTCTGAATCAGCCTCTAAATCCTCATGATTTACTCTCAACAATTAGTAATTGTCACAGCAAATAAAGTTTACCAATAAATTGATTACAATTTACTCACTAAATTATGTTACTATTAATTACCAAGAGTCATTTGTTTTATCACTAATTTCAATTTCACTCATTGAGCGATCATCATTTTTTATGCTAATTTTAATTACAGAGATCTAAGTTACAATCAACTAATTATGGTTGGAGAGAAACATTTTATTACTCAAAGGAGATTAACTCACTTATTTTTAAGCCACAATTGGATTCAACAAATCCATGACAACTCGTTCATTGGATTGGAGAGCTTAATCGTGTTAGATTTATCCAATAATCTAATTAAATCAATTCATCCAAATTCATTTCTACCTCTTCACAACCTCCGAGATCTGTAAGTAATATCACAATAATCATTATCTAATCATCTGATACTCTATATTGTTACCAATACAATTACCTCTTATCACTTAACATCACAGTTAAGACACAATGAGCATTAACTAGTTACACTTATGATCTGAATCATTTTCATGATTAACTGTTATATGAATATTTTTTTTCTCTCTACTTACAATAAGATAACGGTATTGAACTATTAATCGCAATGTCAATGGTCTTAATGATGGTTAAGAAGCATAAACAGTTAGTTGACTTACATTGGGTAAAAAATATTCTACTTCCGGGTTTCATTAAGAAATTGATACTTCCTATTGTGTAAAGTAAAACCATTTTGCAGATAAAACAGATCGCTCTCGATTAATATCTAACTAATGTTGATGACAATTAGTTACAATCAGTTAACTAACTTGATATATATTCTGATAAACAATATTTACTCCCAAACAATCAACTAACAAGTTAACAAACTTTGACGTTTTGTGTCTTTCAGAAGGAAAACATTTCGAGGGTAAAACAACATTGAAAGAAAAAGAAGAAGAGAAAACCCTTTCCTCTCTCAATTCTTGACCAATCCAACCAAAGTAGAATTGTTATTTCTTAAATCTTTGTGTTATTCTCAGTATTATTACCAGAATCATGCTGAGGATTGATGAGAAAATTGGAAATATCAACGGGGAGTTATTCTCATTTCCTTGAGAATAACTTTCTTTCCTCAGAATTTTTGATAAGTATGAAAAGATGTTCTGATATGATATAACTCTCAAGTAAAGTTGAGGTGAATTCTGTTTACAATGAACACAAAACTCTGAAGAATCATGAAGATCAGAATACAGAGAGATGATAATAACATTACCGTGTTGATATTATTATTATCATTTCATGATTCCAATAATAACAATAACTGTAAATACTATCAGTCAAAACTGTTTTATAACCCTCGAGCTATTGATAGATGCCCAATGTATCATTCATATTATTATCATTATAATTAATATTCTGTCTTTTTTTTGTTATCATCCAATTGATTAAATCAATTTTAATCGTTAATGATAATCTGATTCATGATTATGTTTGTCGAGTTTTCATTTTTCATTTGACAATAATCTTGACTCGATCGAGTTGAATATTGATCTAATTATCAACTGTCAAGTTAATCAAGTTGAAACATTTCGTTTAGAATCACCAATGATTGAGATAAATTAATTAATTATCATTAATTTGGTCCCTGTTTCTCTGTTAGAATCATATTGCAATTTAGACTTGGATTGTGTTTGTTAACTGAGTAAATTGCTGAATAATTAACTTGCTAATCTTATTCTTCTTGGTTAGTTCTTGACAATTAACTTTTAACTTGTTGCTCAATAAATTTAATTAACCTAATTAGTTCGTAATTGTAATTGTTTATTGTTCTGTCTGTCTGTCAATTAAATCCTCCAGTTATCTAGTTATTGTATTGTTTTAACTGTCGATTTCTCATTTGATTTCATTTAGCAATTTAGGGACCAACAAATTTGCATCTCTACCCACAACTGGATTAAAGGGTCTCCATCAGATTAAGGTTCACAATAATCCTTTCTTAATCTCATTCCCTGGACCAGAGTTTTTCCCATCTATCCAAGTATTAGCTCTTTCTTATGCTTATCATTGCTGTCAGTTCAATAATCTTCCAGATGAAACATCATCATCTCCTTTCTCATTCTTATCATCATCTTCATCTTCATCTTCATCTTCACCATCATCTTCATCATTATCAACCCGAATCAATCATTTTGAAGAGGACATTATCTGGCTCCATCGGGATGATGTTAACATGTCCATTTGGAATACAACTTGGCCTAATACTTGGGTAGTCCGAAATAATTTATCTTCTCAAAGCTGGACACCGGAAACAGAATCCATTTTGAGAAATATTAGTCAATTCTCTGAGGAGTATCTAGATGATTACAGAACTGAGATAAATTATGACAATATTGTTATCAAATATCCTATCAAGTGCCTTCCACAACCAAGTAAGTTGATTAATATTAAATTTACAATTAACTTAATATTTATTACGATATAATACAAATGTAATAATCAAATTAATCATCTTCTCATTAATTTAAACCTTTTTTTTGCCATCATTTAACTGTCAATTATTATTATACAATCAACAATATTTGCTCTTACTCATTTTATTGACCATTTGAATTAATGGTCATCCATCCATATAATTATTTAAGATTCAGTCGACGTCCAATGTTAATTGTTACCGATATCATTAAGTGTTATTATTATCATCATTGGAGTAATTATATTATCATAGTTACTCTCATCAATTCCAATCCAATTAGTGTATTAGTTTTGGTGTATTTCGATTATAAAAATGTTAATGTCCAGTCAAAATTTGATATTCATTCAATTGTCCAGCTAATAGTTATTGTTATTACGAATCGACATTAGATTAAATGAAAAATTGATTATTAGCCATCAGATTGTTATTTTAATTATATTTTCATGTAGACTATGTTTCAACAATGATGATGATGGTAATAATTATGTAATGGTCAGTTATCGACATGATTTGAGGTCAATAAAGGTTAGTTATAGATTAGATTAGTGATAACAGGCAAAAGGGTAAATGGTAATTGAGTGGATTTATTGTTGTGTAAACATGATTGTAGTCCAAAAGTAAACACTGTGAATAATCAAACTATTATTATCATTAGAAAATCAATTCCTTATGGATCTAAACAAATACTGATGATGAAGATAATAACTATATCATGGATGATGATGACCAGTCAATTTTTATTAGTGGTGTAACAATGTTACTTGAGATTTACAGATGACTGATTTAATTGAAAACCGAGGAAAGATGACAGAAAATGACAATTCAAGTGAATAATGATTAACTCTCATCATCCAAGCTAAATTGCCCCTTTTTGATTGTTATTGTGAACAATCAACAAACAAACAAATAATCAGACTGATTTAATCATTGATTCGTATTCGTATCTCATCATATTATTAGATATGAAATTGAGATTCAATCATTTCAATCAATCCCATGAAAAGATCGTAACAATTGTGTGTTGGCTTTACGTCAAAATATTAACTAAATTGTATGTTAATGATTAAGAAACAAGATTTTACTTTCAAATGGATTATCCGTTTCAATGTCTATTCCTTGTTAATTTTGTTTTTCGTTAAATTGTGTCAACCCTCGTGAGCTGAATATCAATTTATTTTAACAACAATTTAGTTTACATATGATTATTTGCTTTTCTACTTTCAACAATTGACGCAATCAAAAGTTATCATTGATTAACATTAGTTTGTTACTAGTTAATAACAGTTGAGATAAATAATATTGTTATTCAATAGAAACTTCAACTAACAATATTGATCCATTTAGGAAGAAGGTGTTAATCATGATGAATTAATCGGAAGCTTATTGTCAGATTATTAGATTAAATCTTTCACTATCAGTGAATAATTTTCGCTTGATTGTTTTACGTTTAATTTAATATTCTGAGCAATTAATTCAGTGAAAATTGTTTGCAAAAGTTTTATTAGTTTATCAATAAGTTGAATTGATTTTATACTTTAACATATTTAGTATTTACCTTTTGTTTACCTTTCTACAAACTTGTATTGATTTTGATTCAATTGCATTGACCTCAACTATTAACTTGATTGCTGGACTATGGTTTTGGTTTAGTCTTTAATATTTATCTTAATCAACCTCCTACAAAGTAACAATACAAATCAACAGGGAGTTAATTGAGTTGAGTTAATTTATCATCATTATAAGACTCGATCAGTCGCCATTGTTTACCTAATGTAGTAATTGTAATGATCATGATAATGTTATTTGATTGTAATAAGAACAAAAAAAGTTAACAATTTGAATCAATAACTTTTTTTTTCTCAATGATTAATAATTAAATTAGTTTATTATTGTTACCATTATCTTCTTGAAATGATCTGAATCAACAATTTCAAATGTTCCCAATCAATATAAACTGTTTGATGAACATTGAATGTATTTATGAAAACTCATCGACTAATTGTAACCCATTAACAAGACAATCAACTGGCAAGTTGTACAATTAACCCGATAAAGAGGAGAAAAACTGTCAACGGTTACAATTAACTTGAATTAAATTGTTGCAGAAAAGAAAAGTTATTTTCTAATAAAAAGGTTGATCACTTTTCGATTAACCTTATCATTCATCAAATTATATTAAATGTTGTTGTTGATCGATAAAAGGAGATGGAAACAAAATCGATAACTTTTGTGTAACTTTATTAAATATCTATTATGATACAATATTTGTCGATAATGGTTATTAATCATCCAACTCTTTTCTTTTTCTCTTTGATTGTCCATTAGGTCCATTCACTCCATGTGAAGATCTGTTCGATTGGTGGACACTTCGATGTGGTGTTTGGATTGTTTTTCTTCTCGCTCTTCTTGGTAATGGGGTAGTGGTCGTGGTTCTACTTTTCGGACGTTCTAAGCTCGATGTACCTCGATTTCTTGTCTGTAATCTCGCAGCAGCTGATTTTCTAATGGGCATTTATTTAGGTATGTTGGCGATTGTTGATGCTGCCACTTTGGGCGATTACAAAGTATATGCGCTTCCCTGGCAACGTTCATTTGGCTGTCAGATCGCGGGATTTCTTGGTGTTCTGTCAACCGAACTTTCTGTTTACACCTTGGCCGTTATAACGTGTGAACGTAATTATGCCATCACTCACGCGATGCATTTGAATAAACGATTATCTCTGAAACACGCTGCATACATTATGACCATCGGTTGGGCTTTCGCTCTTCTTATGGCTTTTCTCCCTCTTTTTGGTATCTCTGATTATCGTAAATTCGCTGTTTGTTTACCTTTCGAAATTACGGACTTTTGGTCTCGAACTTATGTAATCTCATTGATTGTTGTCAATGGATTTGCTTTTTTTATTCTAATGGGATGTTACCTGCGAATGTATTGTGCCATTAGAGGTTCTCAAGCTTGGAACTCAAATGATTCTCGAATCGCTAAGCGAATGGCTCTATTAGTCTTCACCGATTTCCTCTGTTGGGCTCCGATCGCTTTTTTTACCTTAACAGCAATCGCTGGTTATGAGCTTATTACTCTTGCTGAGGCCAAAGTTTTTACCGTTTTTGTTTTACCTTTAAATTCATGTGCCAATCCTTTCCTTTATGCCATTTTCACGAAACAATTCAAGAAAGATTGTGTCCTTTTATGTAAGAGAATTGAAGAGTCGCGAGTTACCCGTGGGATTGGTCGAGGTCGAAATAGTTCCAATTTCTCCAATCGACATACACCAATTAATACAAATTCAATCGTTGATAAGAAAAGTTCTGGAGATAGTGAGAAGTTGGTTTGTCGATGTGGACTAACATCAGCTGAACCTTCAAATATATCTATTAATAAGTTAATTCTCAATGGTAATTGTAACGGTCAACCTTTGTTCCGTAAAATGGCCACAAAATGGTGGCAAGGGAGATCATCAGCGACGAAAGAAATACCCGTGCGATTAGATTCAACAGACTCAACAAGTTGTCCCAGTCGACACACTCGACGATCACAAAATGGACCAAATAATAGACTAGATTCAATTTCAAGTGGTAACTTCTCATCAAGATCGGACTCATGGAGACACGGGTACATTTCGCCGCAACTTTTAACAATGAAACGTCCAATTGCGATGGTTCGTCGTCGGTCATCTTGGACTGCTTCATCTTCGACTTCTACAACTCGTAAACTGTCCACGACTCGATCAAGTGTTTCAAGTGATTCTTCGTCCGCTGTGTTTCGTCACGATCTAAAAGGTTCTACTAGACTTCCGATTGTTGATGATTATTTAATTACCGTCAACTCGAACAACCAAATTAGAAATTCACTCATCAACTCAACTAATTCAACTATAAACAGAAAACCGACAACCAAAGCCACTTTTCTGTGTCCTGAATGTACAAGAATCAATTTAATTAACCAAAATGAGAGTTCGAGTATCAACGTTAATCACATTGGAAATAAATTGAGCCGTGAAACTGAAAAGATAATGATGGCTGGTGTAATTCCGAAGACCAAAGATTCATCCAAGTTTTTCACCAAATTAACTGAATTATCTCGTGCTAAGGATAAGAATCATGAATCAAGAGAAAAACGTTACATCTTATCATCAGGTTAATCATTTTAATCATCATTAACATTAAACTAGATTATTGTAGAGGAAGAAAGATTCAACCTCAGCTAAAGATACAATTGTTGTTTCAATTATCTTCAAGTTTTCACATTAATCACTCAGAATTTAGCTTAACGTTGATTTGATTTTAGTTGGTTAATGATCCTTTTTTCAGACAACTGAATTTGCTCATGATCTTTCAGATGAATGATGAAGACTAGTTGCTAGTAGAGAGAGAGAGAGAGAGAGAGACATCAATTTTTATCAGTAAACGAATTTAAAAGAAACTCAATATCTAAAATTCCCATTCCCTAATTGTGGTGAAAATCGTAATCATATTTCATTGATTTCTCTTTAATTTGATTTTTTTCTTTCCAATTTATTGTCATGTTACCATTTAGGTGAAAGCATCAAGAACGAAACAACGGAAACATCATTACAAGACAGTATAGCGACTGACACACAAATGGGTTCGAGTCGATCCAATTCAATTAGTTCACCATTAACAGAGATTCAGATTGAATGTACTGATGATGATGAGGATTTTATGACTGGTGATTACGATGATGATGATGATTTGTTTACTCCATCGAGAGATAATTCATTTACTTTATATCCAGAACTTGAAAGCAGTCGTGCCTCATCTAATTTAAGCATTCGAACTCAAATACCTCGAGGTGGATCTTCTAGTCCAGGAATGGAGGTCAGAAGCAACGTGGAGGTTGAACTGTATGTCAATGGTCAACGAGAAGTAAATGAAGGAAATAATTTAACAGTTGAGAACAATTTAAACGACGAATCAACAGGAAAAACTGGTAATTTATCAAAGAATAGAAAAGTTTCATCTGATAATTCATTGAAAAGTCCATTCCAAGTTATTCCTTCCCTGTTAAAGTCTTTCTCAAGTGTCGGTTCCCAGTTATTTGGTAAATCGAGTTCGGCTTTACAGAAACTTGACAATAAATCGCATCAAAACAATCGTGTTAATAGTCACAACAATAACAACAATTATCTTAATCACGATAAAACTCAGAAGGCTGAAAATTCAAGATATTTATTGCCAACATCATCAACTAATGGAATCGCTGAATACACTATGAGAGTTTCCAAATCGTGTCAAACGATGGTGACATCAGAAAACTTTGAATCAACTCTTCGTAAAAGCTGTACCGTTGAACAATTAGCTGATCCAACTTGGAGTGCCCAACAATTAATTTCTAGTCCAAATAATATAATTAAATTAAAGAAAGTTGATTCGCCGATTGCAATTGAAAGAGATGATAATCTAGTTAATCTTCAACTAGAAGAGGACTTACCTTTAATTTTTTTAACTCAACAAGAAGTTTAATCAACATGATTGTTGTTCCGTGTTATTACAATTAAATCGACTAATTCAAGACTGTTTTTCCTTTTTCTAAATTATTGTTACTGTTTTCCATTGTTATTCACAATTAAGACTAATTGTTAAAAGTACAAATATAAAAGACAAAAAAACATATCATTTTGTAATAATGTCATAAAAAAATCCAAGATAAAATCAATCGTGATTTGTGGTTAATATTTAATTGATTCAAAGTAGATTTTCATAACAAGAACAAAATTTTCGGGTGACTTCGTCCTCGATACAATTGCTTTCATTTCCTGGCTTATTGAGGCGATCGATATCACCATCTAAACTCCATTTGTATATAACTTTTTTGAACCTTTTAAGGACGAGTGACAATCGCTCTCAAAATCGCATTTGATGGAGAAACGTTCAGAACAAGTTCCATTCTGTCCGGATGAGATGAGGTTCCCTGAAAAAACTGCAAAGAAAAATCAGTCTTTAGTTATCAACATTGTGATCGAAATTATTTTTTTGATTACCATCGCTTTCAGAATATTTTTCAATTCAGTTTTCGACAATAACCAGCGTAATCATTCAGTCGGTGGTTAATATCATCCATTAATGATCTCGCAGCTTTTTAACAGCTAAAGATGATAATTGTAGAACTTGACCTGAATTCGAAGCTCGACATGAGCAATATTCCGATGGAATCCTCGCTTGTAAACAATTTCGAGTAAAAGGAACTTCTTGTCTCCATATTGAATAAGCTCTTTTAACTTCATTCGAATTGATTAATTCTTCATAGTTACCTGTTTGAATGAGCGAAATGGTTTAGAAAAAGTTATGATAATTTTAAATTTTCATAATACCATTGAACCAAATCTAACCTGAAGCGATATCTTTCAAAATTTCTCTGACATCAAGCCAAGTTGTTAATCTATTTTGATTTCGAGTTAAATACTTTGCTAAATGTGGATGACGTTTTGTTAATTTCTTAGGTAGATGAATATTGAACAAAGGTAATCTTGACTCGTATTGACCATATTCAGTGGTCATTTGTCCACCAAAACGTGGCCCATGATCACCCATCAATATAAAAACTGTATCTTCAAGTTGAGCTGAATAGATATTAATAAAATCAGCTAATTGCTGGTCAACATATTGAATTTTGTTGAAATTATCTGCCAATGGTTCGATAAGAAATGACCACAGAAAGTAAGGTAATTTAGATGAGCTGGTTAAATTAACAAATTGTCTCACTTGCTTCAACCAATCAGTCAATTTAGGCTGACGACCGAAACACTTATTAGTCTTGTGATAACCCATTTCAAATTCCATTTGTGCCCAATGAGCCCTTGGGTACCAATCGGTAGGTGGATTTAAAAATCCATCTTTCCTCAAATTGAATAATCCCAATGATGGATAATCCTCAATGTAACCGGTCAGATAATCAGCTCTTTTAAAATCTTTCCAGATTAAATCTAAATCATCGAATGGTCCAACTTCGTCTACATGGTTTGACCATTCGCCGTAAGAAACATGATGACCTGTTTTTCATGAGAATTGGAAAACCGTTTAAAGTAAATTGGTTAATTGTTCAGCTTTCAAACAGAAAACAATAAACAAGTCAAACAGTACTGTTGACTGAAAGTGAAACTTAAGTAGCTAATTGTTTGATCAACAGTCAGTGTTAATTAGTAGCTTTCGTTTGGTAATTATCTTTACCTGTTAGAAGTGGAATCATATTTTTCCAGGTATCGTCGCCGAAAATGTTCAATCCTTTCAATATGAAATTACTTGAAAGTTTATTCAGTGATTTTGATGTTTGTTTCATGAACCTTTCGAAGTTGAGTCTCGAAGTGGACTCAAGTACCAAGATTAATACCGAAGGTTTAATTTGGTCGCTTTTAACCGTTGGTATCGATGATTTTTTCTCAATTAACTGTGAAACTTTCAATGGCCAAGAATGGATTCGATTGTAGACCTTTTCGTCTCCGTTTATACACTTAATCGCTACGAATTGCGAATTAGTCGATTTCATGTTGAGCGAAAATCCTTCTATCATCTCGATTGCTCTATATTCCAGGTCATAATCTTCGAGTAATTCAAATGGTCGATACGCACATTTAACCGAATGTCGTTTCTTGGGTAATTTCAACACGACAATCGGATCACGATCATTCATCGAGGTTAATTGTTGGCCATTAGTTAATTTTAACATTTCTTCAACTCCTGGGCTAATGTCATCATAGCATTTAAACTTATCATGGTTGTAATTAACAATAAAACTTTTAATTATCGGATCAAATGGATCCATGTTGATTGGCAGTGAACAATTTGAAGGCGACTTTTTATCAAACCATTCAGAACGAGTTAAAGTCAAATCAGAATTTGATTCTTCGATTTCGAGTTGATCAAACAATTTAACATCGGATTTAAATTCATTATTGTTTCCAACAAAAACATGATAATAAGTGAATATTGTGATAACTGTAATAATTAAAGCAACAAGTGAATATAATTTGATAAACTTGAGTTTCATTTTTCTTTGAACTTTTTTCATGACAAACTCATCAAATTGGAAACGAATTGACATCAATCAATTGTAATCATGTTTATCTTTGACACCAACAAACAGGAAAGGAGAGATGCCAATTGTTGATTCAACTAAATCAACACAATTAACACTCTTGTTTTAATTTAATTTTCAGCTTCTTAATTGCTATCACCAAAAAAGTTCTGGTTTCTTTGAACTGCTAATCTAAGATCATTTTCATCTCTAAAATTATTCAAACCGATTGATTCAATGACAATTAGAAAGTAAGAAATTGTAAATAATCAATTTACTGACAATTTAATTTACAATTTACGAATCTTATCAGAATTTAATTTGGAAATGATCCCTTTTGATTCCATGTTTTGTTTTGTTTTGAAATTGTGGTTGTTTTGAATTTTTTATATTCTAATTTTATTAATTGTTTGAAGTTTAATTAAGATGAAGGAAGAAATTTTCTCGCACGAAATTAATTATCTATCTGCTAATTGTAACCATAAACCTCATGCTTTTGATCTTAGAGGTAATTTGATTGTGTATCCTTCATGTAATTCAATTTGTGTTTATGATTATGTTGATCATCAACATATTCAACTTCTTAATGGACACAATTCACAAGTTAATTGTGTTCGGTGGATTAAATCAGGTATGATTTCTGGTTAATTTGTTAAATATTCAATTTATTAATCGATAATCTCTGTTAGTTGATAGTTTTGTATCAGCTTCTAATGGCGGTCAAGCAATAATATGGACAAAAGGTGATAATGGTTATATTCCTGAATGTAAACTCTCAGTGCCTGATGATGGATTGATTAATGTTCACACAATCGTTACTTCATTAAATTGTCAAGGTTTCAAAAAGAATCATGTGAATTACTTTACATGTGCATCTTTGACCAGTGAAAAGGTTGGATTGTGGTTCAACGATCAATTTATCGACTTTATTGAGATGAAACAATTTATTTTCGATATACGATTAATCCAAAGTGATCAACAAATGTTTGGTGATGTTATTTTCATCAGTCTTGTTGGAAGCGGTTCAATGGTCCATCTCATGGCTTTTGATGAGAACAAGAATCTTCATAAACTAATCGAATTGGGTGGAAACGAAGACTGGATACAGTCTGTCGATATAATTTCCATAAATTCGAGTGAGTTATTCTTATTGAACAATTTCTAACGACTATTGCTAACAAAATTTTCTATTTCCCTTCCGTAGACTCTTTGTATTTAGCTACTGGATGTCAAGATCACTTTATAAGAGTTTGGAAAATTTCTCGAATTGATACTAACCGCTCTGAGAAAGGTCGTGTAGCCGAACTATTGAATAATTACTTCGAAGTGTCGATCGAAACTATTCTACTTGGTCACGAAGGTTGGGTTTACTCGGTACAATTTGTTGAAAACTCTTCTGGTAAAGTTGGTCTTCTATCCGCTTCAATGGACAAAAGTATTGTGCTTTGGTGTCAAGGAGAAGATGATGAAATTTGGACAGAATCTATTCGAGTTGGAGATGTTGGTGGAAGTGCTCTTGGTTTCGTTGGAGCTTTGATTAACCCACAGCTTAATTTGATAATTGGACAATCATTCAATGGAGCCTTACATGTATGGAGAAATAATAAAGAGACTGGATCATGGAGTCCAGAGGTTGGTCTCGGAGGCCATTGGGAGATTATCAATGATCTTTCATGGGAACCCAATGGAAATTTTCTGTTAACATGTTCATTAGATCAAACAACTCGTCTTCATGCCCCTTGGGCCAGGAAAGAGTCTTCCAAAACGACTTATCATGAAATCGCAAGACCTCAGATCCACGGCTACGATTTAAACTGTATCACAGTGATTGATGGGTTAACTTTTGCCTCTGGTGCCGATGAAAAAGTCATCAGAATTTTTGGTGCAACTAAATCATTTCTCCAAAGTTTCATCAACATTTCACAAGAGGATTTATCGAAACAATTAAAAGTAAATCGAGAGCTTCCCGAATGTGCTAGTGTACCTCCGTTGGGTCTATCCAACAAAGCGATTTATAGTGAAATTGACATGGACGAATACTTCAAGTCAGTCGTTCTGGACAAACCTCCATTGGAGGAGATTTTACAACAAAATACTCTTTGGCCTGAAATCGAAAAACTCTTTGGACATTCATATGAACTTTTCACTATCACATGTAATCATCGAGGTTCTTTACTAGCATCAGCTTGTAAAGCGAGTAAATCTGAAAGTGCCAATCTTATTATTTGGAATATCGGTCAAAACTTTAAAAAGTTACAAGAACTTCACTTCCACAGTTTAACTATTACCCAGACTCGATTCTCTCCGAATGATCGTTACCTTATCTCCGTTTCTCGTGATAGAACTTGGTGTCTTTATGAATTACAAGATTCAGAATCAAACGTAAACATAATTAAGATTGGAAACACCGATAAGAAGACTTGTCTCCATAGTCGGATAATTTGGGACGTCGCTTGGACTCCAGATAATCAGTATTTCGTCACTTGTTCTCGGGATAAAAAAGCCATTGTTTGGGGATTTGGTGGTGTTTCTGGTGACGGTGGACCAAGAAATTGCTTGGGTCCTGTCATGGCGATTTCTGATCACAATTTAGTTCTATCAGACCCAATTATCGCAATTGATATCGCCAGATATCGTGATTCAAATGGTTATGTTGTCGCTTTTGGTCTAGAAAATGGCAACATCAAGATTTATAAATGGTCAATAGAAACTAATTGGAAGTTAAAATTGTCAATTGATAATTGGTGAGATTCAATTCTATTCATAATTGATTATATCAAATTGTAGCTATTAACTAATTTTCTCTCATTATTTTCACTTTTAGTCACACATCACAAGTAAAAAAATTACGATTTAAACCTGGGAATCAATCACCCGATGGACTTTTATTAGCAAGTTGTGGAGATGATCGGAAAACAATAATTCATAAAATTGTAATTAACTAATCATCTAAATGCTCTTTCTATTTTCTATTGTCAATTAACTGATTATTTCTCTGTTCCTAATTGAATGACCTCGAAAAAGTTAAAAAAGAAAGCCATCCAACTAAAATATCTTGATTAAAATCAATAATCGATAACAACTTAATCATTAAATCGACTCATAAAGTGTTTGTTAATAAAATTAATTTTAAATGGTTAATAATTAAATTCTAAAATTATCGATAAAATAAAAGAAAAGGAATAAATAGAAATGCAATTCGGAAACGGTCCCTAATTCCATTCGTAAGCAAATCGATTACTCTGATCGCCAGAAGGTGGAAGCTCAATAGCTGAGTGAATATCCAATCACTTTAAGCCCAGTTGATTAAACTAAATTAATTTAGTTTGATTGTTGTTAATTTTTCACTAATTGTTGTTCTGTTTTACTTGGTAACTTTGAGTTTTTGTTTGTGGTTGTTCTGCTTTTATTAAGGATTAACAAATCATCTGCAATTATGTCAGGATTTCTTGAATCTATTCCAACTCATATGGTAAGATTCACATTGACAAATTGTCTCATTCTTGTTGTTTATTCATTTTTTTTCAATTTCTTTAATGTTTTCCTGGATAATTAGGATTTTGCTGGTCAGAAGAAAGCTGAGAAATTATTCCAAACGTTAATACTAACTGCTGCTGTCATTGGTTTAGGAATTGGCTACTATCATGAGCAGTTTTCTTACACCGTCTACTCCCTTGGTGCAGGATTTGTCATCTCTTGCTTGGTAAGTTTAACAATCTGTTGTGGTAAAGTGATTAACTAATTTGGTTTATTCATTATAACATTTTCTTCTTTGAACAGTTGACACTTCCACCTTGGCCCATGTACCGTAAACATCCAGTTAAATGGCAAAAGCGACGAAAAGAAACTTCTAAAGCAAACAAAGAAGATGAACCAACATCTTCTCCATCTTCTCCATCAGCAACCAAAGGCAAGAAAAAGAAATGATCAAAGGCTCTGATTGAATATTCTTTGAGTAAATAAACTTGTTCGAATTTTTCATCGAATTGTAACCTCTTATCACTCATCATATTCCGAACTTTTCTCTATTCACAAAATGATGGTGATTCTTAAAATAAAGAAAACAACTTTTTTCTATACAATTTGATTATTTACAGTTAATTAAAAGATTGTTACAATGTGTTCACGACGGATGATCGAATCATGAAAGATCCAATTTCAAGAATTCATTATAAATGTTCCTCTCGAATCGTTGTTACTCATTTTCTTGTTTGTCCTGATAAATTTTCTTCCAGAAGAAAACTTAATCGGATTAAATTTCTTCTTGAATGAATTAAATCAACTCATTTGCTTCACTAAAATACGATGACAATAAAAAAAGTTGACAAGATAAGTTAACTGTTTTTTTTACCAAATAATCTGATTGATTTCAATCTTTCAAAAAATTTGTTGCCTTATCATTAGGATTTTACAACAATTTACAATCAATTTAACGATGATTCTTAGTCAGAATTCTGACTGATGTTTCTTAGTGTTTTGATGGAATAATTTCCTTACATTAATTCGTTTTCTGTTTTTAAAGTGTCTTGGTGAGTAGACGAAAGAAATTTGATAAGCTAAGTCTTGGTTTAAGAAAAGCGCAAATCAAAGTTAACAGATTAGTTAAATGAACTTCAGTCACGAGGAGTCAGACTAATTAAGATAATCTTTTGCAGCAATTTAACGGGAGAATAAGACGAAGACGAGAAAGAGAACCAAATGAGAGATAATCGTGAAGAAAGGCGATAATAGCTGAAGATACTATTGGATCAACACATCGTTTCAGTTCTCGTTGAAAGTCATTCGTTTTCTAATCTCTAACAGAATCAAGTGTCGTTCATTTATTTATCCACTGTTTCAATTTCTCCTGCATTAATTCTGTCAGGATCAGATTGAATAGTGAATCCTAGGATTGAATTAGCAACTTTTTTCGCCTTTTTCTTTTTTTTCTTTGATGCGGCACCAGAATTACCATCTCCTCCATTATTATTGGATGACGGATTATTGTGTGATGATTTATTAACGGACGGAGTTATAGCAGGAGCTGGTCCCCACATCAGTTCCTGAAAAGTTGAAAAGATAATGAAAAAATTGTGAGGAATACTTTTCATTTATCTTCGCAGATGATCTTGACCGCTCACCTCTGATGCTTCTTTTTTAGCTTGATTGCGGAAATATGACCTTTTCTCCAAGAACTGATTGGCAAAATCTTTTGTTTCTTTAGTGTCACCCAGATAAGAGTTCACATAATCACTGACGTCAAATGGAGATTCAACATCTTTGAGAAATGCAATAAACGTAGGAACTGAAAGGGAAAATAAATGTAATATGATTTATAATTTTTATAATCAACCAAATGTAGAGGAGATTAATTAAAATGAGAATATTAAAACTCACTATCAATAGATGACTTATATTTGCTCAGCGCTCCAGTGCACCATATGGTGAACTCGTCAGGCTTTTGTCGACGCTGGTTACTAAATAGTTTCATCACAACTTCCTGATAAAAAATAAATCAAGAGAAAAATCAATAAAAAATGAACCTACTAAAATCTTATGAACACAAATTAACAGTAAATGAAACATCTCGAACCTCTTCTTTTCGAGATTTGGATTTGCCACTGGCCCCATTATTATTTCCACCACTGGACTTGATGTTGTGCTGCAAGGCACTACTTTCTTGGTTCTTAGATGCATTTTTGCTTTCTTTTGGGGCTGGGGTGTCCCAAAAAGCTTCTCCTATGTTACCTGTAAAATTTGGCCCCGGTGAAGATGTTTGATTCGAAGAACCTGTAATAATAGAAGATTGGCCCCAGGCATTGGTGGAAGACCCTTTCCAAGATAACTGACTGGCCGCGTTACTCCAGATTCCACAACTTGTAACCGTATTTTGTTTAACTGCTGCTTGTTTTTCTCTTCACTTTTCTTTTGCTTCTCAAGTTTCTGAGCTTCTTCTTTCTGAATTTCGGCCAACGTTTTCACTGGTGCTTGAGCTTGTTGCAAATGACTTCTAGCCCATGTCAATTGGTTTTTCTGTTTTTGCTGCTGCTCAAATAACTGTTGGGCATTTGATTGTTTTTCTCTGTAAAAATTGCAAATGCTTCCAAGTTAATAATCTATATTGGAGATAAAACCAACTGAATACTCACAAATAAATATTTTGCCTTTCAGTTTGTTGAGCTTGTTTAATTTTCTCTTCCTTTTCCTTGGCCTCTTGGAGTCTTTGAATTTCGGCAAGAGATATGGTTGAATTCTTTGTTTGACAAGCTTGACCCCAAATTTGTTTTGAAGAATTTTTATCACCTGAGTCTTCAGATGATTTCCAAATTTGTTGCGTAGGAAACTTTATAGAAGATGAATTTGCGTCAGGACTTGGAGAGTCGCTATCAAAGGACCAACCATCAGCTTTATCGGAATTAGTTCGATCAGGCCAGATTTTCTTAGATTCTTTCTGAATTTGGGTCTGTTGGTTTTGTACCTGTTTTTGGTTTTCTTTCCTCTCTTTGACTAAACGGTAAAAGAATAATAAAACAGTTAAAAATATATCAAATATCTAATACAATGTAATTATATTTTCAACGTGTAGTGAGTAAAACGTGTGTGTAGTCAATTGTTCAATGTAAATATTATCAATACTCTTTCTTGTGATTACATGGTGAAAAGAGAAAGAGGTCAGGTAAGAGATTTTAGTCTTTGCGAATGGGTAGAATAGTTCAATTCGAATGAACTGTAATCTATGTATTCGTGTTTCCAACAATCTAAACCATGAACATAATCTAATATTCAAGATCAAAAATCATTGTTGTAAAAAATGTGCCACGTCTAAAACTGTTTCAAACTAAATGATGACAAGGTGGATTCAAGTAGCCAGTGATAAAAAATCATTCAAGTTATGATATTGAGTTTAGACAAACCTTGTTGGTTTTGCTGAGCTTGCAGAAGTTGTTTTTGTAGTTGGTTTTGTTTTTGTTGGCTTAGTTGATTCGGTTTCCGGGCTTGATCCTGAAGAAGTAAGAACAATTTAGATATTAAAAGCTTGTTAAAAATATTTAAATATCACATGATAAAAAGTAAATCAATTAAATTGTGCAAAACCGGAACAAGCTATTAACTAGCAAATTAGCTCATGGCTTTGGTGAAACTGAGAATGACCATGAATGTAAAGCAAAAGGCAAACGATTAGCTTACCAGTTCTTGTTGCATCTGTTCTTGGTGCCTCAATATTTCGGCTTCTTCAGCTTCTTTCATGAGTCGTTGTCGTTCTGCTTCTCTCCGTTTCCTGAAAATCTCCTCAGCTCTCAACATTTCCTCGTGTTTTCGTCTTTCTTCTTCCAGTCTTTTCTTTTCTCTTTCAAGCTCGATTCTTTCTTGTTCCATTCTTCGTTTTTCATCCTCTTCTTCTCGTCTTCGGCGCTCCTCCTTATCTCTGAGTAATTCCTCTCTGAGTTTCTTTTCTTGCTCTAATTTACGGGTCAACTCTTCTATCCTTTGTTCTTCTTCTCTTTTACGTTGAGCTTCGACTGCCGCTCGTTTATGTGCTTCAATTTGCTCTTTCTCTAAAAGTTTCTTTTTCTCTTCAAGCTCTAATTTATCACGCTCACGTCTTTGTAATTCTTCCAATGCAGATGCAGTTATTACTCCTCCATTCCCTAAATCCCAGATACTTTGTGTTGATTGAGTAAGAAGTGGACCACTTCGAACAACTGGCACACCAAGTCTAGATAATTGTTCCATCACTGATTTCGGTTCGTCAGGAATGTTCGTCGGTTGAGGTGGAGTTGGTTGCATCCGCCTCTGTTCTGCTTGATGCTGAGCGGTTACATATTGCTGGACAAGGACACACTGTTGTTCTTGCGCTGATAATGTTGAGAATCCATCTTGTTTTTTCAGTTGATCTAAAAGCTGCCGCAACTGAGTTTGCATTTGTAGTTGTTGGTTCAAAAAAAATTGTCTCTGTATCTGATCTTGTTGGCGTTGTTGAAGAATCTGCTGTTGTCTAAAATTTTGTCTGAAAATATTTTCCAACAAAAAGATATTAGCGAAACGGAAAATGAGATTAAATTGGATAAATGAGCAACAAAACTTACGAGTAGAGAGAATTTGGCGACAAAGTAGACGGTAGCGCATCTGCATTGATAGACTTATTGGGTTGTGTTTGTTGTGTCATGTTAACTACTGGAGGAGGATTTTTATCAGTAATGAAAGGCATTCGACCCCATCCCTTAATTAACTCTCCTAATTGAGAGAATCTTTCATCACAGCCTCTCCTGACTAGTAGATCTACAGTGAAGTAACCCGAAACTAACCAATCATACATCTCTTGAGGTAAGAATGGACCTTGGATTTCACCCTGAGGATCACGATAAAACCATTTATATGCGTCTTCATGGTGAAGAGGAACAACTGTCATATTATTACTCTGTTTATCCCTGAGAACCCTTTCTTCTTGATCCGCTTCCGAAGTCCATTGAGCGACCATGTTTTCAGCAGCCTTTTCTAAATGAGACAAACCATCTTCTTCATGATGAGGTTTATGATTAGGGTTAATATGCGAGTTTTCCAAAAGAGTTTGAATGTGATGGTGAGTGTTCATTTGAGATTGTGGCTGAGGTTGAGATAATGCTTGAGGAGGATGTTGGTGAAGCATCTGAGACTGAAGTTGAGATTGTATTTGAGGTTGGTGTTGATTTTGGAGCTGAGGTTGAAGTTGAGACTGAATCTGCTGCTGTAACTGCGAAGGTAATTGGGATTGCAACTGCATTTGGGACTGCATTTGAGGCTGAAGGTGTGATTGAAACTGTGGCTGGAGCTGAGTTTGGAGAGAGGGTTGTAAAGCTGGATGCAATTGAGAAGTCATTTGCTGATTTTGAAGTTGAGACTGAATCTGTGGTAATATAGATGGCTGATGTTGATGGGATAACTGAGATTGTAGCTGAAACTGGGAGTCAATATTGTTATCGGACATTTTTGATATCGGCGGACCAGTCATAATTTTATTGTCATCAAATGGCGGAGCGCTGAGTTCATCATCGTCCAGGTCAACAAGTAACTTAGAATCATCCGGTGGAGCTTCATTCTTATCCATATTTACATTGTCATTAACTGAGTTGTTATGATCCATCACCTTCTTTTTTAAATCATTATGATCTTTAGAGTTATGACCAGGTGGATTATCTTTGATTTCATCGTCCATGCTTCCTTCACGAAACGCTCCAGACGCATCGAACGTTCCCACTCTGGCCTCACAAGACATGTCGTCGTCCAAGCTCCATTCAGGCAGATTACTCTTCCGTTCTTCATCATCCATGTCATCCCAACCTTCTGAATTTCTTTTATAATGATTTCCATAACCTCGACGCATAATTGGACCATTTCGATGTTGCTGATCCTCTCCTATTCCATCACGATCATCAGTTCTCCAAGAGTCATGATTTCTATTCCAGTTATCATCTGTTCTGCCACGAGCTCTCCAATTATTACGATCATCACTTCTACCACCTGATCTCCAGTTATCAGCAAGTCTAACGTCTTTCCTGTTCCTGTTTCCTTCATCACTACTTTCCCCTCTAGACAAAGATCTGTCAAAGCTTTTTTCCCTGGGCCCGTCTTCACTAATGCTAGAACTTTTTTCATAATTTTTTCTGAAGGCATCTCTTGGTTCACCAGTTTCCCCATTTTCATCATAGGGACCAGTTCTTTGATAATAAGCAGGTCTCCCACGTCCTCTACTTCTTTCAGCAGTCATACCTCCTCTCATGGTTCGTATGGCAGGACCAGTTGTCCTTTCATTAGGTGTAGCACCACTCACAGTGGCACTTCTTTCTGGTCGGTCACGTTCAGCATTACCAGCATTAGCATTCATCTTGTTAAGCCTCAACATGGCCTCACTGTTCACAGACCTAGACCACAAACGATGTTCATCTTCATTCATAGGGATGAGAGCAAGAGGTAGCTGGCATTTATCTACCGTTAAGGTCGGTATTTCTTTCAATTCGAGGGCCATATCGACGTTGTTATCAAATAAAGCTAACATTTCCTCACGCCCGTAACGATATTGAGCCAGTTTATATTTATTAATTGGGAAAAGAGTTGGTAGCGAGCTGTTGCTTGTTAGATTAGTTGTTGATGAAGGGATATTTTGATGATTGGAAACAGGATTAGCAGAAGCATTTTGGTGACTGACTCCTCCATCAGTTAAAGCACGAAGCCTTGAAGAAGAAAAAAAATTAAAACAGAATATTCATAATAATTAGAAGGGGAACAAAAATATGGGTTAAAAATGTGTTGTTGAAGAATCAAATTACTAATTGTTTAAACTAATTCTTACCATTCAGGCCCAAATCTGAGAACAGTTTCTGCCATGTTTAATCGGCTTAAATGTGATGCTGTCCAGTTAATTATCAAACAAGTGGAAAGAAGATAAATAAACAGAAACGTATACCAAGGATGATAAAACAAAGGATTTTCAGAGAATGGAGAAAATAGACTGCCAACAGCCTATGTGAACAAGCACAATGATTCAAGTGAACGAAACAAAGAGAACTGAGAGAGAGAAAAAGTAGCAAAGGATAAGAAACAATTTTCAATCAATTCAGGCCCATGGAAATTTGAATAAATCAACATAACAGTTAATCAAACAAGTGGAAACACTTACCGAGATACAGAATTAGTGACTATTGTTAAATATGAGAGAAAATAAGACCAAGAATGGAGAGAAAGAAAGAGCAAGATCAATAGAAAGAGAAGAAAAAGAGAGACACAGAGAAAGAATTATGAAAAGAAAAGAGAAAGAAAGACAGAGAAAAAAGAAAGTAAACTGAAAAAGAGAGAGAGAGAGAGATAAAGAAAAGAGCTCAATAAGAATCAATTTTTCGATGAGGTGAGAATTTAATTTTCTAATAACAATCAACGATTATTGTTGATTAATTTGAAGGTTACCTTGAAGACAAAAATGATCAACAATTAAAGGAACAAATTTAATTGAAATTTAATCACAAAGAACAGAAATACATATGTATAAACATAAGAACAAATGAAAATCTCAACTGTGAAGTGATGCGATCCTTGCGGCGAACAGAACAATTAAAGAAAAACAAACTCAACAAATTCAACAAGTGCGGCCTCTTGTGATTCCAAATACAATTAAAGGTTAACAGAAAACAAACACATTTGAATAAACGAAAAACAACAAAAATTGTAACAATTAAAACGCAAATGAAAAGACAATTGAATCAACCATCACCAATCAAATTCAATAGCGTCTTTGGTGTTCTTTGTGATTCTGTTGTTCGTTATAAAGGTTAAAGGGGCGCTGCGCGAACGCAATCACCCGCTACCAAAAATATCACTCCCCATCTAACTCGTTTTGAGCTAGTGGCGGGCTTCAGCCGCCCCCGGAGTGCAGTGAGAGGGCCTCGGCCCGGAGTCCCCGCCTTGGTGATCACGGGATTCTCGGAGCCAGGTAAGTATGGAGAGAGAGAGAGAGGTGACAAGGGGCTTTATACTCGACCGGGCAAATGAAAGTTACGGTTTGCGTTTTCATTTTCTTTTGATTTTGATAGTTTTGAATGGAAAGTTTCCATTCAACTGAATCATTTCATTGATTACAATTTTTCTTTAGTTAATTGTTGTTTATTGTTGGTTAATTATTCGAATGATTGTTCATTTAAAAAGTTTTTTCTCATTCTCATTCTCATTGTTAATCTTGATCGTTTTTCTTTTATTCTCATCAATAGATGTCGCTCGTCTTTTTCTTTATAGATCAGTTTTCATCTTTTTGTGTTGTTTATTTTCTGTCACAAAGATTTTATATTGTTTGTATTTCTGTTCTTTGTGATTTAATTTAAATTAAACTTGTTCCTTTAATTGTTGACCGTTCTTGTCTTCAAGTTAACCTTCAAATTCATCAGGTACATTTGACATGAGTGAAACTGAACATACGTTGGAAGAGCTTGACAGCGATCCCTACATCTCTGGGGCTGCTCAATGTTTCTATCAGGCTGAACGAGTCTCGACTCTTGGGGCTAAATTCCCAGATAAAAGTCAGCATGAACTTATTACCATGGCTATTAAGGAATGGAACCATGATCTGAATATTCACAAAAAGGTTAGACACCTCAGGCAAGTGGAGAGAATGGGATTAGCTCGTTCATTGAAGATACGAGGATACCAAGGACAGACCACTAACAATAATAGTAATCCACCAGCTCAGCGTAGTCGAGCTACTATTTCCTCATTCAGTAACTCTAATGTCTCACTTGCTGATGTCCTGAAAAGGGAACCTAAAAAACCACCGAAAAATGGGTACTCTCTTTTCACATCCGAACAATTAGCCAAATATGTGAATGTTGAACCTCAAAAGCGAATGTCAGAGGTCGCAAGAATCTGGAGTCAGGTAATTACCAAGGAGGAAAAGGGCAACTTTGACGCTCGAAACAAGGAGATGCTGATTCAATATCAAAGATCATTGAATGCTTTCATTGAAGTAAGTTTACTAGAATATTATGTTCTATTTCATTGTCTAATTATCATTATTATTTCTTAAAATAGAGTTTGACTCCTGAGGAAAGGCAAGTCTACACAGAGTATAAAAACTCGAAGACCAAAAGCAAGAAAAAGCTCAAGAAGTTTTAAGAGAAATGATCGTACCAATTGACCATCACGATTTGACCCATTCTCATCTTGCGAGTTGAAAATTTTCTACAATCATGGTTTCATTATACAATAGAAAATGTCCATCAGCCAAGATTCCATTCATCATTCATAAAATTTGATTTGATAATTTGCATGAATTAATGACTTGAACGATTCTTTCATGAATTGAATACATTTTGTTCAAAAATTTAACTTTAATAATCAACATTAAATTGAAGCTTGTAGCTTGAGTATAAAAAAAAGATGCTATAATTTGTGGATCTTTTCAGTGATTTGTTCACAATCAAATCTAATAAATTTCTATCATAATTATCACAATCTAAATTGAAAGAAAGTCAAATTTTGAAAATGAAAGTTAATCGTTTTTGGTCAACAATTCTCAAGTCATAGAATCCAAACAATTTGATTACTTTGATTGATTAAATTGATAATTTGAACGATTTGATTCTCGTTGAAAAGGTGAATTCAACTTTAATGACTTTCTGACTTTAGACATTTATACAACTTTCAAGTATTTTCAATCATCAATAAATGGACTTCGAAGTGTCAATATGTTTGCTCGCTCTCTTTGCCCGATTTGGTTTTATTTCGAGGTTTGGAGCGATTCGCAAAAGGATATCCTTTCGGTGTATTTCTTACTCTCACTGTTGAAACTTCAACGGGTTTTGTTGATGACGATAGCTCAGGTTTTGTCGTTGTTGTCGTCGGTGTAGTTGCTGCTATTGTAGTACTTGTAACATGTGAACTTTCTGTGACCACTGTTGGTGTTTTTGTCGCCATTTTCTGCTCATATATTGGCTCTTCTTCGTGTTCATCGCTGTGATTATAATCTGAAAGAAAAGAAATAATCAATGAGAAATTTTGGAGAATTCTTGAGAGAAACTGACCATTATGAATTGTCGATTGGCTTGGACAAGCGAACATGAAACAAACTGCTGGATTGCTTTGAAAAGTTCGTAATTGAACTTGTGCATCTTCGAATGGATTTTTATCTATCGGTTTTATCGGAGGATCAGGAACAATCGTGCGAAGAGTCGGTGCTCCACTATGAGCATGTTTAGAATTATTGTGTTTCGCTGAATGGGTTTTATGTTTTTTCCCTTTTCGATTTTTTGTCAATTTATCGCCATTTTTATGAGAATCCTGATCAGTTTTTCGTTTGACCAGCAAATGATTGAGCGATTCATCATAATCTGTTTCCTCCATCGACTCAATATCTTGACAACTTCCAGATTCAATACAATCGAAACTTTGTCTTAATGTCTTCTCATAAACGCTCAGACTTTCATCGTCGAAATAATTTTCGTCAACGACGAAAGAGACAACTGCGATTCTCACCTTTTTCGAGCTCCTTCTTTCAAATGAACGATTTTTGTCTTTATAATCACAAATTACCGAACAATATGAATCTCGTTCGTTGGAACCATTTTCTTGATTTAATCCATCGGATGAACACGAACATATTTCCAATTGCACATCAAGAACTGTTTCGTTAATCCTTTGAGGTCCACGAATTAATCCTTTCGTTGAATCCAAATGAATTGTCCATAAAAATGAATTCTTAATTTCATCTGATTCAACGGTTGATTCTTTTGTCCATCTCGAATAGTTGATCACAATTAGAATGATAAATATGAAACAAGAGGAAAACATCGTAATTGTTTCTTGTCGAGATACAATTTGATTTGAAGTTTCAAAATTCTTGATTCCAGTGGAATCAATTTCTTACCAGTTAATCATTCAGATCCAACTCTAATTAATCATCATGTAGTTTCCATATGTTCATGATGTCGACTGATAATTAAACTGAAATTGAGATAAAATATCAATTTCATGTGAATTTCTACTCAACCGAAACTCCTTATGGTTTCAACGAGTTTCAATAACTTTATGAAATTTTGAAATTTTAGTTCAAATACCAAACTTAATTGTTGATTTCTTATTATCAATCTTTTAATTATAAAATATAAATACGCTGATACCTGTATGTGTATAATTAATTTACAAATCACAAAGGAAAATTAGTGATCAATGAGTAATTTAAACTTAATTGGAATTGAGAAAATTGGATTGAATGGGAAAAAATTTCACAACCGATATTTCAATCAGATTCAAAATGGAAATGATTAATTATTAAAAATCAAGAGGAAAAAATTATCGCTGAATTTTTCTATTAACTAATTTATCACCAGAGTTTCTTTGTAGATCTTGTAGATTCTTGACCTTCTCGAATAAAGGTTCAGCTCGTGGTTGATTAAGATCTTGAACCATTTCGACTACACATCGTCTCGGGAACCAACCACGAGGTTTAATTGTTCCCAATTTAACGGGATGTGTCTTTTCCCCATAGAGCCAATGTTTTTTCCATCGGGTCACAGTTACTTCATCATTAACGTCTAATGAAATACGAGCTTCATCGGAGAAAGGAAACTTGATACAAGTTCGCCAGCCTTGGGTGAATAGTGGAAACCAATTACCGTTGTAACAATTAACCACTTTGTAATTTCGAGCTCGAGATCGTTTCTCCATTTTCTGTAAAATCTGTTCGTAAGTTAAAGTGTATTGATGACATCCTTCCCGTAAAGGCCAGTCTATTCCGTCGAGAGATTTACTCTTTCTGAAAACTTGCATAAAGTTATTCCAATAACCCAAATCATAGGGATAAATGAACTCTTCTGATCTATGACGAGATTCGGCTTTAATTACAATCCAATCTTCAATCGATGTACGATTATTGAGGATTATTTTCATCTGAAAGACAGAGAGATACACAGAGAGTAAAATATGTTAATTGTTTGTAAAGAAATGTGATTGATTGACTTACCTGTACATAAAACAATCCACCAACAGCAATAATCACACCAATGGCAAGTCCAATACTAAATACTGAGAAAAGGAAAGATGTAAAAGTGAGGAGGACAACCGAATCTGAGCCTTCATGGTAAAAGTACCAAGTCTATAGAGAAAAGAGTAGATGGGCTGATTAGAATTAGAATTTGAGTATCGAATGGTTAAGTAATTACCGCATGATAACCTCGATAAATTGCTATCGAAAGGAGAAGAGCGGAATGAAAACCTCCAAGAACAGCAGACAAGAGGAAAAGAGTGAAATTGAGATGATTCCTAAGACCGACACAATTGTTGATCCATGGACAATGATGGTCCATCTTTAGAATACACTTATTACATGTTCTACAATGATGAGCACGAGGACATTTGTACGATTGGCAAATGGAACAAAATTGAAGGAATTTAGTATCTGTAGGATCTTTCGGTTTCCACCCTGGAGGAACTTGACCAGGTCCAAGGAAAATGGCACAAAAGAAATGGTAGAGCGTCAAACCAACAAGACTCAAGAAGATGAGATGGTTGACCAGGCCAATCAATGAACTGGTCATCGGAAGCCACATATTAGTCATGTACAAGGTTGTGATTGTATTACACTTGATTATCAAGAGCCCAAGTAAAGGTCCCCAATGTAATATCCTTAAGCCAAACAGACCTGACATCATGTAAGATCATATGGAAATTTAATCGACCTTTGAATGGAGCCTGAAGGTGAAAATGATGACAATTATCAATTCTGGAATTAACAACAGGTTGTTGAGGTTTAAGTTCATCATCAAGTTGTCACAATGAGAGAGTAAAAAAAAAGCTTCAAATGACCAACTCACCCAAGTAAACAAACTCTTATTTTGGGAATTCAATTTAGTCCCAAACAAAAGCGAAAAGATAATCAATTGTTACCAATCATTGGATCCCAGACAATTGGTTAGATTAAACTGATTCATTGGAACAAAGAATCGTCATTAAAATTAAATTGTCACAATTTAAGTGAAAACAAGAAATAAAATGAATGAAGAGAGAAAAGAAAACAAATAACATGTGATCAGTGAAATGTTTCATTCTAAAAGAAAGAAAGAGAAAAGAAAGATAATAAAAAGTTCTTTCTTTTATTCTTTCATTTTCAAGAATTGTAAGTCGATTGATTGAAAAGTTCGCAATTAAGAAATTGAATCAATAGTTGTAATTATTAAGTCAAAGTTGAGAAAAGTCAAATTATGAAAATGAAAGTCAATTGTTTACTTTGGTCAACAATTCTCAAGTCATAGAATCCAAACAATTTGATTACTAATTTGATTTATGATTAATTTGTGATCAATTCAATTATGAATGAAATGTTACTTTCTTCAATCATTTTACTTTATGTTTTAATGGTCGCTGTTGTTGCTGTGGGTAGTTATCGATATGGGCTGAGCGAATCGGAGACTCAACAAAAAAGGAACCAAAATCATCACCCGAATTTGAATCGATTCAAACAAAACGTAAAGAAAAAGATTGAGAATTTCTTCACTTCAGATGATGACTTGAGTTCCAGTGATTATCATGAAATCGACACAAAGAAGAAAAAAGTTGGCAAACACAAGGACATCGAAAAAGGAATTAAAAAAGATTGGAAAAAGATCAACAAGCCCAAGGAATCAGGCGAAAAAAATATCGCAAAAAGTGATCTTGATTCGCAATCGAAAGACAATGTGACTCCAGGCCCGTCGAAGAAAAAATCGGACAAAAAGATCGTCAAGTGAATTCGATAACTAATTGTTCAGATTATTTACATAGAAAGAATTTAAATGATCGATATTGTTTTAGATCTTCAAATGAACCAAAAGTCTCGATTATTATTCATACAACAATTACAAAATTTTCTCTTCGATTAACTTTTGATCTCAATGAGAAGGTTAAAGCTAACAAATTCTAAGATAAAAAGTAAAAGTTAATTACTCAGTTAATCGCAATTGTTTATTTTTCCTTCTCTCAATTGAGTAAATCAATAATAAAAAGCTTCTTATTAACTTATTTCTCTGGAGATAAACTTCAATTTATGTTAATCTTTTCGCTAATCAACTAATCAAACACTGGATAGTTAATTAGATTAAACGGAAAAGCGTTTTTATTTTAATCGGTTCTCCTTTTTAGAATTTACTTTTTCTCTTCTGAATTTGATCTCTTTGTTTTCGCTTTTTCCCACAAGACAAGTGTTTTTAGTTCTTTTCTCAGTTAATTGTTTCATTTTTTAATTTCTGCAGTTTATTTTACTTTCCAATCAATAAACCCTTCGAATTATATCCAAATGGTTCATCGAATCAGTAAAGAAATCAGAAAATTGGTGGTCAAGTCTCGAGAAGATGGAATGTCCTTCAAAAACATTGGCCTTCGCTTCAATTTATCCGTGGCAACCTGTGCAGGAATTTATCGTCGACACAAATGTGTATGTACAACTATTTTCGACCTTTAATTGTCACATCATCTCGTTGATTGTGTTCCTAAATTGTTCCTCAATTCAATTCACTTCTCCTTTTCCACTGCAACTTGAATGTGGCGGGTTAAGTGATTACCGCTTTTTTCATTCACCACAACAACAATCAACTAGTCAATGATTTTGATTTTTTCCTTCATTAAACCAAAACATTTATCACGGTTCATCCTTTTAATTGGTTTAAATGAATTTACTGGTTATTTAACTGTTTTCTAATTGTGATCTGTAATCTCATCTCTTGTTGATAATCACCTTGTTGTCTTGTTTTTTTTTGTTCATTCTATTGATAGGTGAATATGGATATCAAAAGTGAAGATGATTCAGACGCTCAATCCTCAAGCTCACCTGTTAAAAAGCGTGAATCTGATGAGGATGAAGAGCAAGAAGATGAAGAGGAATATGTTGTCGAAAAGATTATTGAGAAGAGAAAACGAGGTGGTAAAACGGAATATTACATCAAGTGGAAAGATTGGCCTGATGATGATAACACTTGGGAACCTGAGGAACATTTATCGTGTCCTGATCTGGTCAAAGAATTTGAGGAGCAGCTCAAATTGAAGAAAGAGAGAAAACTGGCCAAAGCAAAGGAGAAAGAACGGGAAAGAGCCGAGAAGTACAAGGCCAGAGAAAAAGAACGTGAAAGAGAACGTGAAAGGGAAAAAAGTAAAGAATCAGATAAATTCAAAGAAGGTGATAAACCTCGAGACAAAGAAAAATCCCATGATAAAGATAAGGAAAGATTCAGAGAAAAGTCTAAAGACAGAGAGAGGCAAAAGGTACTGTAAAAGAGCTTAATTTTAAGCTTTTTTCTAATCCATTTTTACATTTTCAGAATCGGGACCGTGGCGATGACGACAAACCGAATCGTAAGAGAAAAGCTCAAGTCATTGATTCGTCTTCAGGGACACCGTCGCCTGCTCTTGTGGAGAACGAGAGCAGCTCAAGTAGATTCTTCCCTTCAGATGATGAGATCAGCTCAGACAATGAAGGAACAACTGAGCTCGAGAAGCGCCTGAGAACATTGACCAGTAAAAGTTCAGCGAGAACCAATGAAATGAAAAACGAAAGTGATGACGATGTAGTGGAAGAGGAAAATGAGGAAGAAGATGAAATCACAGGTTTCGATCGAGGACTTGAGCCCAAGAAGATTGTCGGTGCCATTCGAATCGAAGACAAGTTAATGTTCCTCATCAAATGGGAATCGTGTAAAAAGTGTGACCTTATCCTCGCCGAAGAAGCCAACAACAGATGTCCACAAGTGGTCATCAGTTACTACGAGAAAAGACTCAAGTGGGTACCCGATTTTAACAGTGATCTTTGTGATTGATCTTATCGATTAATCTTTTCTTTTGTAAAGCAAATTCACCTCTATTATTCCATCAAATTCAAGTCATTAAAGATTGATAATTTCATATTCAACAAATTTTAATCCAATTTTTGATCCGATTCATTAATTAAAAATCTCTCCAAGATTATCAGTTTTCAAGTTTGGCGCTTTGACCTTCATCTCTAGAAATGAGAGTTGTCATGGCAACGCAAAGTAGTTTCCAAAATTTGGATTCCATTGGATTCAATCCATATGATTAAATCTCTATGAAAACGTGTTCTCATCAATTATTTTGATTATATTGTTTAATTTTAATTAGTGACTTAATCATGGCTGTCATTGACAGTAATTTTGTGGACCAGGTGTTAGGTCAAATTGAGGAGAAGGAAAAAGAAGCTCTGAAAGAAGTGTTAATTGAAAAAGAATTGGTTGATGTTGATCTTGGCAATTGTTTGTTGATCGATAACAATCCATTGGACGAAATTAATTTAAGAAAAATTAAAGAAGATTATCTCCTGAAACTTGCCCAAACAAATGGGCAATACTTGCTTAATAAACTGAGTGAATTAGATACTATGATTGTCGATGGTTACAATTTGATCAAACTGCCTGTTGGAACAACACCACTTCCAAGGTCTATGCCTGTTCCAAAACCAAAGGCACCGACAAAATGGGAAACTTATGCTAAAGACAAAGGTATTCAAAAAAGAAAACGAGAGAAAATGGTCTGGGATGATACCGAAAAAGTCTGGAAACCAAGATATGGTTACAATAGAATTAACAGTGATAAGGACGACTGGATTATCGAAATACCTCAGAATAAAGGTAAATTGTTTCTCTTTTATCAACGTTGGCAAAGTTTAGTTGTGAGAGATTTTACAATTTCTTTTTTATTCTTTTACAGATGAAAACACTGACATGTTCGCTGAAGTCAAAGAGGCCAAACGGGAAAGGGTGGCTAAAAATGAATTCCAACGTCTTAGGAATATCGCTCGAGCTAATAAGATTAAGGCTACTGGTTTAACTCCAGTGCTACCTAAAGATGGTAAAGAACTTGAAACCAGAGATGAAGTGATGAATGCTGCTGCAGTCGCTCGAGTGGCTACAGCATCTTTAGGAAAATTTGATAAAAAATTGAAAAATGGGTAAGTGTTAATATGATTACTTTATTGTAGTCAGAAAAATGGTCCGAAAAACTTTGTACTTAATCTTATATTTACAATTCTATCCACAGATTAGATAAAATTGAAACCAAATTAGCAGCCAAAGCTGCTAGGGTAACCGGAAAGAAACGCAAATTCGAGCCTAATCTAGGAAATATGGATGCTGAGAAAAAGAAATATTCTGATATACTTAGCAAAATAGATAAAGGAGATAAGATCGATGGGACTAGAGCTCTTAACATTATAAATCAAAAGAAAATTAACTCGTAAGTTTAATCTAATGCACTCAGATTGTTCCTGAATGGATTTTTTTTTATTATATTGCTTATTTGATAATTTTCTTTCTTTTCTATTATCAGTGCTGTAAAAAACGACGATAAGAAAACTAAAGGAAAGGATCGTAAATCCAAGAAAGGTAAAAAGGCCGGAAAACGAGTCGCTTATCATAATAAATCACAACAAAGGAAAAAATCAGCCACAGGTAGTGGAAGCGGCGGTAGTGCAGGACGAAAGGGATCGTTTAAAGGGAAGAGCAAAGGTGGTAAATCTAAAGGAAAATAAGGCAAGAAGAGGAAAATCTACATCTAATCTTTAATTGTCTTTGAAAATTTAATTTAATTCGATACAGAACATTGTTCAAATTGTTACATCTATTTGTCCACTTATTTGATATTCCAATGTATCAATTAATTTAATCAAATTGAATTTACAATCATTTCAAAGCTGAAACTTTTTCACCTTGTTTTGATGATCAAATCAATTAGATTGTGTTATATGTATATTAAAGTAAATTAAATTAAACCAATTGCAATCAATGACAACCCGATCATTCATCACAATCATGGATTCTAAATGTGTCTCAATTGTTTTTTTCCTTATATTGATTTGATTGTCGATGTGATAGGGAATTTCAATGAGGGCGAATTTCTTACATAATTAATTATAATTAGATTTTGTTCTTGCGTCAAAGAGAATCACAATCAATCGATCGGATAATAATCCATAAAGAGTTAATCAATAATTTACTTCAACTTTGTCTTGTTGTTGAGTTGCAATCTAACATATGATTTGTTTTGACGTGAAACTTGTGCAAATTTATCATTTAAATTGAAATTTTGCTTATTTCTTGTTAATTGACATTATGTGAATCTATTTAGTTAACAATTATCTTATCATTCGGTTCTAATTGACTCAGTTTCCTCTGTTCCTCTTTTGAAAATGTTCAAGTTGAACTGAAATGAAATGGGTTTGTTATCACTTGTACTTTGATTGTTGCTATAAATCCTGATGCAGTTTCATGTTATTTACATTTTAACCTGAGACCTCAATTAATTGTACAGTTGTAGTTTGTCTCAAATAGTCAGTTGATTGCTTACAATTGTGTCAACATGAATTCATGTGTACCAAATCTCACCAATGAAGCTTTGAATGAGCTTGAACAAGACGCCAAAGAGTTTGCATTGGTAAAAGGTAAGAGATTCACTGATTGTTTTCATTTGATTTGTGCTTCTAATTTGATTTGTTTCTTCACCTCTCAGGAATCAGTTGTCGATCGAAGGATTTACTCAATGAAAACTGTGTACAATCATTGAGATTCAGTTTGTTTCCTTCGCCATTTCCCTCAAAATGGTGTTTGTTGGCCCAAAGAATCCAGAAAGGGATCAACCTAATGATGCACCGGATCGCTCACGACAAACACTTTCTAGAGGAATCATTGGCCGACGTGATTCGTGTGGACTCATTCACCCGATCGCTTTATGAGATATATTTGAAAGTAGAAGACGATCCAAAGGCCTCGAAGTACAACTTGGGCTTTTTCCGATCGGATTATATGTTGAACAAGGAACCAGAAGCTCTTCGACAAGTGGAGATCAACGCGATTTCGGTGAGTTTCGCTGGACTGTCCCCGTTGATCTCGCAACTTCATCAGTATGTGAACAATAAAGTGAACCCTAAAAGTGAATTTAATCAACCGGAAAAAAATACTTGTCGTTCTGTGGCCTTCGCTCTATCAAAAGCCTGGGATGTTTATGGAAAGAAAGATGCGATTATAATAATCATTGTGGAAGAAAAAACTTATAATATTTGTGATCAAAAAGCGATAGAAATTGAACTGTTCAACTTGAGACCAGAAATTCTGGTGAAAAGGAAGAAATTCTCTCAAATCGACAGCAATTCTTTAGATGGAAACAATGTCCTGAGAGTGGATGACAAAGAAGTCGCTGTTGTTTATTATAGAACTGGTTATGTACCAGCTGATTACCCGAATTCGAGTGCTTGGGACACCCGATTGATTTTGGAAAAATCGAAAGCAATCAAATGTCCATCGATCAAGTACCAATTGTCTGGTGTCAAAAAGTTCCAACAAATTCTCACTGATAAACAAGTTCTGAGTAAATTCATCAAACCAGACGAAGGATTAGACGAACTTTATGGTACATTCGCTGCGATTTATTTACTCAAAGATTCGCCGGAAGGAAACAAATACTTGGAAATGGGCCTTAAGAATCCAGAGAAATTTGTTCTCAAACCTCAACGGGAAGGCGGAGGTAACAATTACTACGGTCAAGAGATTGTCCAGAAACTGAATGAGATTCGAAATTCACAAGAGAGAGATGCTTTCATTCTGATGGAATTGATCGACGCCGTTCCAATTTCTAATTACGGTGTTGACAGTAGATCTAATCTTCGATCTCGAAACTTCGCCATGGACACAATTATCTCTGAATTGGGAATATTCGGCTCGATTCTTGCCGACGATAAACTCGTTTACCACAATTCTGAAGATGGTTACTTGTTAAGAAGTAAACGAATCAGTGATAACGAAGCGGGAATCGCCGCTGGAGCGGGTTTTCTGGATTCACCTTATCTCTTTTGATTAAGCTCTAATTCATTATTAAATTAGGTTAGAAAAGACAAAACTGAACCTTAATTGCTCAATTATCGTATTTTCTGCTTCTGATTACACTATTTTTACACTCGCAATATAATTTAACTATTCCAGAGATTTTCAGTCGACTATTGTATCAAATGAACAAATTAAAATGATTTGTTGCCCGACACTTACAATTTAACCTCATTCAAATGACTAATCACTCATTTCTAAACTAAGAAATAATATAAATTCTAGATTTAAGCTTCCCAATCAAACTAATTGTAAAAAAAAGCTTCAAATTCATCTTAATGACATTTTAATTGCTGTCGAAAAAATTTGACAACTGTTGATTGAAAAGGAACTAGAAAAAAATGTCAACTTGAAATGATCAATTTGAACTTCGATTGTAATTAGTTTAACTACAAGTCTCAAGTAATTAACTTATAATTCTGTGAATCATTACTGTAGCAATTATGGATAATCAAGATTTACCTGGATTTGAATGTTTGTTCAAATCAGAAGTTGAACTATATCAAGATAATTACGACAATTACCAAATGATCAATTCGCTGATTGTTGAGCCTGATGATCAGCTACATCGACAAGTCGCCAATGTCCGTGAGCGAAATCGAACTCAGAGCTTAAATCAAGCTCTTAATTGTTTGAGGAATTTGATCCCAACCGAACCGGCGAATCGTAAACTGTCCAAAATCGAAACACTTCGATTGGCCGTTTCGTACATCAAACACCTTGATAATCTTCGGATCGCCAGGTAAGTTTAATTTGATTCCTTCTTGCAATTCAACTAATTTCAATGAATAATCTTTAATTGTGATCAGGCTTTCAGGATATTATTTAAACGATCCATGTTTAAGAGGAAATAAGTTAATTGCTCATAACAATAATATCCCTGGGAATCAATTCAAATCAAGTTTGGTTTGTACCTTTTGTTTAACTAATCGTAAACAATTAAAGTTAAATAAGGATTAATTTGATACTAATCATGTCTGAGAAATGATTTAACCTTTACAATCAGTCAGCTTAATGACTTAAATAGTGAAATAAAATCTCATGATTAACGAATCAATTTAAGTAATTAGTAGCATTTCCATGTTTTTACCTTTCATTTGTCGTGTACATTAGTTAATTATCACTGGGATAATAACAATTAATAAACAGTAATCAATTGTAATTGGTTAGAAAACCTGAATTATGATTAGGAAATTGTTTTATATCAATTTGTATCTTTTTAAATTGCAACCAAATAAAACAAGTAACAATTAACTAATGAACATTGATTTCAAATGCCAGACCAGTGATTTCAAGGTAAGTTAAATAATTGTAATTGGCTAGATAAAGAAATGATTAGTTTAATTGTTGTCGATTGAAAATTGGTTTATTATCATGACAATTCTTGGTTTAAATATTACAATTAAGTAAGAATAAAGATTTGGTCAGAATTGTAAATCAGCCACTGAATCAAATTTACTAAAATCTAATTGCGTTAACAGGTTGGTATTAAAATGTTCCCAATTTAACTTGTTACATTGTTCATATTTTAACCTTAAATTTTTACAATTAATTAATGGGCTCAATTGTTTGTAATCAGTTATCGTGATTAGTGAACATAAACCCGTTTGGTAGAAGCTCTTTAATCATTGTTTTAGTATAATTATCATCTTGATCCACAATATAAATCATAATTGTTGGTCCAAACTGTTGGTAAGATTAATCAAACATTAGATGATCGTAAAGATAAAATGATCAAATCAATCAATTGATTACCTCATAAATAAATTGACGACAAGCACCACAAGGATACGTGAGGCCACCGGTCGGAGCGTGAACGGCGATCGCTTTGAATTGTTTCTTTCCCTCTGAAATTGCTTTACAAATTGTTGATCTTTCGGCACAAATAGTTAATCCGAAAGAACTATTTTCAACATTACAACCTGAGAGAATTACAATTAAGAGAGAAAAGGTAATTAGATTTGATTAACATCTTACATTTGAGAAAAACTGACCTGTAATCAGTTGACCTTCGGTCGTTAAAATGGCACAACCAACGGGGAATTTACTGTAAGGAGAATACGATAATTTGGAAGCATTTTTGGCCTCAGCGAATAGTTGATTCCTCTGAGTTTCGCTTAAATCATCTAATCAATTGCGAATCCATTTAATGAAAACGACGAAATAAAAGAAAGATCAATTTTAATTTCGATTATTTTTGGCAAACTGTCAACATTTTCCCCTTGTTAATATTTAGGTGAACACTTAATCCCAACTAATCTTATCTTTTTGATTAACGAGGTAAAATCAATCTAATTCACAGGTAAATAAGAGATCACAACTGTAATGTGAAGAGCTGAGTGCAATTGATATCATTTGATTGTAATAAGAATTAAGCAAATGATTAAAATCTCGATGATAAAATTAGATTGTTATTAAGTCGTGGAAGGAAATTAGACAAACCTGAAGAAACTGTTGCCATTATTTTTGGACCTTCGCTAATGGAGATAATTGTTACTAATCAATTTCGAAAAACAATTAACACTATCGACAAATGATAACAATTGATCTTGAAGAGGCAATGTCAGGGTTAAAATGAATCCAGAACAATTAACCAGAATAATAATCGAAACCAGCAATTAGTTGATTATTGAAAGAAGGAAAAAAAAAAGAAACCAAGAGACAAATAAGTTAATCGTAAAAGCTACAAACCAACAATTCGTAATCAAAGTGAACAACAACAAACACAACCACCTGAACTACGAGTTTCAATCAGTGAAACAATTAACACAAATGTAATTAAAGAAACAAAACAAAACAAGTGGCTCTCCCCTTCGTTCCCTTCCTCTTCCCTTACCCCTTCTCTCTTTCTCTCTTTCTGTCTTTCTCCTTCTCTGTCTACTTTTCTTCCTCTGCTCCCTCACCGAAATCGGATAAACATCGAGTAGTTTGGATCCAGTTCTTTACTCGGATCCGAACATCAGATTGAGTTTGATTATTGATTTTTTCTTTTTTCATTTCATTTTCTCTTCCAATTAAAGTGCAATCAATTAGTGTCAATCCATTTATCCAACAACGTGCAACATAGTTGAAAGTTTCCTTTGTCCAAATAACATCAAAGTACAAATTGGAAAAGAATAAATTTCTTTTCTTTAGAACCAAAACATTGCCCTTAGTCCCACGTATACAAGAACCAACGAAATCTGTGATTTTTACCCTTGGCAACACTTTGATCATGTCGAACAATAAAGAAACTCGAGAAATTTGGAGATCGGCTGAAGCTGTTTGTTTCGACGTTGATTCAACAGTTTGTCGAGATGAAGCTATTGACGAATTGGCGAAATTTGCTGGAGTCGAAAAAGAAGTCGCTGAAATGTAAGTTTAATCAGTTAATCAATTTGCTGGTTTATCTTTTTCATCAGTTGCTCCAAAATCTCATGCATCATCTTTCCATGGAATAACCTTGTCGAATTTTTAATTTCTCTCTCATTTGCAGGACTCGAGTTGCCATGCGAGGTGGTTGTTCATTTCAAGAGGCTTTAGCTCAAAGATTAGCTCTAATTAAACCGACACAACATATGGTGGAAAAGTTCATTACAACAAAACCGCTTCGTTTGACCCCAGGCATCAGGTAAGAGGACATTTTAATTGGTTTGCATTTTGGTTTACTCATTTTCCATCAGTTAATCAGTCCTATCAGTTAATTGGAAAATGCGATAAAATCTAATCGTTAACCAATCGTTGATTATGATCACGATCACTAGAGATGCCACTTATCTTGACTCGATCTTCAATGATCATCATGATACAAAATGATGATAGAAAAAAACATTCCCTTACCAATAAAGATAAACTAATAGATCATCTGATTTCCACCTAATCTTTGCATCTTTTAATTTTCTATCTTATCCAATCTAGAGAGCTAATTGCTTTGCTTCACAATCGTGAGGTCGATGTCTACCTGGTGTCAGGAGGTTTTGATGTAATCATTGAACCATTAGCCAAAGAGCTTGGAATACCTGTTAAGAACATTTTTGCCAATCGAATCAAATTCTTCTATGATGGTAAGTAGCAAATTGTTTCCCTCTATTTTGATGACAATCTAATCTAATTAACTAATCAACAGGTAGTTATGCAGGATTCGATGAAACTGTTCCGACATCTCAATCAGACGGTAAAGCTCGAGTTGTTGCTCTTCTTAAAAAACTTTTCGGCTACAAGAGAGTCGTAATGGTTGGTGATGGGGCCACTGATTTGGAAGCTTATCCCACCGCCGTAAGTGTTTATCTCAATCATCTCGATATCAATCAGCAATTAAGTCATCAAATTCCCCTAATATAAAATGTAACAAATGAAATTTTCTCTTTCATCAATCTAATCAATCTTATCTTCATTGATTTCATCGTTTTATCTCTCACTCACTCACTCACTCACTCGCTGATAACCAATTAACTTACATAACTTGCTCTCCTTGATTTCTCTTTCAATTCATATCGTTTTATGATTGATTTTCCCTTGCGTCACAATTGATTAGCATCAGTTTTCATTGTATCTTTGATGTTAATCATCAATGTCTGATCAGTTCAACAGTATTAGGAAAAATTAATGGATTCATAATAAAATACCAGCGTCATCGATTTGATTACTAGATAAATCATAAAATTAACTGAAAACCCACTCACTAATCACCACAATTAGATGATTAATTGCTTTATAAATATTTATGATTTATTGTCTTTGGGTTTTCCACCAGGATCAGGCGATTTTCCTTTTCAATAATTTAATTGTTCTCTTTACAATCTAATCAACAGGATGCATTCATTGGATTTGGTGGAAATCAAGTTCGGGAAACAGTTCGTAAAGAAGCTCCTTGGTTCGTTATGAGTTTCTACGAACTCATGGCAGAATTGAATCGAAATCCAATGATCGACTAATTGAATTTCAACACTGAATCTTAATCTCAAGTTTAATCACAATCAAGTCATCGAAACTCATCAAACTTGTCAACATTTTAATTCGACGAAATCGAAATGCCAAGACATCTAATCAATTGAACAATTTACAAATGAAACAAATTCATTAATAATTACCCAATGAATTCTTCCAATTAACAATATTTTCGTAAAGATAACCAATACGAATTTAACAATAATCTTAAGCAATTAATAAATTAAGTGCATAATAATTACTATTTTCAACAATTAAAGCAAATAAACAAGAGCCATTTGGTTTGCAACTTAATCTAACAAAATAGTAACAATTAACAAGATCTTCTGGTTACTTGATAAAATTCAATATGAAATGTAATCAATATTTAATTACTTTTTCGAATCAATGTAACAATCAATAAACCAAACAATTCGCTTGTCCAGTTACATGTAAATAATGAGTATTGAAAATTAAACTTGACAAAAATTCGTCCAAATCAACAAAATGTTTCTCTTCATTGTAACAATTAAATTTTCCATGAAAAATTCTCTTCTAAGCCAATAGATGTCACTCACATTCGCTTTTCTTTTTCTTTTTCAAAGCGAACCAATAATCTCTGACAAGTTTTGGTTCTTCAAGTTGAAGTGTTTAAATTGTTTACCAACTGTCGAAACTCAACTCGCCATTGGCTTAATTTCTTTAATGGTCCTCTAATTTTTGGTATTTAAAGCCACGTTTTCTCTCAACTTGATCAGTGTCATCGATCTTCAAACCTCCATTAATCTCCTACAACCTGTTGCGTTTCTTTCAAGTCTTCTTCCTACTTGTGGTCTTTCAACTTCGTTCTTTTCTCTTTGCTTTTTTTGTTCTTTTCTTTTCTATTTAGATTTCTTTTCTTTTTTGCAATTTCTCTTCATCAATTTGGTAAGTAAATTTCGTCATTATCTCTTCTTGAATATGATTCTTGTTGTTTATTCTTTTGATGATTCAAAGAGCATCATAAGTATCATGTTTTCTTTTTAAGCGTTTTCTTCTCATTTAAAATGACCTTTTTGTCTTTCTCTTTTACAAATTGTTTTTTCTATTTAATTGATTAGTCACCTCATAAAAACAGCTATGTCTAAGAAAAAGGCTTCTGCTTACATGATATTCGTCAGTGAATGGCAATCACGTTCTGGTGAGACAAACATCGACAAAGCAGTTAAAATGGCTGCGAAAGATTGGGAAGCCCTAGATGATCGGGCTAAAGAAGAGTATAAGCTTGAAGCTAAAATAAGAAATAGCGGGCTAAGAGGAAGAGTCTTAGATATATTACCACCTGCTCAACAAGAAATTAAAGAGAGAATTGGTAAAAAAGAAGCTGGTATCGACGATGCGACTCGTATGACCATGATTGAAGATTTTTGTTCCCGGCCACTTGACGAAATTGTAAATACTGATTTCTACGTTGTCAATTTCAATGTTGCCGTCAAGACCAAACAAAATGCCTACATTCCAATCGAGGTGGGTATCGTCAAATTTAGTCTTAAAGAGGGGATCCAAGATTCCTATCATGAATTCATCGATGGTGGTAAGACACCTATAGGTCATGGTTATGAGGTGAAAGAGCACATGGAGCGAGTCCATAAGTTACCTCTTTATGATATTTCTGAGTACCCGGTTACGGAAATGGCGGCTACCGAGACTCAAGAGGAACACGTGGCCTCTTTAGAAAACTCGATTGCTGCCTTTAACGCTTTTGTCCAAGCCGAGCGATTGCCTGTCCCAGAAGGTACAGACACGAAGAGGAAATATGTGCAACCCTTATTCACCTTACCTGATCTCGATGGTCTTGGTCTGACTCAAACCTCTGGATGTCTTAAAAGAATGGCCACCGAAGTAGAACAAGTTGGATTCTACGAAAACTATGAGGTATTGGATCTAACATACCTCATGTTTTGCTTGTATAAACGTGTTGTAGGTAAAGCTCGTCCGATGGCTCTTTGTATGGACGATTTCTACCGTGTGATCCATTCATATGAGCCAAACACCAATTGCGAGTATCATGATACCACCGATACTCCCCATTGTGCCCTGTCCCGATCTTATCGGTTCAGTTATGTGTTTCTTGATGTCCTAATCCCAGTCTTTCACATCGAAGTCACTCCTGCCCACAGGCCTAAGCCTAATCCAAAGGTTGAGGAATGTTTTTTGGCACCGATGGAACCAAGATACCAAGTGGCTTCATCTTCTCGATCAAGAATCAATGGACGCAATTGGTCAGAATTATAATTTTTAAATTTCTCATTTTTTTTCCTACTTATTACTTTATCTTTTCATCAACTTTCATTTATAACAAACGACATAATCAACCTGACCCTATTTAATTAATCATTAGACGACAAATTGGAGATAATTTCTTTTTCGATTATAAAAATAAACATTTTTGACATAATTATCATCTAACCTAACCGTTTTCACTAATTGTCCTTTGAGAGTCACCAAATTTGACACTTGAGAAAAATTCATTTTGATAATTGTGTGAATCAAATACACTTATGAGAAACCAGAAAGATGATCGAGATTAAATCAATGAGAAAATTAGAAAGTAAATTTGATATGAAAATGAAACAGTTTCTTTTTTCATGTGATACGATTAATAGATTACAGAAGATAAATTAATTATTTAGAAATGAAAAAGATCAAGAAAATTCAATTTTCTCTTTTCTCAGCTTATTGATTCTTCTTATTAAAACAAATGAAGAAATTAGTGAAAAGACAATTATTGCGATGATAGTTACAAGTGAAGCAATTAGCCCGTTGAAGGGCATGCAAACACCATAGATGATTTCCTCTCGTCGACCTTCATAAATTTCCGGTAATTCGGTTGAATTGGGATTGAAATCAAGATCGATTGAGGTGACAACTTGAAATCCCTTTTTCACACTTACAATGGGTTCGGACGAGGGTGACCTTTTAGATCGGAAAGATCGAGGGCCATGAGGGAAGGCCGATGTCGCCGAAATTGGGCCTGAAGGAACCGGAGGGTGATTAATGTTTCGCTGATTATCTTGACGTTGAATAGAAGTTAAAAAAGGAAGATTTAAATTAGATAATCCGGCGAAATTGGCCAACAGAGAAGCGGCTCGATGAAGAGGGAGATTCGGTGGACGTTGTTGAAGATTTAATTGTGGTGGGTGTTGTTGTTGTTGGTGGACATGTGGAGATCCATGGGGTTGGTGCTGAGGTCGCAATTGGATTCCGTCGATTATTATTGGTCTTTGTTGTTGTTGTTGGTGATGATGATGATTCAGATGCGGTGGTTGAAGTTGTGGTTTTGGTTGTGAATGTGGATGAGGATGAGGATGAAGTTGAGGTTGAGGTTGAGGGTGAAGTGAATGATGAATTGGCTTCTGTTTGTGTTGTTGATGAACTAAAGGATGAGGATGTTGCTGTGATCCTCCCTGAGGCTGAGGAGGCATCAAGTTTGGTTGAAACTTAGGTGGGACAAAACTATTGATTGGACCGATCCCTAATTGTAAGGGGACAACTTGGGCAACCGGATTCTCAAGGTTCAATCCCGTTGGTGCTTCAGGCTCAGGATTCTTATCAGGTCTCACATTCTGATTATCATGTTGATTCACTTTGATACCGGAATTTGTGGGTTTCAATGAACTGATTGAAGATGAACTTTGATGATTGGAAATTATGTTATTATTATTATTTAGATTATTAATCCCTGATAATTGACCTTTTTCCGGACCATTTTGATTAATTTGACTTTGAGTTCCTGCTGTTGAAGTTTCTCTAAATTGTTCATTTGCTTGTTGCTTAAATTGTTGCTGATGACCTGTTTCTTGTTTATTAGCGTTTCCATTATTATTCAATAATGAATAAGGATAAGATGATGTTGGAACTGGAGATGTCAAGTGTTCAGAATTTCCTGCGATGACAGATAATTCATCAGGATTTAAATGCTCTTCCTCATCATTACTGCCGCCATTAGTATCTTTAATTGGTTTACTAATTAATGGTTGTACTTGAGGAATTAGATGATTAGATTCCTTCAAATTGATTCCCGAGGCTTCAACAATGTCTCTCACTTTATTATTTTCCAATAACGAGGCGATATTTTGTTCATTGTTGTTATTTGAATCAATTCCATGGATGAACCCGGAGGCAAATTTGGCAATATCAACATTAACACCGAGATCTTTGAACAGTTCAGCGGCTTTGTCGTAATTATCGTTGGCTAGTTTAGAAAATATCGATTCTTTTGGTCCATTCTGGTCATGGACGAAAACGGGTTTATCATCTTCGCCGCCTTCTGAGGCGGATGACGATGAAGATTGAGATGATTCAGATGAAGGAGAGGAAAGTGAAGGCGGTGGGTGATGAGGCGTTTGAGGAACAACAACTTTCTGATCGTTTGAAGGTTGAGCTTGATAATCGCCTTCTTTTGAAAATTTAGACTCTTCTTCATCAATCGGAGCTTCATCTTCATTGCTATCAGAATTATTATCACCAAGATCTACTGATCCAGTATTCTGATTGTTATCAAATGAAGGTGATGAGCTATTAGAAACTTTAGCTTCGTCTTTTGAGTAGACGGCTAATCGTTTAGAATCGAAGCCTTTAGACAAATACTGTTGACCTGATCCATGATCAGAAGATGAAGATGGTGCTGGTGGCGATGGAGTTGATGAAGGAATCACTTGTGGTGAAGATGATGAGACAAAGGATGAAGGCAAAGAAGATGAATCACTCGATGCTAATCCGTGTAAATCTTGTACATTAGTTGATTCCTTTTGAACTGGAGCAACATGATGATGGCTACTGGAGCTTTGGAGCGCTGGTTGGGATGATCGTTGAGTATATGAAAAGGAAACTTGTTGTTTGAACTGTTTGTCGGGTTTGTGTTGATATGGTGTCTTTTGACAGGCATCGGGACAACCATGTCGACAGACTTCAACTGTACATTGGATTTGAACATTCATCGAATCGGGGAACTTGAATGCATAGAAATGCGAATAAGAGATGACGGTTGCTTTACCATTTGGATCTTTGACCTTTTCAAATTTGGTCAACATTTTAGGTCGAAGGACACAACCATGTTCGTCAGTCATTTGAATAGGAGGTTTGACTCCATCATGAGCGAAACATGATTTAACTCTCATATCAAATTCACCACCATAATCATTAATTGCGATCACAATGGTCATTGGTTGACCAACAGGCACAATTCGCGACACCTCACGGCCCCAAGGACCTTTACCTTCTTGAATTTCCATCCAACAATCGATATCATCTCCTTGGAAATTCATTTCGACCACATCAAGATCAGCAACAGGAATCGCGGGACGAAAAGTGGCCGGTTTCTCATAAGCCTCAAACCATTCACAGCGAAGTCTTTTCGCTTCGTCCCAAGCTTCGATAATATCAGTTCCATATTGAATAACTACAGTGTTTTCATAATATTTACTTTGAAGATCGGGCTTAGTACCACACTGGTCATAGTAAACTTTAAATGTCGCATGGGTCACTCCTGAATAGGGTTTTATGTAAACACAATTGTCTTGACCATAAGTCCCCTTGGAAAACACTATCCCGTGGAAGGGACCAGCAAATTCAGCTCGAACTGTCATATGATCTTTACCACAGATCACATCGAGAGCGGACAATTTACCCAGACCATTGCCCGTTTGACCTTCGTCACTCCAATGAGCTGAAACAATTTCATTCAGATGAACTAAAACAATCTAAGGAAACATAATAAACAATAAAATAGAAAAACGTAAAAATTTACACAAATGAATGATGAACAATCAATTTATTAACACATCACAATTAAAAGTTGATTAAACTAATTTATTTACCATCAATATCGTTACCAACATTGTCACTCTCATAATTGTTTAAATGCGTTGAAAGGGCGACGAAAGTTTCAACGATCAAAGGTTAACTTTTAATAGAAAACTTAAATTGCCCAAGAAATTTAATTCCGTCTCTCATTTGCAATTCCAAATCCAAATAACATGATTTAAATTACGATAAAATAAACATAAAGGTTACACGTTGTAAAGAAGAAGAAGAAGAAGAAAAAGTTCAATTAAAACTAATCAAAGTTAAAAGTTAAAATCTATTCTAAAAGTTAACTCGGAGTATCAAGTGAATTAACTAAATGGTTATTTTTGGTTCCAACTTTTTTATGTCAAGTTGAAGTTCTGATTTAGGGAGAAGGATGTGAGAGGGAGCTCAGAACTTCATCTTCCCCATCTCCATCATCATGTGAACATATCGAGAGGATGAAAGGAGGAGGAGGAGGAGGAGAGTTGCAGGTATGATGAGCACGTTGAACCGCCTCTAACAAAATGCTATTAGAGGATCATTTCAATGGGAAATTGAGATGAAGATGATCATCATGAAGATGATGAATACGGAGTAACGGTTAACGGGACAGACAAGTTCATCATTTCCATGTTTCTCTTTCTTTTCTTCCTTTCGTTATTCTCTCTCTTTCTCTCTCATGACCTTTAAAAATAGAAGGTGAGTTGCACGTTAAATCAGGTAAACCGAATAAAGTATCCATCCAACTATCTCGCTGATTCTTTTTCTCATTCAATCACAATTTAGATTATTGGCCTATTTTCCAAGTTTCTTCTTCTATTATTAAAAGTATAATCACCTGAGTCCATTTAGAAACATGACTTTTACCTGTAACTCTATTTTCTGTTGATTAATTAAAGTTTTACTTTCCAACTGATTGTGTATTTCATGTAATTTTGATTCTCTCAAATTGACTGACCGGTCAATCAAAATAATTGTTATAATATCTACATGATAATGTACATGTAATCCATATATCCATGTACATGTACATTAACCTTTCGCTATTGAACTTAATCTTTTGATAAACTTTAACTTTAATTTTCTATCGCGTTAATTGTCAACAGTATTTTGTTATCATTATAATGTTCTTATTAACTGGACATTGGAAAAATCAACGTCAAAGTCTCGTAAAAGTTTCGTAAAAAAGTTCAAATCCACAATTTGATTCGATAATAAAATTAAGTATTTCTCTTGTCTATTAAAGGCTTAATTGTCCACAATCAACATCAATTTTTAGTTTTTCGCATTAAATTTGACTCAATAATCAGAGTTGAGATTTCGAATTATTAACAGAAGAAGTTCTGTCAGCTGTTGGCAGAATCGGACAACTTTCGAATTTCGCTTTTGCGTGATAAGTTTTGGGTTAACTGCATTTCTATTGATCGAAAAAGTGAGAATATAACCATCTCTCTCTCTCTCTCTCTCTCTCTCTACCTATGTTGCGTCTCTCTCTCTCTCTCTCTCCATCATCCATGTCTATGTGTCTGTCTCTTACAGATTCGTGTATTAATCATCGATACAAAGGCATCAGGAGCATTGGAGTTTTTTCGCAAAGAAAGAAAAGAAAGACTAATAAGATGAAAAGGTAATTCCATCTTTCTTTGAACTCTTTCTCTCTCATCTCTCTGTTTATCACTAAGACCAAAGAGAGAGTCGAATCATGAACTTTTCTCTCTTTTCACTTTCTTCTCTTTCTTTTTGGCTTTTTTCGAATCGATAGTGAAAAAATAGAGAACAATTTTTCCTTCTCCTATTCGATTCTTCCAGTAAAAGCATTTAGTAAATAACCTTTATCTGCCTCTTCTTCATCTTCTTTCATCTTCATTTACTACTTGGTGTTTTTCTCTTTCCGGTTTTCATCTTTAATTAGTGAATAGTGATTATCCGTCTGTTTACTTTCGAAAATGAAAATAATGTCCAAAAGAGTTTCGATTATAATTCCATCGAATTGATCATTTGTGAAAATCAAAGAACCACAATCAACATAGTGAAGGAGAGGGAAGAAGACAGAGAAAGAGAAAGAGGAAAATCCATCGTGATAAGTATTCGCTCACCTCAATTTGGAACCAGAAAATCAGAACAAAAGTGCTACCATATTAAGAAGGAACCAAATGAGAATTGATAAGAAAGAATCGTAAATTCTGAGTGACCAGTACAATCAACTGGAGAAAAGAAAGAAAGAAGATAAAGAGGAGAAATTAAATCCTTTTGCTTTCTCTTCTCTTCTCTTTCCTAATACGTGTTCTCGCATTTTCACTTCATTCTATTCTCTCTCCTTTTTATCTTCTTCATCAATATTCTTACTTTCTAATCATCACTCATAATCTTCATCATTCGAATCAATCTGAATCGAGTTTATCAATTGAACATCTTAAATCATCTTCTCACTTTTTCTTTCACTCTCATCTTGTCTAATTTATTCAATCTCTTGGTCACTAATCGACTATGATGATGGTCAAAATGACCAGTAAACTTTTTCTTTTGTGATATTTTCCATCAACTGTAATCAAAAACAGATCAACGAAACTCTGTGAACCCATTACAACCTCATTCGACCCTTGAACCTTTCGAACTTTCTTCTCTTTCATTTCTACTTCTGTCATTCTTTTCAGCCTTTCCCTCACTTTTTTCTCTTTCTTTTCTTTCGCTCTTTTCTTTTCTTACTTTTCGACAAAACTGCTTATTCTTATCCATAAATTCATTTATTTTGGATTAATATCTTTCCTATCGCGATTCTGGTGAGTTAGCGATTCTGATGGAACCTCATTTCCATCACAATTTCATTCTCATTAATTCATATTCTCTTACATTATTTCTCTCTTTCTTTCTTTCGCTTTTTTCCTCTCTCTCTCTTTCTTTTTCTTTTTCTCTTTCTCGATCTACTTTTCTTTTCTCTCTGTTTTAGCTGTATTGAAGTCAATCGACTTGTATACTCAGCATTTCACGATAGTTCATCTTAATCGGGCTAAATCTCTTTGAGCTGATAAATTTCAACGCGGTCAAGTGAGTGGTGGCTTATATACAAGCCACTCAGCCTCGTAAGCCGGCAAAATTGATCATCCAAGCGCTTATCCTCATCATCGGAGGACTTTACCTAAATCCATCCAAATGCAGAAATCAAGCTTAATCTCTGGAAACATGTTGGATAATTGTTACGATTCAAGAGGTTCTCTGGATGACATAACAGCCCAAACTCACCACCAACAAAGACGAATGATGGTAATGAGTGAGATTGAGGAACAAGAAAGAAAAATAGTCGCTGAATTTTGTCATCTATTGGAAAAATCGAAGCAATTGTTCAATGGTTTAAGGTTTGTCTTTAATTCTCTTCAAATTTTTATTCATTGATGATCGAACTGTCATTTCCATTGCGAATTCAACAGAGATCTTCCTCAATATGGACACAAACAATGGCAGCCGTACTTTGGCAGGACATTTGATGTCTACACTAAATTGTGGAAATTTCAACAACAACATCGGTAATTAACTGTGATAAATGATCAATTAGATCATGAAATTATCATGATGGTTTCTCCCCTTTGATCTGACAGGCAAATATTAGATGCCAAGTATGGACTGAAGAGATGGCAAATCGGTGAAGTTGCCTCTAAAATAGGACAATTATATTATCATTATTAGTGAGTATTCCGTTGATATTTGGATAAACGTTCGAGAACGGACTGAACTGACCTTTCATTTTCTGTCTATTTACAGTCTGAGAACAAGTGAAACCAATTATCTAAATGAAGCCTATTCCTTTTACTCGGCAATCCGATCCCGTGGTTATTATACTAAAGCCGTAAAAGAGGAAAGATCTGACCTGATGGTCAAGAAATTGCGATACTATGCAAGGTTCATAGTGGTCTGTCTTTTGCTCAAAAAGATGAAACTAGTTCGTGATCTTGTTCGAGTAAGTCCATCGAATTAACTAATCGATGTTTCCATTTTTCAACCAAATCAATTTTTCGCCTTTTTTATTTCCAGGAATTGGCTAAACATATTGACGATTATACGAGTACGTATGAGCCCGATGACCCATTAGAATGGTCAGTTGTTCTCACCGAGATAAAATTGTTCATTGAAGTAAGTTACCAATTGATAAATGAGATTGATTGAAAACTATCACAGTCACAATTTGTTCAATAGATTTGATCAACTCTCCAGTCCGAGTCAAGGACATTAAGACATCAGATCTTATTAATAGTTTGTTCAATACTTCATGAGTCTTCATGGCTTTCAGAATCTATTACAGCAATAATGAAATTTGTTTCTCTGTTGTTTCAGTCTGATAATTTAGTTACCGTGTTGGATGTTGATAATATAACGGTGGTTTTGTCTTCTCGTTTGGGTCCTCACAATACTCCTCCAAAGGAGCCTATTCCTCAGACAGCTTTTCCACAATTAACTCTTCAAGAGATTTTAATTGTTGGAAATGTATGTGATCAAGTGAGTCAATTATATTCACACAATTAGCTATTGTCCCAATATCTTATTCCCTCTTGTTTTCATCATCTTTTTCAGATCAAGTTTAGTGAATTGACTTTAGACATGTTTAGAATGCTTCAAGTTCTTGAGCGAGAACCTCAAGAAGACATCAATCAATTGTACGATACTTCACCCGCTCCTGGACGAATGGCCACTTTCCCAGAAAATGATGAAAATCGAGGTCATAAAAGGGAAAATCTTCACAAGTATCTATTATTTAGACCAACTTTTAGTCAACTATTTGTATTTTTGGCCTCTGGTTTTAAAGAGCTGCCTCGCAATGGTGTTTTACTATTGTACTTATCCGCGGACGGTACATATCCAAATGCTAAGCATTCTGAAGATGGTAAGTCTTGAATTGACTTTTCTCTAGTACCTTGAATATCTTCTAATACTTTTCAACAATATCGCTTTTCAGTCGGTTATGATATGGGTGGTTTAGTGACCAATTCCAGAAGAGATGCTGACTTTTCGTGCAAACGTGATCTTCACTACAAGAATATCAATTGTTTATACCCTGGTGACTTATTTCCATTTCTTCGTAAACCTTTCTTCCTAATTGTGGACAGTGATAATAGTTATTCTTTCTGTCGCCTTCCGCGATACTTTGGTCAACCATTCCTGGTCATCATGTCCCCACAAGAAGCCCCAGCGCCATTCCATGAACAACATCACAAAGGTTCATTGTTTACTTTATTCTTACACAGCCCATTGGCCGCCATTTGTTTCATATCGAACATCATTGAGATTCCCCTTCAATTGTGGGAAAAAGCACAGACGCACATCAATCGTTTCTATTCGGAGGCAGGCCGAATTCTGACTCGTTCCCGAAATGTTGACCCGGTTTACATTCAATTCTATGGCGATGATTTCCTCCGTTTATTGATTCTCAGATATATTTTTTGTTATGCTGTTATTAAAATGCATCGTCTTTTCCGGGTGAGTAACATTAGTACCAATGGTACCCTCGATTCTTGAACGGACTCTAATTTCCGTTTTCTCTCCCAAATTTTGATTCTTTCACATTCTCACTAGGGACGTAATTATTTTCCAAAATGTCATCCGCCGTTACCTGAGAGTGAGCTATATGAACATCCCAATCTTCGTAGAGCTGTACTAGATGTGGCGAATACACTAGATATCAGATCCATGTTCGCGGACTTGGACGAGCCCGAATGACAAACAATCAAATTTGCCCTCGCATGAGACGCAAAAGATGAAATTTACGAAACCTTGACCCTGAATCTCGTCTTAATTATCAACTCTTTTTCTATTGTTTTTTTTATCTCTATCACGGTTACACAAATTCACTTTGTTGCCTATTTTTTCTGTTGAATTTATTATTACATCGTATTATCCATACACCCGGATGATTATTATTCTTTTGTTTATTTCTTGCCTTTCGAGAAACAAATTCTATCACAGATCAATTCATTGCTTTATAATCGAGTGATCCTTACGATCCTCTTACAAAATTGATCCAAAATACTTGATTACTGCAATTAAATTAATATTAAAATATTGGAATGATTTGGAAAACATTAATTTACTTTGCGAACCGACGTTTAATATAATATATTGAATTGCAATGATGATCAAGGTAACGGTAATATAATAATGATTAATGTTAAATCTTGTTTCAGATGAACTACTGAAGAAACTGATGAAGATGATCAACATTATTTTTTATGTTCTTGTAACAATTCAAATTGTTAACAAACAAAATACTAACACATTATCATGATGAAGATAATCAAAGGTAAACTTGAAAGACCAGGAATAGCCCGAGGCGAAAGTATCAGGTTAATCGTGTATTAGAAACGGTGCAGCCAATCGATGCCCAATCATTATCATCTAATCATCTTCATCTTAATTTTTTCCTTTTTTTTCATCAGCTAATTTGTTTCAAATCAAATATTAATTTTCATTTATTATTTCTACTTCTTAATTGTGATCATAATAGTTGCTTAATCACTGGCTAAATCATAGTCTTCATGTGGAGACATTATCATGTTACACTTTTCATGATCAAGTTTGGAAATTTTCATTGTGATCATTGGATTAACTTGGAATATTTATCGTCTATTTTAATTTAATTGCGATTCTCAAGAAATAAAAAGCAGTAACTTTACCATTAATTTGATAACAATTAACTTTTCTTTTGTTGTTGAAATTAAACAGCAAAAGAATCGGAAAGATAATGATGATCATGATCATGATCATGATTCTGTTGATGATAATATTTCATCTTTATCATTTGAACTTGAAATAAATAATATTTTTGGCGTAATTTACTTGAGCTGAACCATGATAAAGGATCTTGAATGAATTACTTGTGACAATTATGATCAATCAACCGTTGATTATGCATTATCATCACGATACACTTGAAAGAAATGATTTTCTCTTGATTGTTGTTAATTAATCTACAATCAGGTGGATAAGAAAAGAAGAGCAATTTTCAAAACACCGAGTTGATTATTTTTCATAAATTGTTGAGTCAAAAATTCCAATTAAAGTTAATTAACCAATTTTATTGGGAAGAAAAGAAAAACATTTCAACAAATTGTCTTTTCAACAAAAATTTAATTCCCAATCAAAAGGGTAACATTTAAAAGTATTAATAATTAGTTGTCAACAATTTAGATGATAATGAAAAGTGTACACTGATTAACTGATATATTCAGGTTGTTAGTTATCATCATGATACAATCAAAGTGATAAGTTTTAACTTTCAATCATCGACATGAGATAATCTGGTTTTCTCATTGATCACAAATTCTGATTAAAATTCAACAAAAGTTTGAAGAAAACAATTTAAATTCAAATTGTACAAATTTCTCAATATTTTCCAATCTTTTTTAGTCTTTCTAGTGGAATCTTTGTCTGTTTAAAAATGTGACCTATCGATCGGTAATAAATTACCTGTCAGGTAACAAAAGCTAACGAATGAAATAATTTAAAATGTAAAAGTTTTTCGGTCAATTGACTTTAAGGTTTTCGTGTTTACATTTCGCGCTCTTTTTTAAAATTCTTCGTTTCCATGACAACCGGAGCTCCAATAGGAATCAGCGAATGGGCGGTGCAGCTGCGTAAACAGCGGTTTCTGTTGGAACTTCAGCTTGAATTTAGTAACTGAAATTATTTTCTAATTGTTAATTATTTTCTCTCCTTTTTTAATAGAGTTAATTAATTATTTCTTTCTTAAAATGTCTTCGGTAAGTACAATTAGATTGATTTGATTGATTTGAATTGACTTATTGTCGATTTGTTCCATCTCAATGTGAGATTTCATCTTAACTTACCCACCATCTTTTTTCTTCCGTCTTTTCTTTTTTTTATTCATTTTCATGTTCATCTCTTTCTTTTCCTTTTCACCTCTCCCTGTGTTTGTTTTTTTTCCTTTGTTTATGTTTAGACATCTTCCAACGTTGAAAATTTATCTCCTCATGTAATCAAACAAGTCACAAAAGAATTACACAAATTAGTTACTGAACCTTTGGAAGGAATTAAAGTGATCTTGAACGATGAAGATGTCACCAACATTCAAGCCATCATTGATGGGCCAGGTTTGTGAATATCTTTTTCCTATGGACTTTAGCCTCTCAACTCAATTGTCAAACTCTTGATAATTTGTTTAAACTAATTTGTTTATCGTTTATTTATTTTACTTGTGTGATGTTCTTTAGCTGGTACTCCATATTCTGGAGGATCTTTTCGTGTTCGATTGGTTTTAGTTCAAGATTTTCCATCTGCACCACCTAAGGCATTCTTTACTACCAAAGTCTTCCATCCTAATGTATCCAGAAGTGGTGAAATCTGTGTGAATACATTGAAAAAAGAATGGAAATCTGATCTCGGAATCAAGCATATTCTCCTTGTAAGATTTTATTTTTTACTTTACTTTTTTAAACTTCCCATTTCACCCTTTTGCGTCTACATTACCCTGTAAATAATAATAGTGTTAGGGCTCTTATGTTGTTTGTTAACCTGATTGTAGGCTTTATCAAGCATCACTGGTTAAGCTTATGGTCTGATGGTTATCCTGTTGTTATATTAAAAAGTCAAGAACTTAGTTTACTCATATTTTTACCCCTCAACTGATGATAAATTTTCAATTATTCTCTAATTAACCTCAATTATCTTGAGTATATTTCCCAATCCTCTATCAGATTTCATCTTATTTGTGCAGCCATGTTAATGATCTATGGACTTTTATTCGCTTAATAAGCTTTGTTTAACTAAATTTAAATCATGGAGTTTTTTTATTTTTTGGATCAAGGCTTATTTCCAAGCTTTTCATGGTCAATAAGTGAATTACCAGGTTGATTGCCTTGTCCCTACCATCAACCTTGACAAGAATGTTTTTAATTTTCTTTTTGTTCTCTTTCAACGAATTATTTTTCCGAATCAGTCTCATGGTCTTCTTATTATTTAAAGTAATTATTAAATCTCTTCTGGTTAATTCTAATTTTTATTAATCTTTTTCTCTTCTAGACAATCAAATGTTTGCTTATAGTTCCCAATCCAGAATCAGCTCTAAACGAAGAAGCCGGTAAATTATTATTAGAACATTATGATGATTATTGTAAACGAGCTCTGATGATGACAGAGATCCACGCTCGTGCTCCAAAAGAAAAGAAGGAAACCAATGAAAGTGAATCTGCTGGAACAAGTTCCAAAAGTACGACAACAAATAACGAATCAAATGAAAGTGCACCACCGACCAAGAGGCTAAAAACAAAGTCTAATTTAGCTAAAGACAAAAAGAAAACCCTCAAGAGATTATGAATGCTCCTGTTTTAGGAAGAACGTAAATTGACTATAAATATTTAGCATCTTTGATACTTAACGGAAGAAAAAAGTTTCTTTATCTTTGCATACCTTTATTTCCTTCTCTTCTCTTCTCTTCTCTTTTCTTTCCTCTCTGTCTCTTTTGTACTTCTATCAGTTTCAATCAAACCGCTCATTAACTGCGAGAGCTTTTTTTTCATAATTTCTTCCTAATGCTCGAAGATATTATGTTAACTGTGTAACCCTTGTAGCAATATTGTTTTCAAAGCAAACAAAGGGACAAACATTCAACTTCTTTAAAGTTTAAACAATTATGTATTTTCTTCCAATCAACTATCAATCCACTATTTAAGAGTAGGAATACTTGAAAACTATGTAAGAACCCCGTTCTGTATAATTTGATCTTTTTTCGGAACAGTATCATGTTGATGTTGATCTACTAAAACGCTGTTCATGAGATGAATCACAAATCTGATGTAATTCTGTAATTTCATTAATTTGAATGAAAAACCTTTTTTTATATCTCATCTTTTTGTTTTCTTTGTACTTCTATCAATCCATCTCATCCAATGATCCAGACTACAAATCGAAATACAGCCAATTTTAGAAGAATCAATTAATCAAATCCATTGTTTTTCTTTACTCAAACTAACTAACGATTTAATTGTTCAGCTAATTAAGCTTTTCCTTCCTGCTTTTTTTTTGTTCTTAGGTAATTCAACTACACTGTTTACCTATTGATAGATTTACTTGTAATTAAAACATCCACTCAACTATGAACAAAGAAAATACATTATAAAGGAAATAAGGAATTCAATAGTTAATTAACTTAATTAGTTTATTACTTTTCCATCAGATTTAATTGACAAGCAACAGTTTGAATGGCTGATGATTAATATGATTAATTGTTACAAGTCGAGGATAGTTAACAAGGTGAATAGGTTAGTATCAAGTCTTGAATTTGACATTGATTCTAAATAGCAGTTAATAATTAAGAGTTTTTTAGATATCATAAAATTAAATTGAATCACAAAATTGTATTAATTGTTCTTGACCAAGTTAATTAAATTATTCATAATTGAATTAAAAGCAATTCCATGTTAACAAGAAACATTTTCAATGCATTTGCTTCAAGTTTAAGTTGAAATCCGAGGTTAATCAAGTAATCGATTTAAATAATATTAGATTTAATCATTATTCAGAAATTATAATAATAGTGATAATTAACAATAATGATAATTAATTGAATGAGAAAATGGTTCGATGGAAATCAAAAGAATTAATCAAAAAATTAACGTCGAGAAACATTTTGAGAGTTTTGTTTGTTATCCTGAAAATCGTCAACTCGAACCTCCTAATTGTGATTATAATTGTCGTCGAAATGATGATATAAAGAAGATCAATCTAAATAGCATCGAAATTGATGATTAGAGTAATTTAATTGTTTCATTTATGCGCAATCGGAATTCGTCTTTCGTTTGAACCTTCGATCGCGGCCAAAGGAGCTTCGACCGTTAGAATCCCGTCAGTGGACAAAGTCGATCGAATCTGCTCTGGATTAACACCTTCGGGAAGGAGGAATTCCCGATTAAATTCACGGAATACTTTTCGATTTTCAGTATTCTCTTCATGAACAGCATGAACCTAAATTGCATGAGAGAAAAAGAAACATAATTAATAATGTGAACAATTAATTTGATGGAAAAGTTTTGTTATTTCCATTCGCTTGTCAATGTTTCCTTCAATCAATTAATCACCGATAATTAATGGAAACAACATAGAGATGTTAAATCAGTGGTTCCTCTTCAACACCTACATTCACTTAATTGTAAATGATTAAAAATAATTCCAACGATGATAATCTGGAGGAGTTGATTGTTTATATTTGGTTTTTACTTACATCCATCTTAATAATAACCTTGAAAGTTAATTTTCTAGTGAAAAATGTTTCCCTTTTATGGAAACAACTAATTACAATTAGTATATTATTTATATCCAATGTTAATCATTAGAGATGAAGATGAGCCTAGGAAGATGAAACTCAAATGGATTAACTAATTGGAGTTGTGCCCACTCAGTCATTAACTACGATGATGATTAAAGGTTCTGATTTATTTTTGATTCTGATTAATCAATGGATCCAGGTTACTGGTCAATTGATTGTCATTGAAATTGTGAAACAATTTCATCATTTCAATTGATTGGTAAATTAGGAATGGATCGGTTTCAATGAGAACAGAAAAAAAACAATCTAATCGAGATAATGATGATTAAGAACAATTAAAATTCTAATGTTTCATCTAATCAAATGGAAAGAAACAAATTCTGGCTTCTAATCAAGTTCATCATCGTATCAAAAGTTTTACGCAGAATTGATGATTGTTAACTGATTAAAAGCACCGGAATATGATGGTTAATACGGTTGATTGATATTCACCAGACAACAATCAACCAACAATCAACCAACAATCAGCTGAAAGCATGGATTTATATTTAGAAACTAAACTCACCCAATGACCTTAATTATGATTATAATGATATTGATTTTCCCTCGATTCTGCTCTTCCTTTTCATTAATTCAGCAAATTTCATGTTTCATGATTAAAATATGATTATTATTGAGATTCCTGACTTTTGATTATATTGATTATCCTAATTATAGTTTATTAAACTGAAAAAGTTTCACCAAATAAAAAAACAAGAAAAAATAATTTAATCAACAGGATGATTTAAAGATGATGTATAAACACAATTAACTAATTCATTGGTTGTTTATCTTGAATTTTTGTATGTTGATTGATGAGAAACAATAAAATAATTTATAAATCATCAACTAAATTATTATAAGTTAATGAATTATTCATACTTGATTGTATGATTATCTCTCATTGGTAAACTATTTCAAGAATGAAAATATAATTAGTTGATTATTAACATGAGATAAAATGTTTGACAATCTATTTTAAGATTAGTTGACTAAATTGTTAATACACTTTGAAACTTTCATCATGTCATCATGAGTATTTTTGGTTTTCTTGGTTAACCTTAACTCTGTTGGTAACAATTTAATTTCCTCCAAATCTATCAGCTAAATTGGTTGTTAACTAACTAGAAATGTTCAATGGTCTCTAATAGCAAATTAAATTGTCTAAACTCACCTTTAATCGTCGATCGATTGTTTTAACAACAATTTCTTCCGGAACATATTGGGAAACATCGTATCTCAATCTGACTATTTTTCCATCGGGAGTATCATGAACGAGCGATGAATCGTCGAGCCATGAAGTTACTTCGTGACGATGTCTGTTGGTCGGAGATTCGGTTCGAGTTAAATGTCCAGTGGAAAAGAAGTCTCTTTCTCTTTCCTGAATTTGTGATCGAAATCGACTCATTTCTTCCTCCATTCTTTTCATTTCCACCTCGAATCGATCTCGAATTGAATCAAACTCTTTATCAATCAGATTGAAATCTGATCTTAGAACTGGAACTTTTCTTTCGGAAGTCATGATATTTATGGTTCACTTGAGTTTCAATAACTGGAAAGATATCAAACAATCACACAATTCAATTAACTCTTGGAAATTGATTATAACTGATAATCTTGATGAAGATGATGATTTGTGTTCAATCAATGGTGATAATGAAATTAACTATGTTAACAAGGATTCGCAAGTTAACTGAACAGAGAGTAACTAGACTTACAATTTATACTAATCGTTGATTGTTATTCAGAAACGGGCGTGGGATTAACGACAAGGTCTAATGTGGGAGTTGTTTTCATCTTCATATTGTATATCACTTTTTTCACTCTCTCCCCTCTCATCTTCATCTTCATCTCGTCTCTCAACTTTTCTCTCTCTCTGTTGCTCACTCTCATGTTCTTGTAAATCTTAAAGTTAATTGATGATGATGATGAACAGAGAAAAAGTAATTAAGAAAAATTCTCATACCTTCGAGTTGATTCTGGTTTCGGGTTTGTTTTGATTCTTCTGGTTTTCTGGTTACTTATTATTCACTATTGATAATATTGTTTCATTCACTTGAATATTCATCTGATGATCAACGTTCATCGTTTTTACTTTCAAGTAAATTTAGATCAGTTTAATTCTTGTTGCACATAATCAAACTGTTTATTTAACACTGAGTCGATTCTAGAGGACGTTTGAACCATTGTCCCTGCTCGACAATTAAGATTAATCATTTGGATCTCAGATTAATTTCAATCGATAATTAATCAGAAAATTTCCTCAACTAAATGAGCACAAAACAATTCAAAGGCTTCATTTTCATCAATCCTTGTGATTAACATTTTGTCGAAAAAAATTTTAAAAAACTAACTAACTCATATTCAGCCAATCCAGTTATTTATTTAAATTGTTAAACAATTCAAATATTTAACAAGTTATCAGCTTAGTGATGAAACAGTTAAAAAACAAAACAATTGAACAATACAAATGACCAATACAATTGATTTGATTATTACTTGATAAAAATAAACTTTTTCTTACACAAACTTTATTAATTACGGTATAATTTTGAAACGTTTTACTGTCAATCAAACTATAAGCAATTGGTTAGACATTCTATCAAATCAAATGAGATAATTTATCTCATTAATTGTTTCAGATTTTCATCAAAATCAATCGGAACCATTTTCCTAATCAGTTTGAGTTTCGCGCTCTTTTTCTCTGTTTTGATTTTCTGGTCTCACTTAAAGTCATCACAATGATTTGACTTTGATATTGAAGCTACGTTTTGATTGTCTTTGTTTTTTGGATATTTAATTTAATCAATTGTTTTCTTTTTTATTGTTTATAGCAAATTATGTTTCGAACCCTTATCATTTCGAGAGCTAATCCGCTCAATGTCAATAAACTAGCGAACATCATTAAAAAAGATTTGGAATCTGTGGGCAAGTTCAAGGTAACCTCTCGAAATACTCGATTATATTCATCATCATCAACACTCTCATCGTAAGTTGATTATTCGTAGTGTTTTTCCTGCTATTTGCTGTTTAGTTTGATTTCTAATTGTTCCAAACTGTTTCTGTTTTTCTCTGTTAGATGTATCAGACTAGAGAAGAGTCGATGTGCTCATTATGGTTTACTTTCTGGTAAACCTTTGCAATATAATGTTAGGTGTTTTTCCTCTGGCGATTTACCAGAATACACACCGGTTCCATTACCTGCATTATCACCAACCATGGAAATGGGAACCATAATTTCATGGGAAAAGAAGGAAGGTGACAAACTTAATGAAGGTGATTTGTTGGCTGAGATTGAAACAGATAAAGCTACAATGGGCTTCGAGACACCAGAAGAAGGTTATTTAGCTAGAATATTGGTCTCTGCTGGAACTAAGGATATTCCAATTGGACAAGTATGATTCCATTCTTGAAGATTATATCATCGATCAGATTGATTTAAAACTTCCCCATTCACTGATCTAATTATGTTTCATTTCCTTTTAGCTTCTGTGTATCATAGTTTCTAACCAAGAGGATATTGCTGCGTTCAAAGATTTTGTCCCTTCAGAATCTTCCGCTAAACCAGCCGCAGATTCTGCACCAGCATCGCCTTCTCAACAAGCTCCAGCTTCAGCTCCTCAAAGCGCTCCCCAACAGGTCGCATTCTCTGGTGGAGCTCCTGCCGGGGGCAGAATCTTTGCTAGTCCTTTCGCTAAAGCTTTAGCCTCTTCTAAAGGGATCGATCTTTCATTCGTTGGTCAAGGGTCGGGACCTGGTGGTCGAATCATTGCCCAAGATGTTGCATCAGCTTCTCCAGTAGCAGCCACTGTCGCAGCTCCAGTCGCTGGAGGCTCTTTTGTAGACATACCTCTCACTGGAATGCGTCAAACTATCGCCAAGAGATTATTGCAATCAAAACAATCTATTCCTCATTATTACTTAAGTGTTGACATTGAAATGGATCAACTTCTTGCGTAAGTAAAACTTTAATTCATTGGTAAAGCAAATCATCTTAATCTTGATTTTCTTTTATTCAGCCTGAGGAAAAGGGTAAATGAAATGCTCAGCAAGGAAAATTTCAAAGTCTCCGTAAACGATTTCGTGATTAAAGCTTCTGCTCTCGCATGTAAAAAAGTACCAGAAACGAATTCATCTTGGCAAGAATCATTCATACGACAATATTCAAACGTTGATGTTTCTGTGGCAGTTAGTACGGAAAGAGGTCTAATCACACCGATCATTTTCAACGCTGAAACCAAAGGAGTCAAGGAAATCAGCGAGCAAACTAAAGCTTTAGCTGCCAAAGCTCGAGATGGTAATTTCAAATTTCTATTGGCCCTTGAATGAGAATCAGAGCAATTTAACTAATTTTGTCAATTTTTTTCCAGGCAAATTGGAACCTCAAGAATTCCAAGGAGGCACTTTTACCATTTCAAACTTAGGGATGTTCGGAGTTAAACACTTTTGTGCCATAATCAGTCCACCTCAGTCCTGTATTCTTGCCGTTGGCGCAGCTGAAAAGAAAGTTGTACCTGATGAAAACGGAGGCTTCAAGGTAGCAAATGTGATGAATGTCACCCTTAGTTGTGATCACAGAGTCGTTGACGGGGCAGTGGGAGCTCAGTGGTTACAGAATTTTAAACGATTTTTAGAAGATCCTGTTACAATGATTATCTAAGTTGATTAGCATGAGCATAATGGTCACTTCTCATGAAATTAATTAACCTTCCCTTTCTGGCCTCATAATTTTCCCTCTTCTGATCTTTACTTGATCTTCTAATCCCTGAAAATTGAAAGACTTTTGTCCCAAAATCAAATTTTAAACCCTATCGAATAGGTTTATTAGTCCGTTTGTAATTTATTTTAAAAATTATTTCCTGTTGATGTTAAAACTATGTTGTTAATCTGTCGGCATTCATTTGTTCAATTGATAATTTTAAATCTACCAGATCCAATTATCTTATACGAGTCAAATTAATTAACAAAAAAAATCAGGTTAATTGAACCCAATTGACTTCATTTTATTCATGGGTTGAAATCTTTTGACTTTCGATTGAATCATCAAAGGTAAACCTTTTAATTAATTTGCGATTCAAGAGTCGTTTCAATGCTACGAATTAATCAATTGCTGATTGTTCAGAAAATTAAATTTAATCATCATCTTCCTCTCGCCATCTCTTGATACTCAAATAAACTGTGACCATATGATCAGTCACATTTTCTTGGTGAACAGATTCAAGAACCTTAATTGTCTTAATTGTTCAATTCGATCTTGGTTTACTCCTTTACTTTTTGTTCATTTCAAATGATTTCAATTGGTTCTTAATTTTTCTCTATTTAGTTGATTGATTAGAATTTAAATGTCTTCCAATGTTCCAAAGTGTTTCGTTTATCTACAAAGCAAAGGTTTTGTTCATCTAAATTCAAAGGCTGAAAAAATCAAAGAATTGGCCACTTTTGGTATCATAATTAAATCCAATTTGAAGCGATGCATAAATGATTACAATCGACTGATTGACAAGTTCAGTGTCTTCCCGATTTCTGGTCTCAGCAGTTTCAAAAGTCTGAATAGTTTGTTACATGGAAGACAATTGGATAAATTTGCTGTTAATTTTGATTCGGTTGATTCAATCGAGGTGATTAGTGAACCTCATGAGAATCTGAATTTATGGTCAAGCAAAAGACCAATGAAAAACTTAATCATTTTGTGTGATAAAAGTCAATCTCTTAATTTGTTTTATTCCTTTCAAAATGAAAGGTATCGATGGTGGCGAAAGGTGAGTACCAATTTTAATTTGATTGTTCGACTTGATTGTAATCATTTCGTTTGCACAGTTATCTGGATGCCCATCGCACTTTTATCAATCGCCAATTGGAAAATGTAAATCAACCAACACGGAAAATGTAACCATCGATTTCAGATCTTCTTTGATTGATGAGAAAAGTTTGTGTCTTGAGAACGTGAAATATTTAACTGATTCTGATCAAATCAACGAAATGTTCGGATTCCAATCGAATCAACATTTGATTTGGTCAAAGATCTTCCCCGATAATGCGACCATTTCTTACATGATCGATGGATGTTCACAGGACGAGAACGGAGATTTCAAAGTGAGTTCTTGTTTTGATTTAAGTTTCGAATTCAACTTGAAATGTAATTTCAATTGTGACTTTTTCTTATTTCAGGAAATGTGGTTTCATGAATCTCTTGCTCCTTATCATGTTGCCATTTCGATACAGTCATCAACTAATTCTGATTTGGATTCCAAGTTGGAGGAAGTCGCTAATTACCTAATGAAAGAGATGAAAGACTGTGGAATTACCGTATTCCCATTCAAACATCGTTCCAACTCTCTTCAGAATGTCTCATTTTCATGGTATTTAATTGAAAAAATTGAGAAAAAAAATCAATTTCAATTCTAATTTCTTGTTCTAATTTCGTTTAAAGGTTCGATTCAATTGGAATACCTTATTCAATTTCGATTACACAAGAAAGCTTACAATTAGGAATAATTGGCTTACGGAACAAAGAGACTAATCTAGAGGTGAGAATTTCTTTTAGTAAATTGATTAAACAATTAACCATTATTTCGTTAATTAATAAAAATTTCTCATTTTAATCGACAGGAAAAAGTTCATATCACCAGAGTCAAAGTTAATTTACTTCTTTACCTTAAATTGATGAAACCTCTTGATGTTAAACTCGCTATAATGGAATCAGCTAAATCTTCATAGTATTATCATGTTAATAAAAAATCCATTGAAAAAATATTCTAATCACTCGATTTCATTTATCGAAAAAAAAAATTTCATTCTCGTACTTTTGATTTTCCCGCTTCTTTTGATTCTCTCGCGAGTAACTAGATGTCACTTTAGAGACTTTTTGTTGTGTGAGTTTTGTTTTGAAAAGTGAAAAACGAGGTTAATTAATTTGTTTACCCGGTAAATTGATTAAATTATCAAAATGGTGAGTAATTAATTGTCATTCTCAGTTATTCAATTAGACTGCCTTGTAATCGATGATAATGTGTTTTTCTTTTCTACAGACGATCAGTAAAAACAACAAAATGGTTCAATTCATCAACTACCGAATGAGAGTAGTGATGCATGACTCACGGAATTTAGTTGGACATTTTAAAGCTTTTGACAAACATATGAATGTTATTTTAGCTGATTGTGAGGAGTACCGTAAGATTAGAGGTAAAGGAAATCGTCCAGATCGTGAAGAGAAAAGAGTCTTGGGATTTATTTTAGTAAGAGGAGAGACAATTGTTTCGATGACAGTTGAAGGGCCACCACCACCTGAGGAAGGTCTTCCTCGTGTTCCAGTTTTAGGTACTATTCCTGGTCCAGGTTTTGGACGAGCAGTGGGCAGAGGAGTACCTACATCTGCTGTTCCAATTGCCACTGCTGCTCCTGGTTTACAAGGTCCAGTTAGAGGTGTCGGTGGACCCGCACCATCAATTATGGCTCCACAAGCACGAGGAGTACCTCTTGCCGCCGCTGCTGCAGTCGGTGCACCAAGACCTGGTCCAATTCCTGGTTTACCATTAGGACCTTTAACATCAGTCGCCCCCGGAATTCCTGGTGCTCCATTAGCCATGGGCCGTGGAATGCCACCCCCTCCATTAGGAATGATGAGAGGTCCTCCCCCACCCGGTCCACCACCTCCAGGACCACCACTCGGTAAATTGCCCCCTCGTCCAATGTAATACTTACATTACATCCTTTGATATCAACCATTACATTTCGATAGTTCTGATGGCCATCAATGTTTAATTATAAACAATAAAGAATCAATAAAATTTATTCCTTTTCTTTTATTCAAAAAATGCGCTTTTTAACCGCGGGTTTAGTCACATGACTTGTTCTTGCCACTTCTTAGTTTCTTTGGTTTTGTTGTTCATCTCAATTAATTATCGTCAATGTTTTTGATTAACTATTTTGTCTTCTTTCATAATTTTGGAGCTTCTTCCAGTTCGTAGCAATTTCATTTGATGACAAAGTATTTTTGGATCATCAGTTTTCACCTTTTCCAATCAATCAACTCGATTCACTTTCTTTTTCTCTCTTTCTCTCTCCTTGTCTCTTTCTTTCTTATGTTTCTCCATGTTGAGAATCTGTAAACAGATTTTTCTTCCCATTGGTAAAAATTGTAACCTGATGTTCATTGTTTTCTTTGTGTCTACAGATCTCATCAGTTGAAAACATAACAACTCCCTGATTTTGGTGAGAATTTGATTAGTGCAAATCTCACTCAACAATCTTTATTATTAGAAATAAACATCGTCATTGAATCGTGACCACAGAATCAAAGCTTTTCAGGTGTGGCATTTGAGTGGAAACAACAATAAGTTAAAAACGAACCTTGTTTTCATTTTTTCTGCTTTATTTGCATTTAAATAGTGATACAGTTTGAACAAAGAATGAATTCTGCTTCAGTGAAACAAGTCACCGTTACTCATCCTGGAGGAAGTAAAGCCAAACCAACTGCTGGAAAAAAGAAACACTCATTGCAAGCGGACCATTTAGATTCTGAGAAGCGATTACAACAATGCAAAGAAGAAAGTTCAAAGCGTCTTGATCTCACCAAATGTAGTATCACAACACTACCTGGATCCATTAAGGAACTTACCCATCTTACTGAATTATACCTTTACCAGAACAAATTAACTAATTTACCTCAAGAAATTGGTTGTCTTATTAATCTTGAGAAATTAGCTGCTAATGAAAATATTCTGGTCGGTTTACCAGATTCTCTTGTCAATTTAAAAAAGATCAAAGTTCTTGACTTAAGACACAATAAGCTCAACGAAATCCCACCAGTTGTTTACCAATTAACATCATTGTCCATTTTGCATTTACGCTACAATCGGATTAAAGTCGTAGAAGACGATATAGCAAATTTATCTGTAAGAATCTTATCACTTTCCATATGCAATTTCCACGAGAAATATCCTATCCCATTTGCATTCAATCAAATACAATTATGCGAATTAAGTGTAACCTTAAATGCAAAAAGGCATATGCACTTGGTTCATGATTCGTTTTTTTACTGAAGGCTGTTGATATTGCAATTAATTGTTGATCGAAAATTGCAATGTTTATGTTTGATTAGCATCTATTTGGATGATTATTCGACCATTTTCTAAGTGCATATCATCTGATAACAAGGTGTTTCTCTCACGTTTCATATTCCTTTCTACTTTATCCCTTTGCAGCTCTGATAACATAAAATGAACAGTTATAACCCATTTTCTTTCATTTTAATTTTCTCTTCTCTCATATTTCCAGAATTTAACGATTTTGAGTCTTCGAGAGAATAAAATAAAAGAGTTGCCTGCAGGGATTGGTCGTTTGGTTAATTTGGCAACACTTGATGCCTCGAATAATCATCTCGAGCGATTACCTCCTGGTGAGTATCAATTCTAAGGATTGCAACTACAATTTACTAACTAAAGCTAAATAACATAATTAATTTTGCATCACTTTTCTTTCTTTATTTTTCTTGTCAACAGAGATTGGTGATTGTGTTCAACTGAACAACCTTGACGTTCAACATAACGAGCTTGCCGATATTCCAGCCACTATTGGTAGTCTAGTTAATTTAACCAGATTAGAATTGAGGTAAACATACAAACAGTTAATTTGAGGAGAAATTATTAGCTCAGTAGCCCAAGGTTTCCAAAGTTTCACTTTCTATCATAATATTTATCACTTTACTTTCTTTTCTCTCTCTCTCTCTCTCTCCATCTCCAGATATAATAGATTACAGTCAATTCCGGAATCTCTTAGTAATTGTATCCAAATAACTGAGTTTAACGTTGAAAACAATGCTCTTTCGTCATTACCCGATGGCCTCTTGTCTAGTCTGACAAAACTGACCACTTTGACCCTTTCACGAAATCAATTTTCCTCTTATCCTGCTGGTGGACCTTCACAATTCTGTAATGTTGATGTAAGTATTTACACTCGAATCTCATAATTAATTGACTATTTTCTTATTGCATTTACCATCAGATTAACCAGTTTTACAGCTTCCATAAACACTGAGTCCACTACCAAGAAAGATAATAGAGAAAATATATTATTTCTATTCTAAAAGACCTTGTAATGTGAAAGCGAACCAAATTATCACAAAGTCGTGTTTTCTATCTTGATAATTTTAGAATCTTTTAAAATACATTTTCTATTTATGTTAGACTTTCGCTCTAAAGAGAATCACCCTGAGGATAATTTTTAGCGAGACTTTTCATCCTCATCATCCACAACTAACATCATGATGAAGATTATAGCTTATCTACCACTAGAATTACCAACTAACTTTTACTTTAAGGTTAAACCCTAAAGTGTCTTTGATTCTATTAATCCTGATATCTGATACTTTTCCATTTTCATCATTGACCATGACCAAGTTAATCAAATTGATAATAGACATGCAGTAGTTTCACTTATGGAACTTGCTGACTATTCCAATTCTCACCAATCATCTATTAAAAGTAACATGCCAATTCAGTCAACTTGAATACAGACAGAGACTGACAGGGATGTCTCACTATTTACACTTTTCTCTTTCTTTTCATCTTCCTTCCATCTTCTTTTTCTTCCTTTTCTCTATCCTTATAATCAATTTCATGAGATCCTCTTGTTCACTCAGACTCACTTTTGAAACCGTTGAACTTATTAGATGCTTTTTAAGTATTACCCTTGTTTCTCATGAGCATTCACCAAGTCAATTGTTGATAAATCCTCTTCCATTTTGTATATTCAATGAATCAACGAAGGAGGGAAAATATCATGAGCAAAAATCCATATAAACTAACCCTCAGTTTGCATATGTCATATTTAAGTGATTGGAAATCAATTTATTAATAGTTGCAAATAACTTTATTAAACCTCATCCTACAACTAATATTTTGCTCTCTGATTATAATCAGTAATTGCTACTGTTTTATAATAACAATAGCGTTAATATCCTTGTATTTGAGTGCAAGTATATTGATTGCCATTTAAAGCAATTGCTAATTTTAGCTAATTAGAAATTGTGATTAGAAAAAGCTAAATACAAATAGCAATTTTTATGATTAACTTATGTTTCTACGATGAAATTGATCACTATTGAGATTTATACTTTACAAGTAGTTAAAGATTTTTCAAGTCTCAGCAACTTTTTATTGGTACAATTAAGTTAATTGCAGATTAATCATTAGTATGTCTATGCAGATAAAATCACAAGTTTAACTTTGTTTTTTTTTTCTCACTGAAATGGTTCATGATGATGCCATTTGTTTCAAATGTTTAACCTTCTTCCCCATAGTGATTATCCCAAACTGATTAATTAATTATCTTCTTTTTTCTCTTCATTTTAGTCAATTAACATGGAGCACAACAGAATCAACCGAATACCTTATGGAATATTTTCTCGAGCTAAAAATCTAACAAAATTGAACATGAAAGACAATCAATTGACTGCACTTCCTCTCGATATTGGTACTTGGGAGAATATGGTTGAATTGAATTTAGGAACTAATCAATTATCTAATTTACCTGATGACATTGGACGATTAGAGAACCTTGAAGTTCTTATTTTATCGAACAATATTCTTAAAAAATTACCATATACAATAGGACGTCTCAATAGTCTCAAGGTTTTAGATTTAGAAGAGAATAAATTGGAATCACTTCCCAACGAGATTGGTTAGTTTCTTTCTAATCACTAATCAAATTTGATCATTTCAATTTAAGACTAATCACAATTTTCCATTTCCATCTAACCACAGGCTCTCTGCGTGAATTGAGAAGACTAATATTGCAAAGTAATCAACTACAAATGCTCCCTAGAGCAATTGGTCGTCTTTTTAATCTTGAATATTTAAGTGTAGGAGAAAATAATTTGACTTCTATTCCTGTAGAAATCGGTAAGAAATTCATTTTTACTCAATTCTTATTAATAATATTGTCCAAGGCAGAAAATAATTCCATCTTTTTTTCTTCTTTCTTTAGGTACATTGGAGAAATTAGATACACTTTATATTAATGATAATCGCAATTTACACAATCTACCTTATGAATTGGCTCTTTGCTCAAGTTTACAAATCATGAGCATTGAGAATTGTCCTCTCTCCGAAATACCCGCTGAAATAGTCAATGGTGGTCCATCTCATGTAATCCAGTATTTAAGGATGAAAGGTCCATATCGTTCCATGTGAATTGACCACTACAACAAAAGGAAAAGAAAAGGAAAAGAGACAAACAATCTGCTAACTTTGTGTGTCAATTTCGCTGGTTCTTTACCAATGTTAATTTCTCTTGTTATCGCAGCCATTCCTAAATCATAAATCGATTCTGATTCTTCACATGACACAACAATTACATCTTCTCAAAACAATACACACAAAATCACTCATTTGTTGCCAAAATGATCAGTCTTCTCATCTACTTTTAGCCAATTCTTTCGCTCCATCTTCTCTTTCATCATCTTTCATCATCCACTTTCACTTTCTTTTCTCTCCAACTTTTAAACTCTTTCCATTAAATCAATTATCAACTGCATCTCCTTTTTATCTTAACGATGGAAATCAAGCCCCGAAAATGCGAAACGTATTCATCAAGCATCTAAAACACAACAAACATCAATTTTTATTCATCAACTTTCTGATTAATTTGTTGTTTAAGTTCCAAAGAGAACTTGTTAATTGTACTCAACCATCTCTCATTTGGTTTCTTCTCATCATGATGATCATTATCATCTTCATTTCCTCCCTCCTATTATTCATTCTGGATTTAGATCATGTTACCTCTTGTCATTTTCATTCTAAATGAATCTTATCATGAAAATACACAACAAACAAACAGAAAACTGATTCAAACAAATGATTACAATTGAATTTTCATTTTATCTTTCACTCATCTCTAAATTGTGTGCATAATTATCAACAATAATTACAATTATCTCTGATGTTTCATTTATTTCGAACTTTTTTCTTTTGTCATAATAATTAAATTCATCTAATTATTGCAAGTTAATTTCCTCGTTTCTTTGTTGTAACCATGTTCTTAGGAAATTCACTGATTAATCATTTAGATTATAATTTGCGAACTTTCAAAACATCAGATAAGTCGATGAATTCAATTGTTTGATTAAAAGATTAACAGTTTGGAGAAAACCCATTTTCGAATCTAAACTTTTTAATTTACATAATTTAAGTAATTTCTCATTACCTATGGTAAGAATATCATGATAGCCGATAATTAGAATTCTCTATCCATTCAAATAATCAGATTTCATTCGGAATTCTCAATGGAAGCGATTCGCTAAAAACACTTAAATCGATCATCAGTTTGTCGATTTCCGCTTTTCTTTCAGGAGATTAATTGTGATCAGATAATCTGCTTCATGAGATTAGAACTTAATTCCAACCTGATGTAACTCAATTCAAATGTAGAAGATTAAAATTGTGGCATAAGTGAAACACCAATTGGATAACCGAAGTTAATCTTATAATCCTCGCGATCGATTAAGGATCAAAATTATCGAGTAAAGAGTCAATGCAAATGATGGATTAATAATTCAATCGGAATGATTTTTATTCGTTGATTTATCGATGGATGAAGCTCCTCAATTTTCACAAGATTTAAAGGATTATCCGGATTTAATTGTTTTGACAAATTCGGTCCAATAACAGTTAAGGAAATAGATATTTACAATTGAGTTTCTTTTCTCTGTTTCATAGTTAATTAACTGATTACGTTTTCATCAATAACATGTAATTACACGAGACTTGGGTTAATGGACATCCAATAGTGATTAATATAAACAATTAGATGATGATAATGATAATAGTAATGGTGAAATAGTGAAAATAAGATCAAGGAATGTTTTTTTTTCAAATAATTAAATTAGATTGGCGATAATTAGACAAATAATCAATAAATTACCGTCTTAACAAATGCGATGGGATATGATTGATAATTGATTGTATTATCCAAGTTTTATCGTTAATTGGGACAATTTGGAAGTTGTTTCGACCAAGTCGAGAGTTGAATCGTAATTATATGAAATATCAGAATTATATGAAAATTTGGTGAAAATTATTTATATAATTTTAAATAAGAATAAATTACTAACTGGAAATTGATTAGTTAAGAAATTAAACTTAACTTGTGGATAAATTGTCATATCATTAATCAATGATGAATTTCACATGACAACGATTTAACTTCCAAGTTGGAAAACTGCTTCCATGTTAAGGGATAATTTAACATTTTCTTAAATTTACTTGATTACCATCGATGACATGATGGTAATCAAGTTGAATTATTACAAAATAAACGATGGGAAATCAATTCTAATGCAATCAATGGGTTAATCACTTCTCAAAATTTGATAACAACAAATTATTATCATAGGAAAAGGTACCACAGTTGATCATTAAAATACACAAAGTGAGAGAAGAGGTTCAGAGGAGAGTAAAAAGTTCTTACTCTATGGTGAGGGAGGAAAAGGATAAAAGTAATTAAAGAGAGAGAGAGAGAGAGAGAGAGAGAGAGAGAGAGAGACAGGTTAGATTAGAAATCTATTACAAGGGTTACTGAAGAAAGTAACGAAAACAGGATTAAATGCTAACAAGTTAATTCACTTGTAGCATGAAACTTTTTTACAACGATTAGTTTGTTTGTAATGGAATCAAAATGATCTTTTTTTCCAAAGGCTTGAAACATGAGTATCATGCTTAATGAACATTAAATTATTATAACATTTGTCTTTTGTTCCATTGGCCATTGGTTATGTTTTTTAGATGAAGATTCAGTCTTTTTGGGTGGTTTAGTTGAGGATGAACCTGTTGGCTTGGAAGTTGATTTTTCACAAGGTTTATCCATCTCATCGTAGACTTGATTCCAAAGTGAGATAATCTCTTGCGGTGTGTGTTTATGACTGGTCATAAAACGCTTAAAATTACAGGGGGTCACCTTGACTCGAACATTTTTCATTAGGAATAGTTTAATCGACGGACTTTCGCAGCCTCAGCAACTATTCCCGTCATGAAAACATCTTCCAAGTGAAGAGGTTTCATCTTGTAACTTTGTTCACTCAAGGATTTCGCCACATCCCCTGAGAACATGTAACATGGTCCAGTGGCGAAATTGGGGAAATAGGTTCCATTGAAAACTGATTGGGAAACAAACCATTTACTACCAACGTCACGATGAGGTTTCCACTTTTTACCAATATGACCAATAATTGATTTGGTAAAGTTTCGGGTCTCACAGAAGTCAACCAATAATTGCATGTTAATGAACATATCATCATCTACTTTCAAAACAAACTTAACTTTATCGCAATTATCACTAACCCATTTCATCATTGACATTGTTTTAAGGGTTAAATTGTAATAACTGTCGATAAATGCACCTTGAAGTAAATCAGAATATTGTTGATTCTCCTTTTCAAGTTGTTCATTGATGAAAGAGTCACGCGAATCACCGATGAGAAACAGTAAAAGAGAACCTCGTTCAACGGCAAACTTTCCCCATGTCTCTCGAATTGCTTGACGAGCTTCGAAGTTCCCGATGGCCGAATTAACCAAAATCAACAGGTCAAGAGAAGCTCCATTGTCAGTATCACAGAAATTGGGCTTGTCAATGAGAAATTGACGAGTTAAGGCAATCTCATCAGAAGTGAAAAATCCTCTGAACTTTTGTTCCTCTGTTTGGTTCTTAGTCTCATTACGATTAATGGCTGTCGGTTGAGAGGATTCATTAACAGGGTGGAAGAGAGACTGGGAGAAGGTGAATGTTTAGGAGTAGTGATCACAGAAAATGCTGGTGCGAGTGGCGAAGATTGTTGCAGAGGTCGATTGGAAGGGGGAGATGAAGAAAGTGATGGTGGTAAAGGAGGTGAGGGTGAAGAAGACAAATTAATGGTGGAAGATTGGGAAGGAACAATTTTCGATGATTGTATCACAGGTGAATGAGATGATGGCGATGATAGTAGTTTTGAAGAAGAGAATGAAGAAGATAAAGAAGAAGAGGAAGACAATGATGGTTTCTCAGAGAATTGGCGTTGTTGTTGTTGTTGAACTAGCACATTGACGGGCAGTGGCGAAGGTTGGAAATTAATTTGATTGTTACTATTTTCATCGTTATCATTGATTAAATCGGATAATGATGACGATTGGTAAGGCACAGAATTTAAAATTTTAACCAATTTTTCTTGGTCAACGTTGTTTAAAACCAATCGACGGCCATTGCCAGTCCGAGTTGTTGGTCCTCCATAGTGACTGATGGTCATCAAAGTAGCCAATACAAAGGTAATACAAAATAAAGTTAACATTCGCTTTTGAGCAGAAATCATGTTTGGTTACTTGATTTGTTATTCTGAATAATTGGATTCCGTAATTAAAATGAATGAAATCATTAAAAGAAATAACAAAGAGAAAAGAGAAAAGAATATGAAAACAAATTGAAAAAGAGAAAAGAAAAACTTTAACTCTGGATAACCGATGGTTTCAGTTGATCAATTGATTCACTAACTAGAAAAAGATGATTGATTTAATTGACGATTAACTGTTAATTGGTAGAACACAAATTAACGATTGAATAACATTTTACATAAATAACTTGAGAAAGAAAAAGTTTTGTCAAAAGACAAAGGATCCAATCCGAACAAGCGCCATGCTAAAAGTAAGAAGAGATTCCGATTGAGATGAGAAGAGAAGAAAAAAAGAGAGAGAAAAGAAACTGTTGTCATGGTAACCAAACAGTCAACACCTCCAAACGGAGAAACTACAAACCAAACTAGTGCTGAACAATTAGACCAAATTGTAACACTAATTGTGATGAGCAAAGTTTCCTTCAAACCAAATCAATTGTGCCATCAGGTTAATTTCTAGTAGAAAAAGCGAGTCAATTAACAAAGAAGAATTGAAAAAAATTCTTTTCCCTCTGAAACTCCTTTGGACTTCGGTGGGTTGAGGGTTGGGTCACTCAGGAACTTCGGTGTTGATAGTTGATAAAATATCTGGTCAAGCAACTTTTCTTTGGGCAGTTTCATTTTCTAGTTTCATCTAAAGCCAAAGAGCCGGTGAAAGGTAAGAAAAGAAAACCAGAACCAGATTAACCTCTAATCCCTATGGTGAAGGTAAATTGTTGAAGCACTTTAACAAAGGAAAGTGATCAAGGTTAAATTGTTACTTGAATCATCATCTTAATAATAACCAAAGTAAATTACTATCATCATTTAATACTGATAGACATGAAAATCATGACTCTAATCTCTTGACGTAATCAATAATCAGCTTGATTGTGATATTAATTTACAATTAACTTGTAATCAACTATTCTGAAATGAATAAATTTTGTCAATAACCAAGTTGATGATCAATTAACCATATTTGCCAATGCAAACCATCACTATTAATCATGATAATTATTCATTATTTGTGATTAGTAAACAACAATAACTAAATTTGGTTTTGATAACGTTAATTAATAGGATTGAAACTGATTACATTTTAACAGTTTACACTCTCAATGGTTGTTGATTAAAATTGTTATAATCATTCAGATGGTTGTGATTATTTAATCACCAAGATGAAAGGGAATCAAACTCTCAGTTAAATTAATAGGTAATCAAATTACAAGAGTAGACGATTGACCAGAAAGATTAACAGCATCTCAACCTGTGGATTAATGAAGATTAAGATTAACAAGGTAATAAAATCCGTTAATCTAATGGCAAAACAAAGCCAGCAAATTGCTTGAGGCAAAATATCAAGACTTTAATGGAACCGGTTTAAGGGATGAAGAGGAAAAACAACTAGAAAAAGTTTATCCATTCAAAGGCGAGCTGTCCATTCATTTTCATCTTCATCTTCATCTTTATCTTCATCTTCATCATCATGGTTTTATCCTTAGCTGAGGTCATTGAATTTAAATTCCGGAAATAAATCAGATAATGAAAAGTATACGAGAAAAGTTCATCACTTATCCTGAATCATTATCGATGAAATTTTTTTTTTTACTCCAAAAACGATTGACTAGCAAATCCTTAATTAAATTATCATTACATTTAATTGCTACTCATTTGATTATCTATTGCAAATGATATTGCACTGACCAGTATTAAGATCTGGAGGTGACCAAAGCTAAATTGTTGCAATTAACCTTGAAATCAATTGAATTGTACTTTTTTTTACTTTCAAATTTTGTTGATTGTTAATGAGCTAAGAACTTTGATAATATTAATAATTTTTACGTTGATGATTAAACAAGAATCAGCATTAGATCATCACAATCAAAATTGATTGTTAATCTAACATTTTTTTTGATTTGCGTACGTTTACATTGATCATCATTGTTGATTAGTATTAATGATTAATCAATCTGATTGTTTGCTAGGGAAGAAAATAATAAATATACATTTCAATTAAATTAATTGGTGTATTTACAAATTAATCGTGTCCAGGAAGTTGGAATGAGAATTAAAAATAATCATAATATGATTAACTTATTAAATGGTTTCTGATTTACTTTTGATCCAATTTTATGGATAACAATCAATTGTATTAATCATCATTATAATTACCAAAACAAATTATATTAGTTAAAGTTTTGCCAAAAAATATACAAAATAAAAGTAACAGTTAATGATTACAATCAAATCTAGGTGAAGCTTTTAATTATGACAGGTTGACTACAATGAAAACATCAACAATTGATTGATGATTAAACAACAATCAATGGAAAATACAACAATCTAAGAAAAACGAGTAAAAAGTAAAATTGATTGAAATTAAAATGATTACTTGTTAATTGTAATTGAATAATAATATTAATTTCTTACACACTAATCAAGGATAAATGTTAAGATGAACACTGATGACTATCAAGTGAATGATTAAGTTAATTGTGATTATGATATGGTAAAAAAAGGTCAATGGATAATCTTGTTCATTATTAACCTTGGATAAAGTTGTTTTTGATTGTAATTAAAATTGAGGACGAGACACAATCAGCTGATTGTTAATAGCTATTATCTATTATTAATCTTTACTGTTTAAACTAATCACAATTGATTTCCTTGATAAAATAATCAACCATTTTGGTCAAAGGAAATGACTGGTCTCTGGACAAAGAGTTGATCACAATTAAAAGTCAACAATTAGTCCAATGTGAAGATACTCAGATATAATTTGATTGTGACAACCACTTTTCATCAATTGTTATAATAGATTACTGGGTTTACCTGCATAAACAATCAAACAACAATTGACAAACTGTGTTAATAAATATGATATTTTTGTTGTCAATTGTTCAACAATCAACTGATGATTATGATGAAAGAAGATGATTTTTTCACAACAATTGAAAGCATTTTTTTATCGTTTTCATCCAGAATCATGATGGTGATAAAAGGAAAGTTAATTCAGTTTAACCTGAATCAGAATTCAACTTTCATCTGATTGTTATTATGGTTGAGAAATTACCTGAACATGGTTAACCTCATACACATCTTTTGATTCATGATTGGTTGCGATTAACGATTCAAATTGTTTCAAAAAAAAAAACGGTTAAAATTAATTGTGAAATGTGATACAAGCAATTTAAATGGTTAATCTTACAATAAAAGGGATAAGGAATCAGAATGATGATAATGATTGAAGATTAGGATGATGATGAGGAGGATTAGAAATGAAGATAATATGATAAAAGTTCACAATTGACTGAATTCAGATGAAAGAAAGTTTTTTCTTCATCTTTTCAATTGGTGTTTTTTTCACCATCATCTTCACTGATGAATGACCACTAATAGTAACCTTGAAAATCTAAATAATCTACCACTAGGATACATTCACACACCTTTATTGTCCTTATCTTCATCATCATCATCATCATCATCCACCCATCTACTGTTGATGAAAACACATCATCTGTAAATATGATGCAAACAATTTATAATCAAAAGTTTCTCAATGAAAAAAATACTGACAATGGACTTGGAATGATTAAAACTTGATGTTGATCATGAAAGGAAGAGAGTCTGGAATTAGCTTATCATCCTCATCATCATCCAGGTCATCTGAACAAGAAGCTCTTCTTGTGTCCATCTTCCGGACTTGGTAAGGTTGTTGCCTTTAAAAGGAACCATCATCATCATCTTCACCATCATGAACAACAATCAACTAATCATAATGATGGTTAACGTAAAAATGTTGATAACTTTTAAATCTTCGGGTTCATAGACAATCAGCTATTCATTTCTAATAGCACCTAGAAAACCATTCAAGTTAATTAGTTAAATTGTGGTTTTTTTTCTCGTGATTTACTAACAATTATCGTCATTAGTTTAGTCAATTGCTGTTTGATTGGACATGTGTTAACATTTTAAACAATTAACACGCAATTAATTATGATAAGTTGATTGACAAAATAATGGTAACCAATTTGAGAAACATTTTCTAGTTAAATTGTTGTATAAAAGTAACTTTTGATTTGATCACAATCAAGGTTAAATCAGTTCAATCAATTCAAATAGGATCAAGGTGTAAAAAAATTGAATGATTAACTGTTAACATTGATTTTTCGTTGACGTAATAATCAAAATTGATTGTAATTACGTTGACGATTAGAATGAGAAGGAAAAAAAACGATCACAATTTAACTCTGTTCAGAGATTCTGCCGGTACAATTAAGTGAATTTCTCAGCAAGAAAAGCAATGATAATCATCAGAACAATTAAGAAAATGATAATTTCGTCATCACCCTTGATCACAATCAACATTATAACAAATTTCATATAAAAAATCAACGATAAAATTGATATGAAATTAGAATAAAAAAAAACCTCAAAGTGAAAGCAAAAATTGAATAAAAAGTAATGGGAAAAAAAGACCGGGAATTTAACTGAATTTAACTCGAGTGTAAACAATTTGTACCAATTGATGTTAATGATCATGTTAATGATTAAAATGATGACGGGATGATAACGATCATCATCATGATATCTATGAGTTTTTCATTTAATGATGATAATAAACAAAGTCACCGTAATAAAAAAAGTATCTCATTGTGTAAATCATTTTGTCAATAACAACAACAATCAGTTGATATGGTTTGTTGATTGTTACATGTTGTCATCATAATCATCATAATCATTATCGTTATTATCATCATCAAGTATCATTATCATCATTATTAATATTAAACTTCCCTTAACTGTTTAAAATATTCAGGAAATGCTCAGGGCAATGATACAATGACTTTAGAGTCTATGAGAGATGAACCCTTTGATTTGATTGTTAATTATAGTATTAGTAACCAGATTAAATTGTTTTGTTACTGTAATTTAATTGATGAAAGTTTTCTTTTATTTAATTGATAATATGTTTACTGTATCATGATAACTTTTCATTTTTTTCCTCTAATTGTATGAAAAATTACAATCAACAATTAATACCTTGAGGGAATCGCCATGTTTACCTGGTACAGAGACGATTATTTAATGATAATTGATTGTTTATCATTTTAATTTAATGATCTAGGTGATTAAAGGGTTTGATTGATTTGTACCAATCATTTTTTTTTTCAAGACAATTGTATCAACAATTAAGTAGATTGCTATTTGTAAGCAAATTTACGTGGTCATTGTGCATTAATTGTCACTAATATTTGATTGAGATCAACAATCAAATGCTTTTTGATTAACTTTGTTAAGGTTTGAACGATTGTTATTAATGATGATCACCAATTAACTTTGATTGTGAAATTAGTTGATCATGATAACATTGATTGTATTGTTATTACCGGAATCAGGAAATCCACATAAGATTTGATAATAATTTACAATTAACGAGTTTATCATTTGAGGTCGAGGTTGAGATGATTATCAATCTGTATTCTGATTGTTGTTTTAACTTTAAATTTTAATTGTTACTCTTGTTGATTGTTGATTGAAAAATATTTGGCTAATATTTTACAATTGATGTTCAAAATGAAAGTACATTATTATTTATTATCATGATTAAAACAACAACAATCAAATAAAAACCGGTAGTTGACCAACAGCAACAATCAATTGATTACAAAAGTAAAGTGAAATGATGATGATAAAAGGTAATCAATCAATTGAGTTGATTTGGTTGATAATTTTAATTTGATTGTAACAATTAAAGATGAAACTTTTTCTCCAAAATAAAAATAATAAAACAATAAACTAGATCGCAAAGGAATAGATAATTTCTAGGTTATCATTATAATTAATGACGTTGGTTAATTTTCCCCACTAATTACAATCCACAGGTTAATTGTCATCAACATGAAATGACAAATTAAATGATGACACTTAACATTTGCTTGTCAGTTAACAATGAAACTCAACAATCAACAAGCAATAAGTTGATCACTCATATTATATTAGAATCAAGGAGATGAGAAGATATGATTGTTATCATGATAATTCCGTTAATTTAATCACAATTGAATTTCGCCTGAGGCAAATTAAAGTCTGATTCTAACCAGTTTATCTTCATTATCACCGGTAAATTGGAAAGAAAGATGAAAAATTTGATGAAAAAAGAAGAAGAAAGTAAATGGAAAAAGTTTTTTTTCTCTCTCTTTTTCATCTTTATTTTCATTTCAAGGAGATTTTCATCTCATCTTCATTATCCTTCCATGATTTTCATCACCATCACCATCATGTTGACTCTCTAAGGTCATTGAATTTATATTCTGGTAAAAAAAGAATCAAAATTAAGGGTTTCAACTGAAATTCCCAAAGTGATGAGATGTGATCATCTCTCCATAGGATTAACATTAACTCCTCATGTTGATTTTCATTCCTTTGATTATTCATCAATTTCCCTCATGGAAAACTCAATGATAATCATTATGATTAGTAAATTATAAGTTTTATGTTTACATTTAATCGACTCAATGGTTACGAGACACAAGGTGAAAGTTTTGTCCCTTGATTGTTGATCACTAGAAAACAATAGTTACTTTAATAGATTTAATTGCCTCAAGGGAAACACGATTTTTTCTTATGTTATTTTTTCCATTGTAATCAGTAAATTGTCAGTAAATAATCAATGTTAGTTATGTTAAATTGTTTCTATTAACCTTGAGTTAAATTGTTGAACGTTTTCTTTTCTTATGTTATTTGTTTGACGATCATCTTGATTGTTATTAGAGGAAATTATTGCTTCAACTAAATTGTTGTTCAAAGTGGACAATCAATGACAATTGATTCTTGGGAAGAGTTAAATTTTCCTCATGATTAACTTTTAATTGTTCTAATTCTTTTTCTTAACAATCAAACATCTTTTGATTTGGTTGCATCTTCACCCTTGCAATTGTAATTATGGTTTTTTCAGTTCTTAATTGTTGATCAATCAAATCAAATAAAAATCTACTTCAGACTTACTAATTGTGATAAAAGAACAATTAATTTCTGTTCTCTGTGTCATTCGACTGTTGAATAAAACTTTCATACACCATATAAAACTAATATCAATATCATATCGGTTATCATTGACTCAAGAATATTGTTCGTAATTAAATTTAATTGTTTCGATTAAGAAAAAATGTCGATTGAATTTCTCGAGAACATGGCGCCATCTCGTGTGTTAGAAAAGAAACACTAATCATATTTGAATTTTTCTTTCTCATTTTTAATCCATTTGTTTATCTCTTAGTTCATTGGGATTTTATAATTAATTGTTTGCTTTAAAGTCAATCTAATTTATTAAATTGTTAGCTTCCTTACAGATGATCTCTAAGGTAAAGACTGGACCATCTTTTGTGTCTGAACCTCCACCAATAGATGGCAATTGTTATGTTGTTGTGACTCTGAGATTGTCTCTTCCTTCATGTTTACTTGTCTATTGGAAAACCAATTGATTGATTGTTTGTTTATCTTTTTGATTCTTTGAGCAGTAAAACAATCATCTTGACTATAAATGTGAGCTAACTAATGACTACCTATTAATTTGATGAATTCATTAATAAGTTTTCAGATGGAGAAATAAGAAAGTTACATCAAATGACCAACAAAACTTACCAAGGAAACTCAAATGGCTCAAATTATTACGACGCGATAATTTCAGTTCAAGGGAATCAAAATCATCTAAAGTAATTGTCAAACTGGACTTGACTTAATCCTTGTGAAAAGATGAATAACTCAAGATTTGATTTCTGATTCGCAGGTAAAGTTAATTAAACGAAAATAACGGAGCGATAAAAACCAGAGAAATTGATTGTCAATATAAAGTTTACCATCGAATTGATTGTTTTTCCTCTCTCACTGATTGTTCAATCTTCTAATTCTTGAGGTAAGTCGTTGAACATTTAGTCGATTATTTTATCCATCTTATTATTTCTTCTTCCCTTGCAATGATATGATATCTATTCTTAGCATGATCTGTGGAATACCAAAGAAAAAGAATTACAAGTGAACCTTGAAACAGTCGAATTCAGACATTTTGTTTTATTTCTGCTCTCGGAACATTTTACATTTTATTCTTTGATCAACTAATTAGAATAATTAATTGAATCATTTGGAATAAATTGTTTCAACCATGAGAATTAAATTAGCCCTGAAAATCTTCTAGAAAAGATTACATATACTCCTCACCTTCTTTGAGAGTGTCCATCAAGACCTAAAGAATATTTTAATCTCTCTACCAACTTAATCGCCGAGATTCTGGTTGACCAGAAAACTCGAGTTTGGGTCAGTAATTTACTGTTTTTGTTTCAAATTTTATTCTTCTAGTGATTTGATTGTCAATATTTTCCCGCTTTTCTATTATCTAAACATCGATTTGTTGATTAAACTTTTCATCTCATGTTTCTATTTTAATCTCGTACACATTATCTTTTAATATCTTCTCCCACTTTTGTCTCACTATTTTTCATCCTCAGGAATCCATTTCATTGAAGATAAACTCACACAATTACCGTCCAATTCAAGCCATCCCAAGCCAAAGTTACTCTCAATAAGTTCCAACAGTCAATAGCCTTAAATTGTAGTGAACATGATTAATAAATTGTTACCATGTCTCATCTTCATTCTTACTACAGGTAAGTTGATCAATTACTTTTTCCAATTGATTCTGTTTTTCTCCAATTTTCTGTTTGTTTTCTTCTATTCTTTCAGGTAAATTAGCTTTTCTCATATAATTTCATGATTAGTTGAACCAGTTACACACTTTCACCTTTATCTGTTTCCATTGAATTACTCTAATTAATCCAAAAAGGAAGAAAGTTAATCCTCTTCATGAATTTCAATCTCCTTGGGCGTATCAATCTGTTTCCATTTGGATCAGATTCAAGAAACAATTAACCTTTTTCTGAATCATCTTGAATTCAAACAATTAGTGTAGGTTTCTTTAGGTTGACATTTAATTTCAATACATTACATTGAACATTCAATTAACTCAATTACTGAATCATTGACTAATTTGATGCTTGATTACCATAATGTTTTGTAATTTTACATTTTCCAATATTGTTCACAAAATCTGAATATAAATTAACCTTGATAATTTGTTTTTTCTTGATCAGAATTCGTGTCTATGCAAAAACCGGATCTTATTGATCTCGAAACTGGACCAGTTCAATTGAATTGTACCGGAACTGGAATCACATGGTAATTTCCAAAACTGTTACTTACCGATATCGAAATTAATCCTTTCTCTATGATGAATTTTAATTTAGGTACAAATTAGTCGAAGTCGATAAGCCTAAACAAATTCGAGGCGATGAATACAATAGATATAAATTATCTAATGACAATCTCACCTTGACAATTGAAGATCCTCGAAAAAACGTCGATGAAGGTGATTACAGTTGCACAAGCTCTTCGGGAAATCGAACCTTTAGAGTTAGAGGTAATTAAATTAACGAAATATTATGTAATTAGATATCAAATTGGGTCAAATTTCTCATCTATTTTTCATTTTACTTCCAGGGAAACCCGAATTCTCAACATTCAAAGCTTCTGGTCATACCAAAGACATGAATTCATTTAATGTGGTTCAAGATGATGATTTACATTTAGTTTGTGAGGTTCTGTTAAGAGCAGCATTTAAAGAGGACGATGTTGATTTCATTTGGTACCGAAAATTTCCCAATGGAGCCGAGGAAAAGATTACCAAATTGAACATCTCAAGCGCTGAAGATGTCGGTGGATCATATGTAACCAAGAAGTCGATCCTTTCCATGGAAGATGTAAAATATGAAGATCGAGCCGAGTACATTTGCGAAGCATCGAATGGTCAGATTAAAGCAAATAGCACAGTCAATGTACGAGTGAAAGACAAATTAGCTGCTCTTTGGCCATTCTTGGGAATCGTGGCCGAAGTGTTGGTTTTATGTACAGTCATTTGCGTCTACGAAAAGAGAAGAGGAAAACCAGAGTTCGAAAGCTCCGACGGCAAAAGTCCTTCCAAAAGTCTTGCGCATTCAAAATGATTAAATTGATGACTTTGATCAAAGAGTAATAGCAAGAGAGAGCACTTGGATGTAACCATCGATAAGGTTTTATCTCTCCTTATCTTAGGGAAAAGGATGAGATCCAGGTGGAAGCACAATTCGTTCCGTACAAAACGTTACCGAGTCGCGGATTCGGTAATTAGAGCCTTGTGAAGAGAAAGTTACGAGAATCTGGTGCTTCCACCTGGATCTCATCCTTTTCCCTAAGATAAGAAAGATAAGAGCTTATCGATACATTTCATTAAGTGCTGTCTCTTGTTATTACTCTTTGACTTTGATTACCATTAATCAAGAAGGACAATGAAGAAGAAAAGAAAAGGATAAAAATAGAAAGAAGATACTTTATCATCCTTCATCTTCACATCTTCGTCTCTAAATAATGAAGATTCAGACTCATTCAGACAGATTCAGATTCAGACAGAACATTAGATTGATTTATCTTCAACTGGTCCTAATCAATTCCTGTTGAAATATTTCAACCGAACTTTTAATTACTCAGTAGACTGATTATCATTTTCCTCTCTTTCTTAATTTGTTAAATCTTCCTTTCTAATTATCTTAATCATTTACTTATAGCTTAATGTTGATAATCCTTTCAATTTTTTTCTGTTACATTTCAAAATCTAATTTTAATTTGTAAATTAATTGTTAAATCATGATCGTAATTCCGATTGATTTTTCTTGACGTTAATTATAATTTTTAATTCAATTGTAATTTAAACATAGAATATGCAATTTCCCGATAATCATTAACCATCAAAGTCATTGTAAATTAGAATCAAAAAGATGATTTTAATTTGTTCCAATGAGAAACAATCAAAACTAATTCTTGTTTTCATTCATTAATCACTTCCTCTGTTCTCGCCATTAATTATCTCATTACTGTTAATCTGGATCATTAAGAAAAATAAACACTTTTTAATACAAAATACTAATTGTTGTTGTTCCTTAATTGTCACAGTCGTAATCAACTTTCACTGATAATTTAAAGGTAAGAATAAGCATAAAATGTGCAAACATAATTAATCTATTTACCTGAATCATCATTAAATTGTTTTAATTGTGATCATAATTAACAAGTTAACATTTAGACATCAATTAAAAATCGGATAAAAAGACAAACAATCAAATTAAGCAAATCATTTGAAAATTGTTTTTTTAACTATTGATTTATATCATTTAGAAAAGTATTGATAATATTTTAGATTAAACCAATTGAACTGTGTTTGATTTGATGACAAATAAACAATTGACAATCAATTAATTGTGATGATAAAACCTCTCGACCTCATCAACATCTTATCATTTTCAAACAATTAACATTTACTTTTGCTGATTATTCATCTTTACGTCAATGAAACAATTTACCTTGATTATAATTGATAATCATAATGATGACTCTCATTCTAATTGTAAATTATTTGCTAAATCATTTCGATGAGATTAATTATTCCAATTTCAACACAACAACTACAATATTGTACTATTTAAATCAACTGATCTAAATTAAATCTCATTCAAATGCTACACCCAAAAGTTGTTACGTTTTTTTTTCTTCATTCAAAATTTTCACCATAATAAGATTAATCTAATTGGGTGTGGTTAATTTAATTCTTCATCAATTAACTATTTATAACTTTTTGAATCAATTTCATGTTCCGTAGTCATGATTAGGACGAAAATGAACATTTCGATTTCCGTATCAGTTTGAACTTTCAAAACACTATAATGGTTTGATTTTAAATTCATCCGAAAATTTGAGTTGATGATGAATTTTCAGTCTAAATTGATTGAGACAAATTTAATTACTCAAATGATTACGAAATATTAATAGAAAATGAGTCAATCCAATTGATCTTCAAATTTGGCGCTTTTCGCATGATGGATGAAAATCTGATGCGTTGCTTAGCAATTTCATTGATGAAAATTTTGACTTTCTGATTGTCAATTTTTCTGATTAGTGAACATTGTTTACTTTAATTATGCGTCTGTTTTAATTGATATCTGATGATTAGATTATTTTTTTGAGAATAATTGTTTTTGTTTACAGCGCGAGTGATACCCGAGGGTATCCCTATTTCCCTGTGACAAACTGTTTAATCTAGAGGAAATGATGGCTGCGGCTCAACCGGATTGTGAGTTGGATTTTGTTTATTCTGATTGTGATTCTCATGCAAATGAAATCGCTGAGTTATACTCTTACTCAGAATCGTGTGAATTTGAATTAAACAAATCTAGCTACGAGGAACTATGTTCCGAGTGGAAAATCTCCAAGCCTTGGGCATCATTAGAGCCATCGGAAAAAAATTGGATCATCGAGCGTCTCTGTGAAACGGTTGAACTTGGTAAGAAAGAATTGCGATTTAAAGGCTTAAAGGCTTTACTCTACCTGGTTCAAGGTGTTTTTGGTGAATGTTCAACGGTTGAAGAGCAACAAACAATCTCAAAACAAAATGTCTTCCTTATTTATGAGAAAGGACTTTTTCCTACTTTCATTCAGCTTCTCATGATGGAAATTGAAGAAAGTCTACACTTGCACAATTCTTGGCATCCTCCTATTAACAAAAACGATTCAACAGACTTTAGAATTATTTTGAACATAATGTACACGATTGTCGAAGTTTTCAATAGTATGATTGACAAAACGTCCAATATGGAAATGGTAAGAATCTTTGGTTTTAAGAACATGCTTATTTTATATCTAAAAAATTTACTCTAATAATCAAATTTACTTTTCAGAAACTTCGGGACCAGTTTAAGGAAGAATTGACTCAGCCCATATCGACAACTAATGAGCTTTTAGCGCTGACACTTTTTCAAATGACCACCAAATTCTGTAATGGATCTGCTCCACATTTTCCTATCAAGAAGGTTATGTTGTTGTTATGGAAAACAATATTGATCACTTTGGGTGGTAGCGATGAGCTCAAAAATCTCAAAAATTACTACAGATCTCGCGTCGGGCTACCTCCAGCCCCAGAAGATACTCTTGAAATAACCCGAACAATGAGACCTGCATCACCTCCAGTAGCTTATAGTGAAAATGCCGAGGGTCAGCTTCGTAGAATGATTCGACCAATGAAACGTCCACGAATGATTAGTAAACAAGAATCGATGATTGCTGATGACATGTTGAATGATCTAGAAGTTAATTATACCAATGGTGAAGGTGAACAATCTGTTGATAACCAAGAATCTAATGAAATTGAACGAACTGAAGAATCAAATGATAAAAATGCAGAAGAAAAAGTTGACATTGACTCTTCTCCGGCTTCTGAAAGACCATCGACTCCAGTGCCGAAGCCAAACTCAGATGAAGATGCTGAAGCCGATACTGAAGTTCAAAACATCAGCAAAGGTTTACCTTGGATGCCGAAGGTCAGACATAAGGATATCGATACTTTCCTTGAACAAGCTCGCATGAAGTTCATTGGATTCACTTTACCCCAAAATCGCAGTACAACTGCTGGCCTTCCAGAACCGATTCTAGAAGGTTTGAGAACCTTACAAAAGCATCTTTACATTTCATTATCCGAGCTTCAGATACAAAAAGAGGACGAAATTGCAAAATATCCTTTAACTGTTGGAGAACTGGATACAAAACCTTTATCATCTCCAACAGAAGCACTTTATGAATCCATGTTACCATCTTTACCTCAGTACATGATTGCCTTATTGAAAATCCTCTTAGCCGCTGCGCCAACATCAAAAGCAAAAACTGAATCAGTGAATATAATGTGTGAAATTTTACCTGAAACTATGCCCATGAACGCTGTCCAGTCCATGAAATTTGGAACTGATGTAAATCGTCACAAAGAGATCATAATCAAAGCAGTTTCTGCCATTCTCATACTTTTACTCAAACATTTTAAGATAAATTATGTTTACCAATTCGAGAATGTTAGTCAACAATTGATGTTTGCGAATTGTATTCCGTTGATATTGAAATTTTTTAACCAAAATATCTTCCAATATATTAGCTCACGAAACAACATCGCACTAATCGATTTTCCTAATTGTGTTATCGGTGAACAGCCGGAAATTACATCAGAAATGCTTGAATTGGAAATGGGTCCAAGGGAGAAAAAGATTCCCTGGCGAAACATTTTCTCTTGTATAAACATGGTTCGATTATTGAACAAACTGACAAAATGGAAAATGTCCAGAATAATGATGTTGGTTGTCTTCAAATCAGCACCTATTTTAAAACGAGCTCTTCGAGTGCGACACGCGATGTTTCAACTATACGTATTGAAGTTACTCAAAATGCAAGCGAAATATTTGGGTCGTCAATGGAGAAAATCAAACATGAAGACTTTAAGTGCGATCTATCAAATGGTGCGACATCGATTGACCGATGATTGGGCTTTTGGCAATGAAATGGACACTCGACCTTGGGATTTTCAAGGAGAAGAATTTAATCTTCAAGCAAACATTAATCGTTTCCACAATCGACGCTACAGTGTTTCATTAACTTGTGTCTCTTCACATTTATCAAGTCAATCAACTGGAGGTCATTCAGTGATAAATGGTCATCTCAACTCATCCAATCCCGATAATCTTTCATATGCATCTCAAATGGATATATTTAAACCTGTAGACAATAACTATTTAAGCGTTTTGAGCAAAAAGTTACAATTAACGGAAGATTTCAAAAACAATTATGAACATTGGCTCCAGCGGGAAGTTTTCCAATTTAATATCGACTGGGATCAATTACTTATTCAAACAAATACATCAGATATGTGATCAAATGATGAAACGCTTTTTTTACCTGTTAATAGCTATAAATTGTTCACATATTCATTTAAATCTAGTAGTTGAATTGATTGCATTAACAGAAATCAAATTGTCACCGAAAAACAAAAAAAAATTGATGATTCAATTAAAATATGTCCAATGGGACAAATTTTTGGGCCTAAAAAGATTAGTTGATATTTTTAATTTGACATTTGATGATTAACAATTACTACAAAAATCCAACACGAATTTAAACAAAACAATCTAATTTCTTTCCAAATCAACAATCAACTCGAACTTGAAAACAATCGATCAACCAATCGTAAGGGTCAATTACTAACAGTTGTCACAATCAGAATAGAAAACCAGCAATTTAGATTATTCTATGTTCTAATCATTATTGATTCCTCTTGATAGTTTATCTAAATTGTTATGCAATCAAATCAGTGAAGGTCGATGACGAAAATTGTTTCCAAAATTAAGACGATCGATTCATGTACCAGTCAATAAAGACAATAAAAAGTTTCCATGAATATTATTCAACAAAATATGATAATTGAGATGATTAAAAGTGATGAACATCCAATGATGATCAATATCGACGATTATCATTGATAAAAATTCAGAACCAATGAAGTTTTCTTATAAAATTAATACCATCCAATCAGAAAGGAAATTAAATTGCGCATGAGAAGAATCAAATTTATCTTCAGAAGAGCAACAAAAAATGTCGAGCATCATTTTTGTCCTTTACTCTTCCTCATCCCAGTTATCGTCACAATCATCATCCTTCTCATCATCTTCCGTTTTTTTCTCATCTCTTCTCGAGTATCTCAAACTTTTCGAATAAAAAAAAACAATAACAAAACCTTATCCACTTTAGAAAAACATTCGAGTCTCATCACCTCTTCATCTCTCTCATCATAATCATTTCGATTCACCATCGGTGTTGATCTTCGAGTTGTTTGAGTTTCAGTGAACCTGAAAACTTTTGTTTTGTTCGTGAATGAAAATTAAAAGTCCAGAAAAACGATGAAATTGAATCGCATCGAAAGAAACGACTCTTTGCGTCTTAATTGTTGTTCTTTTACTATTCTAATCTAATATCGGTGCGAATTGACAATACAATCAATATTTCGCAATTAATGTGTTCCAATGGGTAAAAAGATTGGTGGATCGGTAAAAAGTGAAATAACCGTAAAGAGTTTGGAGGTTTGTAGTTCGTGTTCACTTCCTATCGAAGATCGTTACATAATGAGAGTCATGGACCATTCGTGGCACGAAAATTGTCTCATCTGTTCCGTCTGTGGTACTATTTTAACGCAAACGTGTTATTCCCGTGATTTTAAGCTCTATTGTAAACCCGATTATGATAAGTAAGTAAAACTAATTGTTCGCAATCAACAAAACAAAACATTTATCACAATTAACCTTCATTCATGTTAAAAGCAACACAATCAATTACACAGTTATTACATTACAATTACAAATTATCACCTCAAAGTTATGAATAAATATGAAATCAACTTAATTGTAACTACTATTATTACTTGATTGTTGTTACAATAAGTTTTATTGTTGGAGTGAAAAATGATTCTGTTAATGAGCTCAACTTAAATTTCAATAGTTTACTTTTTTAATTCTGTTTAATTAATCACAGCGATTAGTCATTAAAGCTTAAGTGATTTGTTTAATTGTCCCATTTATCATTCAACCATTGTACAACTAATTTAGTGTATTAATTTAATCCCACGAGTTAAGATTGAAACAATCAATGCAACATATTAATAAGATGAATAATATCAACAATTGAATCAGAAAACATGATTTGATTATTTGATTGTTTTGTCTTTTTGCAGATTACATTTCATCAGCTATTGCGATTCAATCTTGATTCTTGCAACCTGATTGTTTCTCTTAAATTGTTCATTCAATTCAAATTCATGATTGACTGAATAAACGTTATCATTATTATTATTATATTCAAACTGAATGCTAACCCTATAAGAAACAAATGAATAGCATAAGTTTCCTAGCAACATTTCAAGCTTCAAGAATCATCTGTGTTTATCATCTTCATCTTCATTGTCATTTACATTACCATCATGCATATATCACCATCTCTCTTACTGTTTTCATCATGATGATTATCGTGATGATCATCCTCATGGTATCAGTTCCTTTGGTCAGTTTACACCAATAAATTATAAATATTATTTACATGAACAGAGAACTCAGAAAATTGAGATTCACAGGGAGAGCATGGGAATATGACTCTTGGGAAAGTGATGGCTGGAGGAATATGTTAGAATAGCAAAATTTTCACCATCATCATCTTCTCATGTTACTGTGATTCCATCATGTTGATATGATTTTTTTTTTTTTTCTTCGAATACATGTAAAGAGAAAGGAGAAAAGATTCACATGAAATGTAAACTTTACTCAACTGAACAACATTCTTTTCACTTCTTTTTACATCAATGATTCTAAAGCTCAATTGATTCTGGGACTTTGAGAAAAAGAAGAAAAAAAATAACTTAGATCGAGTTATTGAGCGTAATAATCGAGCTTAGATTGAACATAGAGAGGGAAAGAGAGCGAGAGAGAAAGAAAGTTCTAAGCTCGATATTTCGAGGGATGAGGATGCAAAGAGTAAAGGTTACGATTTGAACTGTTGAGTGTTTATACACCTTGAGATTTTCATGGTTTCTTTCATCTTCATCTTCATCCTAATCATCATTTTCTTCATCTCTCAGAACGATTTTCATCATCTCAACCGTAAATTGCCAGAGTATCCGTCATCTACCTGATGAGGCATGAATCTGAGTCTGAGGCTTTTCCAATGGCTAATCATTGGCTAAGCATAATGATAATAACTTTCATCACAATCAAATCTAATACCATCTCTCACATCTAATCATCCAAGTGCCATTTTTAACACATTGTAATATTAATACGGAAACAAAACAAGAGTGATCAACAATTAAAACGAGAATCGGATGAGTAGTTGACAATATTCACCTTAATCAATTCAATTCATTTCAATTCACAAACTGAATTATTTGTGAAAACAATTGAATAAACATTCAACCTGAGATTTTGATTGTTAAATTTTACGATATTTGCATAACTTTTTATCCACTCCCACCTCAGAGCATTTCCACCCACCTAGAAACCAGAAAATATTATTTCACAAAACTTTGGATAATATTATTTACTTCATGACATTATTTTTATCCAAATGCTCATGAAAGTATAGGTGGTTGGGTATTGATAGAAACGCAAACTCAGAATCTGAAAAGGAAACTTTACTTTCTCATCCTTATCTTCATCATCATCATCATCAATAGGATTTACAATTTTTGTTACTTCTCATCATTATCATCATCAACATCCTCAGGATATCAGTTAAACATGCCCTATGGACGTTTACTGGTACAAATAACAGTTGGAGTCAAGGAAGAAGCAAAAAAGATGATGATTATAATAACAGTAATGGTGATTATGATGATGAGAAGCTAAGATTGGTGAAAAAACAGTTAATCGAGATAAAAAATAATCAGCTAATTCCTGGTTTTATATCGCGAAAAATGATTAGATTAATTCGGATACCAATTGACTTGGATCAGACTTAAGGTTAATTCAGGTTATTCCATGGGTATTATCATTGTTCCCATTGAATTTAATGATCATCTCCTAGTAAAGGTTAAAGTGAAAACTTAAATTCAGTTGATTATCAATATGAATTGTTTGTTGTTGTAGTTTTATCATTAGCAATACAAATCAATTATTTTTGACCGGAGGAAACAAAATCATTGATCATTTGTTTTTGTTGTTGTTTGTTGATGTTAATTCATCAAATTGTCATCCAAAGCTGTAACCTTTACGATCCTTGTTTACATATGATACCGAAAATTATTATAAATACCATTCGAAGAGCAGAAATGTGTCAATCTGTCCACAAGATGATCCATAGGAAACTTTACTTTTTTCCGCTTGGCCAATTCGTTACTTTCCTAATCACCATGGAGAGATAATTACTGTATCATCATCTTCACCATCTTCATCTTCATCATCTCATTGAGTTTGTTTTTGTTTTCACTCTGAAAAAAAAAGATTGATTAATATTAAGATGGAGGATAAATGTGATGATGAGTATCAGCATATTAAGTGTGATGGAGATGAGATAATCATTGAAATCAGAACCAATGAATACATAGAGTTTGATTAATCCTCAGAAATTAATTGCATCTCTTTTTCTTGTTGATTTAAACGCAGTTCTTGACAATTAAACCTCTAAAATTTCAAGGTTAATTATCTAATCTTGTTATCGTTTTTTTTTACATAATGATAACAACACCAATCAATCAGCAATCTCTTAATAGTTTAATAGCAATTTGATTTCATTGAGAATTTTTTATTTTTAGATTTTGCAATCTAACAGTAAATTTGAAGGTTAATTGATTTCTAATCGAATCAACTAATTAACTTGTTATTGTTTACCTGATTTTACTCTCCCAGAGATAAATAATAAATTGTAAATCATTAATTACTATCAATTGGATTATGATTACTTGATGTTGACTAAGAGAAACCACAAAAAAAGTTGATCATAAGAAGTGAGTTTAATTAACTGATTCAAGTCAAATGTCATTAGCACATTAAGGAAATGGTAATTAATTAGATTTAAAATTCAAAGCTAATTAGTTAATCACTAAAGACAAATGTTGAAGTGTTATTCGGGAATGTGATTAGCTAACCACTAATTGTCACCAATTAAACACAATTATCCATATTAATGAGATGAGGAAAATTTCAAACAATATAATTTATAAGAAATTCAAAGTTGAACAATCAATTAGCTGAAAGTTAATTGGTGGATAAGAAATAAAAAATAATACTAAACTAAATCTACCAACAACAATTAGTTGTTGATAAATTGTGGAGATTCAAAATGCTTGATAATAATCGTAAAAGTTAATCAATGAAATTAACTTAATTGTTGCTGGATGAAAGTATCAATAATGTAACTTTTTCATTTTGGAACAAAAATTTCATCTTTGTTTGAATTGAGAAAAAACTGAAATTATCATGTAGGTTATAGGCTTTTGCTAAGAAAATATCACAAAGGAAAACAAAGATTTGTTATAGGTTCATGATGAAGATGAAAAAGATGAGGATGATCGAGAGCTTGAGAAGATGAGAGATGACAAGTGAAGCCGGAAGACAAAGAAGAAGAAAGAACAAAAGACAAGAAGATGAAGACGATTCGAAAAACAAGGTTACGTGTTAATCGTGGTTTCATCTTTTAATCCAAGTTTCCTTTTCTTTTTTTTCGTATTGGGCAAATAGAGAGCAAGGATTAACATGAAGATCATTTGATAGTAAGAAGGTTAAAGGAGGAGAGATAAAGATTTATCTTGATGATAAAGACAAGAGATGAGGATGAAAAATGTATATGTTGATGTGCCTTTGATGATGATCATCATCATGTTTCCATGTTTGTATTTTGTTTTCATCGGATCAATGGTTAACTGTATTTCAATTTGGAGGTGGAAAACCTTCCTCCCTCAACCATTGAATCCAATTCATTCATCAAAACTGTTACCTACGTTCAATTCAGTGGACCAACAATAATTTATCCTCCCTTGAGTTTCCAGGTCTTCAGTCTAATCATCAACTTGCAATCAAATCGAGGGTGAAAATTTTGTTACTCCAAAATCGTCCTCATCTTATGCTCTCTCTCTCTCTCTCTCTCCTTTTAATATCAATTCAACCCTGACCAGCACGTGAGGAATGAAACAGTTAACGCGTGTCTCCCTCATTCACTCCTCTCTTTCACCTTTACCTCCCCAGTCCCAGCCCTCCATCTCCTTCAACCTCCTTCCACCTCAATTCTGCAGAGCAACAAAACTAATGCGATCATTTTTTACGCTTCAAAATATGAGATTGAAAATCTCACTCTATCATCGTCATGATACTTAATATTTACTCTTCATCTCTTAATCTTAACACTTATCACTCTTTAGTCTTAGGAATTGGCACGTGGTAGGAACTGGATTAAAATTATTAGTAAAAAAAAATGTTTTCCGTTTACTTTTTCCTTCAACATAACCAAGAATTAATTTACTTTTAATAATAACAATTTAAACGTCACGTGACTGTTAATCTCTTTGGGGAGTTGATTATGATTAACAACAATTATACTTATTATTAACTCATCATCACAATTACATTACAGTTTATCATGATATCACCAAGATTAAATAAACTTTTAATTTCTTATTTGGTTAACCAATAACATATAATATTAACAATTGTAATCTAATCACATTTACTGATCACTATCAACAATTTCACGATAATCTTTATTCAT